GAAAGGTGTCAAGCCGTGGGTGGGCAGGTTCATCATTTACAGGTTCTTGTTCCTCCCCTTCTCCCTCCTCACCCGCTTCATGACCAGCCTCACCACCCCCCTCCTCAACATCATCTACCTCCTCATCAGCACCATCCTCCACCTCCTTGTCCTGCTCTCCATCCGCCACCGCTTCTTCCTCCTCTTCACCCGCTTCATATTCCTCATCACCTCTCTCGTCAACCGCATCCCCACTGGCTCCCTCATCCTCACCTTCGGAATCTGTATCCGAATCATTGTTTGGAGACGACGTGATGAAGATAGGCTGGAGGGTGTCAATGATCAGCTCCGTCATGATGCGGACAGCAGCCGGTGGCTCGACTGGGGTGTAATGCCGAAACGAGGTGTCGCAGCTGGGAGCGAGCTTATCGGCGGAGATCACGTCACGGTTAAAAGGTATGATTCCTGTCTTCGAGAACGCCTTCTTGATTAACTCCGGTTGTAGTATCGCAAGATGGGTGTCACCATAAACCTTCAGGAAGTTCTCTTTTGAGATCTCCTGGCCCGTCTCTCGAAAGAGTTTGTCACGGTTCTCACCGAACCTTTGCTTCATCGGGCTGAATATCACGACATCCAGACCTTGGTAAATGTGAGTTGTACGGGCAGGATAGCACAAGACATGGATCTTATGCGCCTTGCAGAACATCAAGAACCCGCGAGTGACATGTGAACCATGTCCGTCGACGTAGAGGACTCGCCACCTGCCACCCGCCTTCTCACGAGTCATTCGCTCAAAGTGCTTTGCGTACTCGATGCCGATCTCGTTATCCGTCCAGCCCTTCTTCGAGTATCCCAGCCTTGTCGCAGTAAGTACATGATATGATCCAAAAGGTTATCATTACTCACATTGCTTCTGCAGGGTTATCTTGCTTCCACCGAACCGCAAAGCCCTTTCCAGAAAACAAAACGGCTGGAGGTATGGCAGTCCCATCCGCGCAGATATTGACAATGACAGTCGTTGTCTCCCTCGTTCCAGCTTGCTGCTGGTACTGGACGTTCTTGCCCACTCCGCCAATCACCCGCTCTTCTCCCTCATCACCATTAGCCTGAAAACCTGCCTCATCCAGCGCGTACGTGTTCTCAGGTGCAATTGCGTTGCCCTCATCTCCATGCAGCTGGACGTTCTCAACGAGATCACACCAGGCCTTATGGTTTTCTGGGTTCGCAGCTTTCCCTCGGACATCATGGAGTGGCCGAGTCCGGTATACGTGAAGGCGTTCGTGATGCCGCTCAACAAAGCGGTGGGACCAGTGCTTCCCAAGACCAGGAAAGGAGGTGCCATAATGCGCTCGGCAGAGCTCTATGACATGCTCCTTCAAACGACGATGTGACAGCCCGAAGCCCTGAGCTGCCGTCTCGATGAGGTAATTGACAACCTCTTCTTCTTCGACGGCGCTCAAATGAGATGAATCCCATTTAGTCTCCTCCCGAGGACGTGTTTTGCCAGTTGCGTGATTACGGACAGTGTTGTGATTCAGCTTCAGCCAGTGGCCTGTCTTGGCATGCCATCGCTTGCGTGCCTCCTCAGCCACCTCCCGGTAAGACAGGCGCTTGTCTTTTGGCTTCTGTTGCTCATCCAGCCAAATTGCGTGAGCAATCCGGTAAGCTCTTGCCTTTTCCTCTTCTTCTTGGCGTTTTTTTAGCGTGTCGGAGGCTGCGTGCTTTGCCATGGGGGTGTATTAAGGTAGTTTAGTGTTGACCGTAATAAAGCGTGTTGAGGAGCTTGCGGAAAAAGCAGTTATGTGTTCGAAATTGAGGAAAACGGGGGATCAAGGTGCAGCATGACGGGTGTGTCACACTTATGATGCGGTGTGACATTCCCCATCACCGATGACCAATTTCCCCCCTCCAGATGATCTTAAGGCCCTGGAGCTCTCTTGGTGATAGCCCAACCCAAAATTTGCATTTCAGTCAGTCAGAACATGATATTCAGACATCTTTTACTCTCAAAGTTGGTCTCTAGTGTCATGGAAGAGTCACGAAGGATGGTCGATTTTTTTGCCCAATTTCCGCTTTTGGAATGTTTTCCCATCCCTGTCAGCGGAAGCAGTGCCGCCTCTCCCACAAAGGTTGCAAATGGTGATCCAACCATATATTCACCCACAGGATTCAAGAAACATACCCGATCATAGTCCTATCACTCAAAAAGTCACTGTGTACAACTGGGCGGGGGTGTACAAGAAGCCAGTGAATTACTGTAGGATGAGTCCTCCACATGAATGTTCCGAGACCACACGAGAAAGTAGCCGATGATGGAGCTGATTCTTCCGAAAAGGTAAGTGGACCGTCATCGATCGTGACGTCGTTTCTGGTTATATCTCCCTCCCCTCCCCTCACATTCTCCTCAGATGGCCTCCTTCCGCAACCACCGCATCGTAATCGCCTCCCTCTTCCTCCCAACGACTGCCGTCCTTGGCGAGTCCAGTCCCCCGACACCCGACCGCTCGCCCCAGACAACAGCGAGCGATGCTGAGACGACAATACCCGCTGTAGCGGATCGCCTCGCAGCTGCGGTCGCCGGCGGGGGAGGCAAGCCCAAGCCCATCAAGCCATCACTCATCACGACGAACTCGCACACACGGCAACCGAGTGGAGGAGGACCGCTCAAGAGCATCGTCGATGACCTGAAGGACAAGGTGAGCATCAATTCAGCAATCGCGTATCTGTCTAACGCGCATGGCAGAGCCGTTTCGCCACACCAGCGACCCGCTCCCCTACGACAGAGGTGTCTAACCCATTCACCAAGTTGACGCGGTTCGTGCTCGATTCCGAACCTACCGCGACACCGAGCGCCCCGCGGAAGCACCAGACGACACACCCGGAGTCTCAGTCTACCCCTCGGCTGAAGCGGAAGCAAAGTCGCTCGCAATCACGGCGAGCACCGTCCCAGGCGCCCCAGTCCCCGACGGTCGACTCTCCTGTATCGCAGACATGGCATATGGAGCCCAACACGCATTGTAATGGCGGTCTGAAGAACGCCGTCGACAGCGTTGGTGAGAGGATGAAGAAGAAGCTTTGGGTAGGCACACTCGGGACGCCGACGGACGGGTTCGGGGAGGATCTCAGGAAGGATATCGACAAACGGATGCTGGCCCAGCACGCCAGTCTGCCGGTGTGGATCCCGGATGCAGAGTTCCAGAGCTGCTACGATGAGTTCTGCCATCAGGTGCGTCTCTTCTCCGCTTCCCTGCTCCTGTGTGCCCCTGCTCCTTGCATTCCGATTTTGGGTACTTTCCTTCCTAATTTAGGCTATCTGGCAGATCCTTCGTTCCTATCTTCTATCTTCTATCCACTGAATTAACTATTATTTTCATCTGACAACCTCCACCAGGTGCTCTGGCCATGCCTGCATTATGCCGTCCCCGACGCGCCAAAGACCAAGTTCTTCTACGAATCAGCCGCATACAAGCAATACGTCTCCGTAAACCAGCGCTTTGCGGACGCCATCATCGCTAAATACCAGGATGGCGATATCATCTGGGTGAATGACTACCACCTCCTGCTTCTCCCGCTCCTGCTTCGACTCTCACCCCAGATTCCGCCCAGCGCACCCATAGGCTTCTTTATGCACGTAGCATTCCCGTCTTCTGAGATCTTCAGATGCTTGTCAGTACGAAAAGATCTATTGAGAGGCATGCTGGGTGCAGACCTCGTTGGGTTCCAAACGGCCAACTATGCGAGACATTACCGGCAGACTGTCAGCAGGATTCTCAGCTTCGAGGCTCTCCCTCGAGGCATTCAAGTTCCGGAAGGTGAAGGGCTTACGGTGGAGGAGATGCGGGAGAAGCTGCTTGGCGAGGAGGCAAAGGAAAGGCGGGTGCGGGATGGTGTCGTGGAACGAGGGAGATTCGTCGACGTTGCAGTGTTCCCTATGGGCATCGATGTGCGGCAGTTGCACAAGCGGAAGTGAGTCCCCTTTCGATCTCTCCTGTCCAATACTGACGGTTGCGCAGACGGGAACCCGAGGTCGCAGAATGGGTCTCCGTCCTCCGTCAGCGGTATGCAGGGATGAGGCTCGTTGTCGGCCGTGATAAGCTGGACGAGATCCAAGGCGTGCGGCATAAGCTCCTCGCCTTTGAGGCGTTCCTCGATAAATATCCCGACTGGCAGGGCAAGGTCGTGCTCATCCAAGTCGCTTTGCAGACAACCGAGTCAAACGAGCTTGCGGGCAATGTCGCCGACGTCGTCTCGCGCATCAACTCACGCTTCTCGACGCTCACGTACCAGCCGGTCGTGTTTTTGCACACGCAAGACCTGACGTTTAGCCAGTACCTCGCGTTGTTGACGGTGGCGGATGCATTCATTGTCACGAGCTTAAGGGAGGGTATGGCCCTTAGGACGCACGAGTATGTCGAGTGCCAAGACGGAAGATACAGGCCGCTCATCTTGAGTGAGGTAAGCTAATTGTTCTTTGTAAGAGAGAGACGGACCAAGACTGATCTTATGCTCCCCAGTTTACTGGCAGCTATAGCTACAGTGGATTCAGGTCCTGCATTGCCGTCAACCCTTGGGACAGGAGAGGTACGGCGAACGCCATCCAGCAGGCGTTGACGATGAGCGACGAGGAGGCGCGCTCCCGTTGGGAGGTCTGTCTTCGGTCTCTCTGTCGTGCGCCGCAAAGACTAACGGTTGCGCGGACTCTAGGACCTACACAACCACGTTACCGCACAGACGGCGCAGACATTTGTTACCACCTTCCTCAACAGATGTGTACGCGCAAACACTGAGCACACCGCTTCGCTCGAAGACCCATCCTCTCTCTCCTCGTTCTCCGCCATCCCCGCTGTCACCACTGCCCTCCTCGTCCCGAAATACAAGCACTCTGAGAAACGACTCATTTTGGTGGACTTCGAGGGCACACTCTGGCGCCGGGACCTCACGAAGAAGGGCTTGCAGGAACTGTTGGGCATTGGTTCGAAGGCGAAAGAGGGAGGCGAGAAGATCGTTCTGCCTGCTGAGGTGGAGGACGCGATTGCGGTGCTGGGGAGGCTGGCGGAGGATAGAAGGAACGAAGTGTGGTTGCTTAGTGGCTTGAGGGTTGGAGGTGTGCTGGAGGCGGTAGCGGAGCGGGTGCCCAAGGTTGGCATTGTGTAAGTGTCTGTCTGCGAGATCCTGGCTATATGCTTGCTCATCTGTTCTTACTTCTCCTTCGGGCAGTGCGGAGAACGGTTGCTTCATCAAGACGCGCGCCGTCGGGATCAGCAGCGGCAAGCCATACGGAGGAGAATGGATCAACATGGTCGCCAACTTCAACCTGTCGTGGAAAAGCTCCTGCCTGGAAATTCTCAACTACGTGCGTCGAATGGCAATTGCGATTAACCATTTGATTTTATTCACCATCGCTGCAGTTCACGGAGCGTACGCCAGGCTCGTTCATCGAAGAGCGTCAGGCGTCGATGGTTTGGCGTTTCTGGACTGGCGAGACCATGGACCACCCCGATCGCCAATGGGCGCAGAGGCAAGCTGCTGAGGCACAGAACCACATCTTCGACAGGTTTGTATCATCTATTCTTTCCCCTTGATTATTCTTATCATTTCCAACAGTCTCGGAGAACGATACGGGCTCCGAATCATCCCAGGCCGCAACAGCTTCCTCGTTCTCCCAAACAACATCTCTCGCTCAACCGCTATCGGGGCCATCCTCCACCCAGGTGGGCCAGCACGCTCACCCGTCACCTCCCACAGTTCTTGGATGACTGCCTCAGCTTCCGACGGTCTATCCAGAACGGCTTTTGGCCTAGACGAGGGCGGTTTTGGCGGGTTCAATTCAGGCGACGTGGGCGGCACGCACGACGTAGACTTCTTGCTCGCAGTTAGCTCCGATGAGAAGCTTCTGAGGAGGCTGAACGAGTTCGACGGCGCTGAGACGGTGAGCACAAGTGGGAAGGGGACCGACGCGAAGTGGAAGCTCGAGAGTGAGGAGGCGGCAGGGCTGTTGAAGGGCCTTGCCGCTGTAAACTGAGGAAAGGGTGGGGGGCTATAAACCGCGTTCGCAAGAATGAAACACACGAAAAAGAAAGAAGTATCTTCTCCTTTTCAAGAACCAAAATATTTCGGAGCATCGCACGAAGGAATAATCTTGACTACCAGCTACAATTATCGATATCTACTCTCAACCCAAAGCAAGTCCCAAGTATGTTTTCTCCCTGTTGTCAATCCAATGTATAGTAGATGCTTATGTATGTAGACGGCCATCTGGTCGTGAATAGACTACAACTGTATTCGGGCATTTGTTACTCCAACTCAGCCTTTGGGGGAGGGTGATTACTCTGACAATTGAACCATGAATGCTGCATTAACTCGGAAGGCTGATATTTGAAGTTTGGTTAATTTTGATTGCTTAAACAAATTTAACGAGAGGTTTGCCCGTGCTCTGCATGAGGCTTGAGGAAGAAACTAAATTTCGCTGTGTCTTTTGGGGATCATTCGCTCTCTGCTTGTGAAAGTGAGTTTTGATTCGAAATACTTGTGTCAGTTCGCTCGAGGCCGCTCGCCTTTAAATTGGCCCCTCCGTCGCGCGGGGCGTTCCACTTTAAAAGGTGTCCGGGTCATTAGCACCCCCGCACGACGGAGGGGTCAAGGCAAGCGGCCATGAGTGAAAATCAAATCAAATAAATTATGCACATATTGAGTGTTCATACTCTCTTAGCTGAGAATTTTAACGACCCTCTGAACTTGATGAAGACGAATAGTGCGTATATATAACATTAAATCTACACTTAGACAGCCGAACGAATGAGGAGGTTGTATATGCTATTGATACACACTAGTGGCTACAAATTTGGAACGTTTGTTTCGTGATGCAGTTTGTGATCATGGATTGGAAATGGGTCCTAGAAGAGTGGGAGACACTGCGGTCGCGGTCAAAATCGTGGGTCCAAAGCTCTGCTTGCCAATGGCAACCACCGCAATGAAAAAGTTGGGTGATCAAGAGGTTGGAAGCGTCAAAGCCAACAACGCCAGGCCTGTCGCATATAGTCCAGAAGTCTTGACTTCGTTGGATTTGGATACCCTACCCTCACGTTCCACGCTAAGTTAACAGGGGCCTCCGGAGTATTCCAATCAAGGCTGACTCGGCGGGGACATGAACACCAACGCCAACATGACCGCCAACACCAACACCTGGACTACGAAGCTGGTCCCCAGGTGCTGTACACTCCGCAGATGATGTATATCTCCTGCTTCGTGAGTGGTCGATCATCCCAGCCCGCTGACGCCCCTTCTCTCCTCGTGGTGCCGTAAGGTCTGGGTGTCAGTGATCGGCAGCATAACGATCTCCGACGAGGAAACAGCCGGTGTCTAGAAAGTAAGTACGCGTTGAGTATTCTAGTACATCGAGATTATGAATTGAGCTTGACGCACCATATGTAGCCGCGCATCGGCGGGTCTCAGCTTCAGCCCGCTTTGACCGTTGCTTTCACCACGCGGGCGGAGAACACAGCAAGCTCAGAAGCAGGGGTGGAGTTGGAAGAGAGAAGGGGAATGGGTTTGTGTGGAATCATAGCTCAAAGTCGACGATGGGATAGAAGAAGTAGGCGAGGGGAGAGCTGAGGTTGGTATAATTCCAGGTGGGTAGGTGGCCAACGGGAGGAGTTCGCTCGAAATTGGGGCGACCTCCCATCCGAGCGCGGCCCTTTATACAATTTCCGTCTTCTGTGGCCACCCCTCGGCCACACACGAGCTGCTATCCATTTCTGGGAAACGTCTTCGGTGGCCGATCGCGCTTTGGGCGTTGCCGGTATGTCGCTTTGGCTGGGCTGTACCCCTTGCCGACGCGGTGCTGTGGCCTGCTACCAAGCAGAGCAGAACATTGCCTAATCAAGGCAACGCGCGCCACAATGCTCCGGCCACAATTGGCACTTAGCCCGATTCGATGATGCTCCTGACGACGAACCCGCAGGGGTCTAGGCCTTGCCCAGCGCCGTTTATTACCGAGTACAGCTTTTTAAAACACTTTTATTCCACGAGAACACATTTCGCTCATACTTAATGAAAAGTTACGAACTAGTTAACTCTCGGGTCTCGATTCGGAGTACGATGGTCAGTTTTCTTTGGTCATACTCTGATACCAAGGGAATCTGACGCGTGATTTGAATAGACAACTACATGGATAACCTCGACGACTTCTGCATGGACCACTTCACACACGGGCGGGTCACCCGCCTCATGATAGGCCCAGGTCGCCACCTACCGCCAAATTGGGGATTAAGTTGCGAAAATGCGAATATGCGCAATGAAGTAGAGTAGTTGCCGTTGTAGCGTGTAGCCGTATGTAGTAGTTATAGAGTATTTAACAGACGGAAATACCGTAATAGTGCGCATTTGCTGCTGTAAATTTACACGAGAGGCTTGCCCGTGCAGAGCACGGGCCTTGGGGAGGAAAAAAAATCCCCTTTCTTTTCCTTCGGGTTGTTCACACTTTCTCATTGGGAAGACGACTTTCAGAAAAATAATCTTTCATTCTGCTTGAATTCACTTGAGGCCGCTCGCCTTTGCCCGTCCGTCGTGCGGGGGCGCGACTTCCGGCGGGTCCAATTGGTCTCCGTTCAGACGACCCAAATCAAATCTCTCTCAAGCAAAACAAAGGAGCACAATGAAGGACGACAACAGGTGACTCGGTCAAAATTTAAAGTTGTCCCCCGGATAAAAACCTTGGTTTTAGTAGGTAGATAGATAGATGAATAACTACAGTGCATCAATCAATAGATCATCGCTATTGACACCATTTGATATGCTGAAATGTAAAATCAATCCCAGAAGTCAAGCAGCCCATGGATTCTTATTAAACCACTTAGAACCAGTATAGTGGAGCTACTGGAATAAACGTATACCAGTTTCAAGGGACAGATACTAGCAAATATGGGCAGAAACAGCCAGAGAGGCTGCATCAGTAAGTGTGATGCAACGAAGTTGGCGAGTTTATTACTGAGCATTGAGTTGTCCAAAACCTACAGAATTTACATGCAGCGTATAGAGGGTCCATAGAGCATGTGGTTATTTTTTCAAAGCAAACAGTTAACTCTTCATGCTGTTCCAAGGTGCATCATTAGCCGGTGGATGGCTGTAGATACATACGTCAGACCACGTCTGTGCATTGCGACATCTGCGCGAGATGTGTGAAATGGCAAAGATAGGGGTGCGGAGCCGATCAACTGCGGATACCGCACTTGGAGCGTGCGCCACCCTCCGCCACACCTTCCGAAAATTTACACCAGCATAGCGATTTTACCTTTGTAATTTACGAGTGCCTATGTACAATATACTGAGGAAGAAATGACAGCGTCCGAGCGGCTAGGAGAGGAATTACGGTGGGAAGAGACGTATTGGACACATGGAGAACATGCCTCAGGCGGATGATACATAAGAACATAGGTTATGCCCAAGGGGGTTGACATGAGGGACATAATGTAAGCGTGGCACGGCATGAACCGAGAGGAAAGGAAAGGTGAAGAGAAGGCGAAAGATAGCGATAAACACCTTGTATAAAACATAGGGAGGCAAAGAAGGCAGTAAGTAGAGAGGGAAGAGAAAGAAAAAGAATTTATTTTAACAAATACCTGTGTCCGATTAATCGTGGTTGCAATACCTGATGCCAGAACTCCCGTAAAGCAAGAAAGAAAGAAAATCACAAGAGATGCCACCTCCTCACTTGTCGGCGACTTCAACGTCTATCGGCTTCACTCTCGCGCCCCTCGAGGCGCGGTGCCTCGGCCCCGGGTGAGGATGCGTCGTGTACGATCCCGGCAAGTCCGTAATCCCGTAGTTGATGTGCGTGTACATGTTCTGCATCGGGTTCTGGTACGGCGGCGGGACGGGAGTCTGTACACCACTTAACGAAGCATATGTTTGGGGCCCAGACGCACCAACGACGCCGACGGACCCACGAGAACGAGCAGGAGCAGAGGACCGCCGGCTTTCCTCCTCGTCGCTTTGAAGTTGGTCGTACTCGTCCTCCGAGGAGTCGTCATAACCGTGCCCGTTCGTGCTCGAATCGCCCCGGCGCACCATCCCACCAAATCTGTTCCTCATCCCGACGTCGATGCCGCTGCTGCCACCGAGTGCCATATCCCCGTCGCTCTCGCCACGTGCACTGTCCTTGTCGCTATCGTCGTCTCGCCCCATCGAGCTCGCCCCCATCATGGCACTGGTTGTGATTGAGAACGTGCTACCAATAGGAGGTCCTGGTAAGGAGACGTGCCGTTTGGATTTCTTGCGGCAGTATTTGTCCCAATGGCGTTGGAGGGCGTCTTGTCTGAAGCAGGGTTATGCCGAGAAAAAAGACGACAGAATAAAAGACGCACCTGGTCAGCACACGATCGCAGTAAGGACACCTGCACCCGCCAGTTCCATCCGTATGCCGACTCTCCTTATGCCTCCTCACATCGCCGCTCCTAGTGAAGATCTGCCCACAGATATCACACGGGTACCTCTTGACCTTCCTGCTTGGACGACCAGGTGCAGGGAAGGTGTTGGCCTCAGATCCTCCTTGGTAGCCTCCCGAAGCCAGTGCACGCATGCGCGCCCGGTCGTTGAGCGACGTCGTCCCGTGCGCGGATCTGCCCACAGATATCACACGGGTACCTCTTGACCTTCCTGCTTGGACGACCAGGTGCAGGGAAGGTGTTGGCCTCAGATCCTCCTTGGTAGCCTCCCGAAGCCAGTGCACGCATGCGCGCCCGGTCGTTGAGCGACGTCGTCCCGTGCGCGGTGCCCAGGCCCGAGAGCGTGTCAACCATCGGCGGGTCCCCGTTCGGAATCTCATGCCCATGTCCATGGTGCATCTGCATGCCGTCTTCGCCGTCCGAGCCCGAGGCGATGTATCCGCCGTCGACGACGCTCCGTCTGCTGGCGATGGGACGCAGGCCCGGGCCGCCTTGAGCCGCGGCGGCCTGCTCTGCTGCCTCCCGTGCAGCCTGCTCGGCGGCCAACTGGGCCTTCTGCGCGGCCTGCGCCTGCGCACGCGACACGCGAGGCTTGGGCACGCGTGGGGGCTTGAGCACGAACTGTGCGCCGCCGACGTGGTGTGGCGGCAGGTGCGACGGGTGTTGCCGTGTGTGTCGAGGTAGGTGCTGGTTCTGCTCCGCGGCGGCCGTTACTGACCCAGCCGGTGCTTTCAGGTTGAAGACCGACTGGTGCGAGGACCCAGGCGAGGAGAAGTCGATGCGGAAGTGCTGGGGGTGCAGGGCATGCGAGTAGGAAGTGATCGGGTCGACCTTGTCGGTGGGCTGCAGAAGACGTTGGGCTGGTGCTTGTGCTTGTGCTGCCTGTGATTGGGGTGGTGGAGCCTGCTGTGCCGCGTTGGATGGAGGAGGGTGTTGGCGGGTGGGCGAGAACTGCTGCTGTGGGATGAGATGAGGATACGGAGGCTGGTGGGACCATTTGGCTCTCTGGTTGTGCTGTGGAAGTTGCGGAGGAGACGGATGGGGTGCTCCGTGCGAGTTTGGGTGGTGCAGGAAATATCTTTGCTGCCCGTGCTGCTGATTTATTTCTCTCAACCGGTCCCTCTCCATCAGCTCCCTCTCCCTCTCCCTTTCCTTCGCCAGCATAGCCTGATGAGCGGGTAGAGCCCTCGACTGAGTAGGGGACATTGCAGACATTCGTCTGTCCAGTGGAGGCAGCGTGTATCTTGGTCCGTTGTGTCGGTCATCCAGAGGTGGGTCAGGCGAGTAGGCATATCGAGTTCTGTAGCCTTCTGGTGTGGGCTCGCGGTGGCGCATGCGAGAAGATGCTGGTGCTGAATAAGAGTGAGGGTAACTATATACACCTGATCGCGGTGGTGGACGTGGCGATGAAGGTGAACCAGGCGGATAAGTGTTGCTGTTGCGACTTCCCGGCGGAAGTGGTGGTGACGGCGATGGGGGGTAGCTGCGAGGAGGGGTTCCCGACCTGCTCGTTGACGCCGACACTGACACGGGCGCGACATCCTTCGAGTATATCGTCCTTAGAGGATAATGTGCCCTTCGGCGTTTGCTTTCTCGTTCATCCCAGTCGTCGTCACGTGCCCGTTTATCAGTTGTCCTGCCTCTGCCGTCGCTGTCTACGTCCATTTCGGCCTCCGACGTTGGGGGTGCAAGCCTCGGGCGCGTTGCTGAGGCTGAGGTGCCCGCCGACATAGACCCGCGGATCGTGCGAGGCGCCTGCCACGCGTGGTGGCTGAGTGGTGGTCTGCGATCATCATCCGAAGAGTCGTCGCTCGACATCGAACCTCGCGAGCTCGGTCGCTCCGGGGCCCGTTCCCTATACTGTGGTCGAGGCTGGTACTGCGGTCGAGGCTGATATCCATGATGCTGCGGGTAATGGGATGGATACTGGGAGGACGATAGCGGTGCTCGTGAATGCATCGGCGACCTCGCACTACTGCTGCTGGCCACACGTGGCTCATCGTAACCGCGGGCGTGAGGGGAAGGTTGGAAGCGGTCAGACATCCATGGTGGGTCAGGGATGGGTTGCAGAGCGAGGTCGTCTGCTGTGCGCGGTACGGCGCGAGAGCTGGAAGCGGTGGCATTCGACGAAGAGGCAGCGGTGGGCGGCCTGATGACGCGGAATTCGGCTTTCTTCTCTTTGTGGCGCATACGGGGCGGCAACCATTCACTGACGTCCGGGGTCCCCGTCGTCGTCGTTGGCGCCGAACCCCCAGCAGGTATGGACCCTGACTTGCTGCTCTTCTCGCTCCTGCTACTCCCACTACTGCTTGTGCTCCCACTTCTATTACGAGAATTGCCGCATTTTCCGCTGGTTTCGCCGGAACTGTTCGAGTTGCTGTCGCTTTTCTTGCTGGTGGCCAACCGAGAAGTCGGGTTGTCCCACCTAGCCGGGATGAGCGTTAAGGACGACGAGCTCGCAGACGCAGCCGCAGCCGCAGCCGCAGACGTCGATGCCATAGACGCTGTCTCCGCTGCTATTGTGGATGCCACTGTTGTTGTTGACGGTGTGGCGGGCGGAGGCGGGTGGGCCATGATGGTGGGCGGAAGGAAGAAACACTGCGCCACTCGATTCCGTATATGTACAAACCATGTGCCACCCCTTCCAAACTGATACCAAAAAGCCTGGAAACCGCCGTAGTGCCTCCGTGTCTCGCCTGTTTGGTCCCAGAAGCGTCTATAAGCTCCTTTACAGCCGTTATTTTGACGCCAGACAGAGGTGACGGAGGAATGATCACCCCACGCTCCGAAGGTTAGAGCTTGGCACTTTAGGGAAATCGCCAGCCTCAAACGATTCTCAACAACAGGATGATCATCAGCCATGGCATCACCCTCCAACATCCTCAAACCGAGTCATTCTGACACATATCACCGTTTATCGATGGGACATCGATAATCGCCCATAGCCATACGCCACACCACAGCCCATTCGAGCAACTCAGCCACCTTGTGTTCAAAAGGGGGGCCCAAGTCCCTTTTCTCTCCTCCTTTTTGTCCACGTTCACTCCTGACAGCCGGGCGCCTCACCCGGCCGGCACCATACATGGAGCATGCCTGCCTGCAGGGGATATGCTTCCCATCGATAAAAATGAGGCGCAGTGCGGCGCTGTTTTGATTTGTCCGTATGTGGCGGACAATCAAAATCCGCTTACGGCTATACTTAATCGTAAAACATCCGAGGCTGTCACCAGCGCCGGTACGCCGGCTCCTAAACTGCTTATGGTGTTGACATTCCAAGGTTTTCCTCCTCGGCCGACCTCGAGGGATCGGAGAAATATCAAGCGGAGTCCGATTTTTTTTGACGGAGTAGGAATGTATGCACCCTTTCCGATGGGTTCTCAATATATGCCCACAGCGCTCGCCGCCGGGCATAAAAATCGATGAGTCCACCCATCACCCTTCGCATTGGTTGTTAAGATAAATGGCAACAGGAGAAAATGAACCAGAGGTGCGCTTCCTAAGGTCGAGCCTCGGACCCAAATTTTGTCAGCTCCTTCAGATATTGGTCATGTCATCACGTAAACGGGTGCAATTCCTCGAAGGGGGGGAAACACGGGACTTGGGCGCTTGAATACATGCGCCCGAACCCTCGCGAAGAGCCGGAATATGAACACTCTAATATCGTGCCCACTCGTGAAGGGCGGATGGTTTGTCATTTGATCCAGTGGTCTTCAGAAGCAAAATCCATCTTTGTAGCAGATGCTTCGGGAGCAATGCGGGTGAATCAATTGCACTGTGGCGCACAGCCAGCCGAAGCCAACTCTGAGATTCGCCCGTGATGTCAACGACAATGAAATGATAGTCCATTTTGAGTCCATTCGTGCTTCTCTCATTCAGTACTAAAGTCTTCTGCCATCTCTTTGGCCCACCGCCTGTCCTCTTGACACTCGCTTCCTCCCACTGGTATATGGGGGTGCGCCACACCATAAACAGACGGTAATCATCATGATCATTCAAGGTGGCAGATGGAGCCGGGTAGGCATATAAATCGTCCTGCAAACTATCATCGGTGCACTGCTATTTCCGACTCGAGTCGACACTCGCGGTCAATAAGATAGATTGAGTTGATAGACACTGGGACTACTAATGGGCTCATATTCCCGGATGAACCCTGTGCTTAGGCTGACATTGCGTACGCCGTTTCCTCGATGATCATGAAAGGTGGCGACACAAATTAGCTTAATGAACCACTCTCTAACGGCAACGAGGATGACGGCAATACGGCTCACACGACATGCGCAGGGGTGAGCACCAAGTGAGCATAGGCCACGCGTTACTCAGGTATTCGAATGTTAGAAAGTAAAATGGAGTATCGAGTCATTAAGTTATCCTGCCTGTATGGCCTTCGCGTTTCAATACCGTATTGCCATGTTCTATTTCTGTTCAGTTTCAAGAACCAGGCATGGGGCTTGGTTCTCCCACCCTCTTCCCGCATCCACCCACTTCGCCGTTGAAGCAGCTTCCATTATTCCTCTTCCAATGCGTCCGACTCAATATCTGGAACTCCCAGTCGACCACATTAACGGCGGGCTCCTCACGGCAAAACCGATAGCCAAGTTGAGGCTCCGACAAAGATGTGTCACTCGTGTGACATCATGAACAGCTTCAAATGGAAATATCCGAGGAATGTCAAACCACTGTGTGGCGCGGCCCGAGAAGACCGAAATACACTTCCATCAGCCCCCACCCTGTACCCTAAAGCCACCACTGTCTTCGCCAGCCTTCTGCGTACCACTAATTTGAACTCTCCATCGCGAGGGACGTAGAAGAAAATCGCGTGGCGTCAATACGCAAGCGCTCGGTAGTCGGCGGACTGCGATCAGCGCATCTTGGCCTTAGCGCAGTGTGCCACACTGGGTCCAGATCCAGCCCGTCCGTATCAAGAAGTCTTGGCAATGCCGAGACGGTGCCACACCGATTGCCGAGAAACGTGTCCACAATCAGCATTTTGATCCGAAGCTTTTGGCTCCGCTCTTCTCACGAAGGGATTACCACTCTGGGACAATGTATTCCCACACCCTTGCGTCACTCACCGTCACCACCACCGCGTCAGCGAATCATCTTAACATAAACAAATCCAGCACACCTTGGAAACATTCCAAAGGAAGTGTGGGCTAGATTGTCTTTGGGCGCTTCCTCCACTTCTTCGGCGCTTATATCTTCACACCGGGCTAATACACACTTCCAAGTTCCGAAGTAAGTCACCGTTCCCGAGCCACTTAACCCGAGAACACGGCGTCAGTTTTTCTTCTGTCTAATATGTATCCAAGTATAGAACAGTTGTCTTTCCTTGGTTTACGAAACGCGCAGCCCGGGATCGTGTGGATATCACTGGAGTCACCAGACGAGTCATCTCAACTGGCTCCAGCGCCTCCGGACATCCCTTTAACGAACCACAAAAGACACCTGCTGGTCCAATTCCTATCACATTCCCGCCCGCACCTCTACCGCCCGCAGACGTCGACGTCACACACAGTTTATGCGGTACCAAATGGCACGCGCCTCACAAAGACAGAATATTGCAATTATGCAACAGCAACAGCAAGCCGCCTTCGGCCAATCGTCGAACCAACAGCCCTCGTTTCCTGGAGGGAACCTCTTTTCGCGCGTCATGGGCTTCTCCCTCTTTGCTGGGCTATTCCAGGCCGGCGCTAGGGGTCTTGGTGGAGCAGGGCACGATCAAGGAGCGGGGATGAACTATCTATGGAGCAGTGCCGCATTATTCGTGTTGGGGCTTCTTATCGAGACGGGACGGACGTTTTGTCAGTGGTTGATCGAAAGGGTGCAGTTCCGTGAGTATCTCCTGTTCTAACATTCTTGTTGGTTCGCAAGGGTGGAATGCTGTGTGTCCTTCGTTGATACCTTCATGTCCATCTGCAACTAAGAAAACTCGTACTTGATCATGATCACGATCCTTGCGATCACAGGATCACGATGGAGTAAAGTCGTGTTTCAATTTCCTTCGCACCGTTTTTTGTCTTTTCCTTTTTATTTAGTTTTCATTGCGCCTTTTCTCATAAGCACCCATCTCCTGGGATTTTTACCTGCCCAATACATGATGCTAACCGATTCGAAACTCTCCCAGAATATTCTATCACAGCCCACTTCACGGAAGGCGACCCAGCGTATGAATGGCTGATCCTTTTCCTGGTGTGTTCTCGCTGCCGTTGCTCCAACTGACGTGCCAACTGATGTACGCCCACCAGACCGAAAAGCAGATCTGGAAAAATTCGAAGGAGTTCCGTGTTTCTGCGACATCTTCGATCCGTAAATGGGGTGTGAAACCCGACAGCGCTTCGGCCTCGGCCTCCGCATCCGGGAATAAACTTGCTTTGAATCTGCCTTTCCTCTCAGACCTCATCAAGGACTCTGCAGAGGTGAAGACGGACGACTCAGATGAGAAGGCAACTCCCAAGAGCACAGACCGGGGCGCGCATGCAGAATACGTTCCGACGTTTGAAGCACCTCAATTGTTCAAATGGCGAGGTTACTGGGTCGAAATTAAAAGGACGAATGTGGCGGGCAGGCTGGGGATGATGTCGTACAACCCTATGGGAGGGCCGATAGGGAGCACGATGTATTTGACGTGAGTTATCACCGTTTTGCTTTTTCTTATGATCTGACTTGGTTTTTAAATAGGATATATACTCGAAACATGAGCGTTCTCTCATCCTTCGTCGAAGAAGCCAGGCTTGGGTACATCAAGACCAGCCGGCCGCATGTTATCGTGCATTCAGTGGATCAGGTTCGTCGTGGGCGAGTCCGTTCACTTCCCTATTTATTTCATTGGCGTCCTCTTCGCCCATATTTTTTCTATTCATGTCGTTTGAGCCCTGCTGACAACTCTCTCTCCAATAGCCAAACTTTGGCCCCAGCTTTACTTGGAACAATGCCAAGTCCAAAAGTCGTCGCCCGCTGAGTTCGATCATTCTTCAGGAAGGTGTCATCAACTCCATCGTGGACGATGCGCGCGAGTTCCTCGAGTCAGAAGACTGGTACCTTCGGGCAGGAATTCCCCACCGACGTGGATACCTCCTCCACGGTCCGCCCGGGACGGGAAAGAGTTCAACTATCTACGCCCTCGCGGGTGAGCTTGGCCTCGAAATATTCTCACTGTCTCTGGCGTCCAACTTGTGAAACTTCTCTTCTTGCGATTCTTTGGACCATAATTCTGACTTACTGTTCTCTTCTTCCTTCTAGTGTTGATGATGCTTTCTTGGCGCGTGCTGTGGCCGCTGTACCCAAGCATGCCATCTTTCTTATCGAGGACATCGATTGTGCATTCCCGACACCGCGCGATGCTGATGATGATGATGGCAATGCCTCCATGATGGGTATGGGCAATTTTGGTGGAGGCATGGTCATGAGCGCCATGGGCCCAGTCATGAGTGGTGCAGCTCGCAAAACCAGCCTGGTCACTCTTAGCGGTCTCCTGAACGTCCTGGATGGCGTAGGTAGTGAGGAAGGGAAGATATTTTTTGCTACCGTACGTGCCTTTTCTTCTTCGTTCTTGGAGTCTTGGAACTAACTCGCTTTTGGCTGTAGACAAATCACATCGAACACCTCGACCCTGCTCTCATCCGACCTGGCCGGATCGACAAGAAGATCCAGTACAAACTTGCAACTCAGGCACAGGCCGAAGCGCTCTTCCTGCGTTTCTATCCTGAAGATCTCATGCCCTTCTTCTCGGCCTCCTCTGAGAAATCCGCGCTGGAACTGTCTTCACTCGCGGCCTCGTTCGCCTCTGTCATACCCGAACACGAGTTCTCGACTGCCGAACTTCAGGGCTACCTGCTGACATTCAAAAAGGACCCCGCCGGTGCCTCGCACGGCGCAGCTGCTTGGATTGCGCAGGAACAGCACGACAGGGAAGAACGGAAGCGAAAGGAAGCTGAGAAGAAAGCCAAGGCCAAAGAGAAGAGAGAAGAGAGGGAAGCAAGTGCGCTTAAAGGCCCTTTAGCGCGTCTGGGCGTGCAAGCAGGTGCTGCTAGTGGCGCACCGCAGGCACCAGCGATGGTACCACTTCCAATGCAGGTACAGGCCGGAATTTCCGGCGGTCCCGGACGAGGAGCGACGAGAGCCATGAGAGCCATGAGAGGAGGATTCGTGGGCGGCGTTGGAATGGACGGTATGATGATGATGGTTCCACCACCTAATACCTCCCAAGCTCTCGTCGGTCCTGGTACGGATGACATCGTTGTCGCCGACGCCGATCCTGAGGCGTTACCAAACAATGAAGAACCTTCAAGTTCGACTTCGAATGCGTCGAATGGCGACTCCGGAGATAGGGATACGATCGGCAATACTCCACCTAAGCAGCCTTTAGTCAACGGTATAACCATGGAGCCGGTCGACGCACCCGTAGAGTCGGTCCTAGAGTGAAGATCTTGCCAAGTCCGGACTTGTTAATATATACCCGCATGCTGTATAATATCGCACATATCTTCCTGCCATATCTTTACGGAATTCAATTTTTTGTAGACTCCATTCGCCATTCTCAAAAGCTGGAATTCCTCCGAGGATTCGGCCAGGTGACAACCAAGAAGGTCGGGTGGCGGAGAGTGGCGCATCCGTGCGCCGCAGTCCCCGGATCCAGACGGGGCAAAAGCACACGTGCGATATGCCCATTTATCACGACCGAGGAAGTCGACAACATCGAAATTGGAAAGAAACGAAAATGAATTGGAATTTTGCATTTATCTGGCTTTGCAAGAAGTACATGATTCAGGGTCATAGATTTACAGAGTGAATCAGCAGAAGCCAGCGGAGATCCATTTGTTTGCGGCATAGAATCCAGTAATGCTGTGTGGGTCCATCTTCAACATAGAGCTCCCCCATGGATTGGGTTTAGGACCCATATCTTGAAGTATATTAGCGCCTGCTGCCTTGAACATATCTGCCTGATCTCGGGCTTCTTGTTCATAGTACGCCTGAAAACGAGTTAACGAAGTTTTCGATGAGAAATCAGGCCAGCGTACCGTGAAAACGCTGGGAATCTTGAGCTTGACTAATGCTTTAATAGTCTCCTTCCAGGAAGACCTCTCTCCCTCTGAGCACCTCGAATTAAAGGCAATCGCAAGGTCAGGTTTCTCGAAAAGCTCCCCTTTGGCTTTTATGTAGATATGGTAGCTCCTGTGTCAACCTTAAATCAGAAAAGCGAATGAGCGAGGATAGATTACGTAATGCCCACCCAGGGACGAGGAATTGTCCTATGCTCCGACCTTTCTGCGAGCATTGCCTGTAGGAAAGCATTATTCGGAAGTGTGATGTAGAGTCTCTCAACATATTTTACTTACGGACAATTGCTTATACCGAACTCTCTTGTCATGTCTGCCGGCTGCACGATCCTCATGAGCCCCGGTCCACATAAGATGAGCTACCAAGGAAGACAAGAGGAAGAATGAGTCTCCGTTCTGGCGTGCGAAGGTAGTGAATACCTTGACGCTCTTTACGAGGGGAAGGCGATGCAATATTTCTTCGAAGACTTGGCGATGGTCAATTTCCGCTTCGCCTGGCACCAGGATCTGTCAAGGATAAATTTTCAATAATATTAGATGCGAATATAGTTCAGAGACTTACGTGGATATTCAAGGTCTTCTTCCTCGTCCACGCATTGCCTTCATTTAAGCACTCCAGCCCCCACAGAATTGTCATTATCATTGATAGACTCTCTGTGGCGCACCTCAACAGTGGCTCGAACGTACTGCCTGGTAGTGGCATCCCAAACATATCCTCCTTCAAATCGGATATCATTGATTTCCAACCGAGCCCTTTCAAGGGCTCCCAGGAGGCTTTGGTACGCTCCGGGTACCACTCGAACTCGCCCTCTGACGAGATACCTGGCGAAGACATGGAGGTAAAAAGCAGGGAGTCATCGTAGATTTGCTGGTTCAGTGCGCATTGCGTTCGGCCGTCCTGGTCATCGGGGCATGGGGAACTTTTGTGAATAATTCTGACTGCATCGCAGTGCTCCTGAGAACAGTAGAACGCGAGTTTGCAGTCAGGGCAGGGTCTGAGGGTCGCGAATTGTTGCTGCGTGCGCCTGGTGTCCGAGTCGATTCGGAGGAGCATCTCAGAGCGACCGCTTTGAGCCATTAGAATGTCTTTCGGGTGTGTATAACAATGCCTCTAGGACGTACCAGGAAAGGCAGCGAGGTTCCCAACCGAGAAGATTATGCTCGTTTCGGTGAAGTGGCCTACCGAGTTCTTGTTCCAGGGAGGGTATTAACACCTTCGAGACGCGCACGATGGACGCGAGGGCGTTCGCGTTGTCGCTGTCTGATCCTTTATAGTCCGAAAGTGAAAGCAGGTTGAAGGAATCGAGTATCTCTTTAGCAGTTTTTGTTTCAACGGCCTTCAATGCTTTGCACATCGCTTTGTGCTTTGACCAGTTCGCCTACATAGGTGCAGCGTCGGAATAGGGGCCATCTCTCAGCTGTAAAAACGTATTCCGCAACAATAAATTTGCGTACCTTCTGGCACTCTAAACGTTTAAAATGAGAACATTGGTCTACCCTCAGGAGATTTCATGGCATAGCACCCACCAGTACCGCAGTAGCTCACCCGACGACAGCCCGAACATCTCTGTAATGCTCCGTGACGTTGGAAGCAATTGTAACAAACTTGGCCAAGATTAGCAGGAAGTGGGGGCAGCACTTTTGTGGAGTTAGACATCATGGTGGTAAGGGTTCGAAAGGCAAGAAAAGGAAAAGGATGTATGGGATCTGAAAATGTGGAACATGCATGTAGCGGTCTCGAAACAAAGAGGCATTGATGCCGGTGAGCTGATCAGTGATCTGTGCACAACCACCCATGTTTTGAAGTATTATGGACACAGATTTATTGGCGAAATACAAAAAGAGGGTTTTGGGGGGGGATCTCGTACAGGTCGTCGTCGTGCGAGAAGGAAACTATCGAGACTTGAAAGAAGAAAACTGGTGGCATCCAACTGGATCACCGCTGGGCGAGCTAAATTCTCAAAATAGCATCCCCTTGGCATCCCCAAAATAATGAGCATTCGGCAACAGCCGACGGTATATAAAGCGTACTTCAAAAGTTTAGGAGTCCGGACGCGTCCACATCTCTTCAACTTCCACCACCCCCTTCCTCCGTAGCCTGCTATCCGCCTGTGCCATTCACTCTACTGCGGTATGATCTGGCAAGTTTCTTCCCTTCTTCCCTCCCTTTCCTCGGCAGCGACCTTCCGAACGACTTGTTGCGCATCCGCACCAGCATTCCCTGCCGATAATAGTCGCCCGCGAATAGTTACGGTAACGGATTGGCGAGCACCTTTCAACATTTTATGCACCTTTTTCATTCGGCGCGGTTCTGCATGTGTTCCCTGCGGCCTTGGCTAACCCGCGTGGTCGTCGTCGTCGTCGTGGTTCGACGCGCGTTTGTGAACCCTGGTGAAGTGATGTTTCCAAAAACCCGCAGACGGCGCGGGTTTAATGTCACGCTCTTGTCATACTTGGTGTTTTCGTAATTCTTGCCTACCGTTCTACCGTTGTCAAAATGGGCAGACGCTTCGCCTGGTGTCCATAGTTCTAACGCAGTAGCGACGAACCATGCAATTCTTATCGATTCGTAGGAGCGGTCTAGGATTATTTTTCTTTAACATAAATCCCTATCACTTTCGTTTCTCTGTCCCTGAAATTGATGCCTTTATCCGTATTTAGTTTGTGAAAGGCCTATATAAGAAAATCGCCACTCGACTTCCGTTTCCTCCCCCATGTCCACACCTCTAGTATTCTTGGGTTGCTTTGCCTATATCTCGCGGACGGAATCAGTGCCTTAGGGCATCTATAGATACTAAGGAGAAGCACACCACTCTTGTCCAACCGTGCTGCCGCCAGCGGTCCGCTGTAAGTTCATGCTCCTCACCATAAGCTCGAGTTTATTGACATTAAGTATGAGCGTTCTTGCACAAACTCAGACTCATCGAATGGCGAAACTGATGTCGAGCCAGAGATTAGCTCGGAATCGAAACCTCTACACCCTTCACTCACTTCGCTGAGATCCTGCACAACACTACGACGGGCCATACTAGATTGAGGACTCGGAGTCGCTGTAATTCATGATGAAGACCCCATTTCTGTAAGCCGAGCGAGAGGGATTATTTGATCTCCTCGATGGCTACATCCCTGGACCCTATGGAGAAGATCGAAGCCATAAACAACTACGCCGATACCTCCCAGCACGGCCCAAACAACGAAAATTTACCTGACAAGGCATTTATGATTGGCACACGTTGGTAAACGCGCCCGTCGACACTGGCAGCGTCCATAACTTTGTTCACTCCGTCTTCTTCTCCATGGGTCCTTCATGTCTAATACTATGGCTCTAAGCAGCATTTCACGCCGTCTCTAGACCCGAGTAAGGATCTGAAATGAATTGCATATTTAGTGGGACTATACATACGTCTAGTGACTAATTGGTTGGCTAACCTGCAACCACTTCAGTTCATCAAGAGTCATAGGAAAGCCTTGCGATTCCTTGTAATCTCGACGCCGGATGACTGTGCGAAACTGAGGGCGCTTGGCTTTTGAGCGCGAACTGTCACAGTTTCAATGCCATTCGAGGAAAGGCACGCGCTTCGGACAGTCTGCATGACGAATTTCTCCAATGTGAGGTATGACGACGCCTCAATTTCCTGAAAAGTCGATTAGCGAATAGGTACAGCGGCTGTGATTTAAATATTTATTACTCGCCTGACAAAGGTTTCCAACAATAGCCGGATAGTCGACAGCTGCTGGTCCACTCTTCTCGAAGAAGTCGATGTTCAAAACCACTCTCTGTTTTGATTCCCGTTCCGGAGGATTGACGCCAATGATGACAGAAAGGATGATATCTTTGACCGACACTTTCTTCGACCAAAGGGCGTATTCGCCGTTTCCATCGTCACCTGTCGCATATGTGCTATCGATGGTGAGCCCGCTCGCCAGAAGGATCATCTTCGGGAGTTCGAGCACGACCCTCACTTCCTCGGTCGCCTTGCCCGCCAGCTCGAAGGCTTTACCAGCAACAGACCAAGTCAGTTCACGAGCGTTGCGGAAGCCATTCTCGTTCCGCGATTCAATCAGCGAGGTGATAGCCTTGGTCAGGTGTCCATAGTGCACCGAGTCGAGGACATCGTCCGAATTACCAGCAGCGTCGAGGTAGGATGCCTTAAGATGGAGGTAGACCGTGATCTCGAGTGGCTGAGGGCGCTGCCGCCCCCAGCAGTCCTGTCCAATATTCGCTGATACGCGCAGAGTGTCGACGAAGATGATGTCTTTGTATGCTGGTACGAGCTCGTCTGTTTTTGCACTCATAGTGGTTGAATGCGAAGTGGCGCAGATGGGAAATCTTATCTCTGCTTGATCGCATCAGCAGTCTCGGTCCTTCCACAATAAATAATGCACTCATCCTATCTATGGACAATCTATTGATACCACTTCTCCCTTAACCTCTTTCTCTCCACCATCGGCCGTGTGATCAGGATTGCCAGCACAAGTCCACAAACCGTAAACACCAGTTGTGCCTTGTTGAAGTTCTCACTGAGAACATCAAAGGTGCCCGATGGTGCTACTCGTGTGATGAACATGTCCAGGCCGTACGCGAAGACGAGGGACGTTGATTCGAGCAAGGCGGGTGAGGTGATAATCCGCTGGACGTTGGCGACCTGTTGAAAAGGCGCACAGGTGAGCAGGGAAAAGAAATAGCAGAAAGGACTAACGTCGTAGTTATGCGAAAGCACCCTGCGAGTGTCGTCTGGTAGAACTGGATCATATTGGAGCAGGAACTCCTCTTGCTCTTCTGCTGTTGGCTTGCGGTTCGGTCTGCGAGGGTCGAGGAGGCGTCGAGGTACGTGCTGGACTCTATGGTTTTTGGTCGCCACTACATCAAAATTGCTCAGAATCTAACCTCGCAACAAACCAAGCTAACATACCGATCAGGTCACGGCTGGAGATACCAAACCGCGTCGTCGTAGCCGCGACGGCTGTAATGGGATGAGAGAAGATATATGCGCGCTCGTATGTCGAGAAGTTGAGAGTGTTGTTTGAAAATGAAGACATGTCCGGGCTACTTCTAGTTAGTGCAAAGATCAAAAGACTCATGAAAAGCTTAGGCCAACCTTCCAATCTTCTCATCCACCTTCTTGCCCTCGTAAAACTCAACACTGACCATCCTATACCCCGTCGTCCCACCGACACTCCCACCAGCCACCTCGCCTTCATAATAATGATAAACCAGCCAGTTCTCGATTAATGCGGACTTGATTTCACACCCCTTCAAAGTCGCCTTGACTTCAGTTCTGTAGATCACGCTGCCTTTGGCACTGTCGACCACATACAGGCCGCAAGTCGCGGTCGCAGGCGATGAAGTTAGGACAGTGAACATGCGCGGGTTGAGGTACTTGTAGAGCGTCGTTCTGTTGCCCAGGACCTTGCCGAACGAGGCGACGGGTCCCCGGGCGGCAGGTGGTTGGAGTGAGATTACATCCTCGCCCGGTGGAAGAGTAAGAGACCAAGTAGGGTGGGCGACAGGTTTACGATGGCCTTCTTCAGGAGGAGAGTGGGTGATTTTGTGGCCCATCACGCGCCTGACGCCTGAGTTGGATGTTCGTAATGGGAAAGAGAGAGCAGGCGAGATTTTGCTGAACGTCCACTGCGTCTCTGGAGAGTCTGGGTAGAGGTAAACCTAGACGAACAGATTGGCTTAGTGGGAATGAGAGGTGTAAATGCGATCAAGGCGGCAAACCTGCAGGAACTCGTCGAACAGAACGACAACCTTCTTATCGTCGTGATTTAAGAGGTATGCTTCGACAAGCGGTCCTTGGATGATATCTTGACCCTCAAGCATCGAATCTGCCTTCGATATTCCAGTAATATCTGTTCCAGTCAGTGCATTTACATGGAACACGACCGTATCCACGAGCGTCTATAAAACTCATATCAGTACCATGTCCAATGTAAAATTCAAACGAAGAGACTGACATTATCGGCCCTCCTCTGTCCGATAACCACAACCTCTGGATCGCCTCCATCGCTGACCGTCCGTACCGCAAACATCTTCAACGGATGAAACCGCCCGCCAATTTCGCCTGCCCATCCAAGGCCAAGTAGCCGGCTCCATACAATCTCTCCTGAGGACGAGTCGAGAGCAAAGATTTTGCCGTACATGGAGGCAGCAACGATAACCTGCCGGAAGCCAAAGGCGTCTCGAGATAGCCCTTCAGATGCATTGAACTTCGGTGAGGCTGAGACAGGCGAGGCATATGATCCAGTGGCAAAGCGTTTGGCAAAGTTAACCAGGTATCTAGGGAAATCCTACAAGAAGAGCCTGTCAGAATGTCGTTGGTATCGGTATGGGCAAAAGGAGAGGAAGTACCTGGGCATCGGCGATCTGATGGGTCAAGCGGGCGAAGAATCCTTCCGAGGATGGGTCGGCCGCACCGGATTCACTGGCAAACTTTTCTGGAATCTCCACGACCTCAGCAACCGCAATAGTCGCTAAAGATTCTTCCCTTGTCCACTTGAGCTCGCTTTGTTCCCAAAGCTGGACGGCGCCGGTGCTAGTGGTTACCAACAGACGCGTGTTCACAGTCAGTTCAGAAGGGTTCGAGGCATCTAGGATAGCCTAGTTGACAAGGTTAATTTGTCAACTTGACCGCACGAGACGGAAGGGGCATACATGTGTGATGATTCCGTCGCTTTTGCTGTCGAAGGGAAAGTAGAATCCACTGGTGACACCCTGACCTGAGAGAAGATGCCCCGCGTATACATCGGCGGCTCCTTTCTAGAAAATGAATTGAAGAGTGGGAAAATAAAGAGGCAAAATGTGTGCACCTCCATCCTGTGGGACCAATACACGCGGCCAACGTAGGACTGACCAAGTGCATCGATGGCACCAGCGTACATCGAGTCCGTGTTTGCAACTGAAGTTGCCTTCTCAAAGATGAGTTCTTGAAAATTTAGCACAAGAAAAAATACGCTTACCGAATCCTCAAACTCCCAAACGGCCTTCGCGTATCCTACGTCTCCATCAAGCCTCAACACAAAACTCGATCCATCCTGCCTCACAACCACCGCCTGTCCATGCTGCTCTAAGCCCAATTCAATGATGCTCGCATAGTTCGCGCCTTTGATCGGCTTTGCCTTCTCTTTCAGATTGGGCGACAGCCCAACGTATCGCAACGCCCCTTGCTCCAGCCACAACGCTACTGGTTTGGCGAGATCTGGCCTCGCGAGGACGGTGAATTGTGTCAGGGGGTCGACGATGCTTGAGGCAATGTTGGATGAAGTTATGACTTCGCCTGTGGCAGGTGAGAGTGAAGTAACGTGTAATGTGTAGGACGCGATAGATTTGGCAAGACCAACAGCATATAATGTGGTGGGTGTGAGAACGAGTTTAGAGTGAAGGACAAGAGAGCTGGAAAATGGTCACCGACTGACTCGCGATAGAACTAAGGAAACACGAACCTTTGGTCAGCAGACGTCCAAGTCCACTTCGTCTCGCCTGAAATCCCGTCGGTGCAAGTGACCGTGCAGCCATTGCTGAGAACGTATAGGTCCGTTGAGTCTGGAGAGAAAACTACGTGTTTGCCCATGAAAGGTTCTGAAAGTGCACCGGCTTCCGGTGGGTGCAGACGTTTCTCGACAATGAGTTGACCATTAAGACTATCGAAGGTTCGAAGAGTTGAGCCCCCAGGTCCTGACAGCGTCGCGACCACAGCTAGAGGATGTTCACCATTCAGCTCATAGCTAAGAGGTACAACAACACACCAGTCGCATTTCTAAAATATCCAGCTATCCGGTCCTCAGGGTCGAATATGTATCTCCAGACTGTTCAATACGTTATTTAGCTATGTGGAAGAAAGCCTTGAGAAATAGCGAACTCACGAACAGACCCATCCTCTGGCTCAAGTGCAGCCAACACATTGTTGGCAGTAGCAGTTAAAATTATAGCCTTATCTCCTTCTCTATGGAATGAGGGCGAAGTCGCTATCGAGCCTGAGAGTGGCACGCCGATGAGCTTCTTGTGCCAGTCGACGACACCAACATCGGCTTCGTGTAGTGCCCAGGTTCCGGAGATACATAGCGACACCAACGCGACCGCTGTCGTTAAGAGCCTCATTCTGTTGAGGACTCTGCAGTCGTAGATTTTGGGCCAAGAAGCCGTATAGTGGTGTTGGTGGACTTGACGTGGGATAGCTGGTGCTCGTCCTCGTCACTAGTTAACTGCCTAACGCGTTGACGAAAGCTTTCCCACGGGCTTTATCTACACTTGCTTTCTCCGTTCATCATCCCTGCCTGCCTTTTTCTAATAAAGGCTCTGCTCCAACAAACCCTCGTATTTCTCCCCTAAACCATGACAGCCGAATATGATGCCGACCGATGGATAGAGATGTTGCGGATTTGCCAACATCTCCCTGAGGTGGATATGAAGAAGCTCTGTGACCGCGTGCGCAACATCCTGCTCGAAGAATCCAATATCCAACCTGTCTCAAGTCCCGTAACTATTTGTGGTGACATACACGGGCAATTTTGGGACCTGCTGGAGCTACTAAGGAAGGGTGGCGAGGTGTCAGAAACGAGCTATATCTTCATGGCACGTATGTTGTTCTGGTAGTCGTCGGATACGAGGGGCGGCTTATCACGGAGCTGCAGGGTGATTTTGTGGATCGGGGGCACTACAGTCTGGAGACTGTTTCGCTTCTCTTTGCTCTGAAGGCCAGGTGCGCACCTTGGATCTCCTTTTCTTGATTCATTAATATAATTTGTTCATTCCTCGTAGATACCCTAGTAGAGTGATACTTCTCCGCGGAAACCACGAAAGCAGGCAAATTACGCAAGTGTACGGCTTTTATGGTACGCCCATTTTGCGAATCCTGAACCCCCGAAAGTTCATGTCCTTTCAAGATGAATGCCAACAAAAATACGGCAGTGCGACTGTATGGAAGACATGTTGTGGAGTGTTCGATTTCCTCAATCTTGCGGCGGTAGAGATACCAATAATTTGTCACCGGAGTGTCCTGCTCAGTCCTCATTCTGGGTGTAGATCATCGACGGGACGACATTATGCGTGCACGGGGGCCTATCGCCAGATATCCGAACGCTCGACTCAATACGAACGTTATCTCGAGCTCAGGAGATTCCTCATGAAGGAGCTTTCTGTGGTGCGGACAACCTCATTCGCCGCCGGATGGGTCGCAATCTGACAATCCAGTTTTCATCAGACCTCATGTGGTCAGACCCGGACGATATAGAGAACTGGGCCGTGAGTCCTCGCGGTGCAGGGTGGTTATTTGGTGGCAGCGTCGTAAAAGAGGTTCGTTCAACAAGCCTCTGCTCCCTGGCTCAAGACCTTACCATCCTTCAGTTCAACCATGTCAACTCCCTAACTCTCATCGCCCGTGCCCATCAGCTTGTGCAAGAAGGGTATAAATACATGTTCGACGAACAACTCGTCACCGTCTGGTCCGCACCGAACTACTGCTATCGCTGCGGAAACATGGCGTCCATCATGACCCTGCACGAGGATGGATCCAAGAGTTTTACTGTCTACGACGCCGCCCCGGAAAATGAGAGGGATAAAGCTCAGGGAAGAAGAATGGTAAGCGCGTTGTGTCCGTTCGATTCTTGCGTGGGTGTGCTAATTGCTCCAATTTCTCCTTGATTAGAGCAATATGCCATATTTCGTGTAATCGGCACCTAATCTCACTGAACCGTGTGCCTGATCCCATACTAGTTATAAAGTGGTTATCCTTCATGAGTAGAGTAAAGGTGCTGAAGGAACTTATCATATAATTACATAAGCACTGTTCGATGTTGAAATGTCAAATTTGGGCATTGAAATATTGAAGAAGGATAGCGCCACTGCAAAACCTCGAGACGTCCAGCCTAGCGCCTTCATTCTCTATCGAGACTTATGTAAACAAATGTTGCTCAAGGGTTGCATTTGCCTGCAGCATGTCCCAGTCATCCACTGATAAGATATCGGAGTCCGCCTAAGTATGAGAGATCTCACATTCGCCAAACATGTGCATGAACCACTGTCGTCAAGGCCACCTCAGGCGATTTACAAGTACAGGCTTCATTGCAGCACCATACACTAGCATGCACTACTTTCGCTCTTTAGCGTGGCTGATTTCGGTTCCGAGGAAGTCCATAACACGGAGGATTGAGCAAAGGCGCTTGGTAGGAGAATGCAGTCAGAATTGTACTATCTGGGATCCCACTCACACCCACCTCTGCTTATCATTCTCCAGAAGTCTACTCGGACTCAAACTGTGAAGCGAGTAACAAAGACTCTGATCCCAGAGAGGATGACACCTGCAAACCAGGAGTGTTGCGACTTTTCGAACAAAGCCCGGCCATACGTTTACTTCGGGGCCAACGCTTCAGCTCACCGCCCTATTGCTCTCGGATACGTTTCAGAGCGTCCCAACAACAAATCCTTTCGCGCCGTGCCATTTCCTGAGGGGACCTTTGGGGTGCTCTACTACTATCATGACCGCACCCACCCAGCGGTATCTGGCAATCTACGCCTCCGCATATGTGATAGTCCAGGAAGCTTCGGGAGAGGGAAGGACCTGGAGCAAGGGATCGGCGAGCCTTGGAGCGTCCCGCTGTTCTCGCTCATCAGAAGCCCTTGCTACACGCCCATTCGCCGCCTGCTGCGCATGGAAGGGCTCGTTGATAACGGCTTGGTGTCGTACCTAGAGCAACTGCCGCTACTAATAGGTTGAACCCCGCGTCGTATCCTATATCAACTGGATCAACCTTTCGTTGTTGACTTTGAGCAACAGCAGTTCAGTTTTTGCCTTCTGACGCGTCACAGTTTCTCTCCACCACCATTCCCCTGTTTCCGCCTATTTTATGACATTTCTATAGGGCGAAAGCCGGGGTTCCAACCATACTGCGGTTGGTTCCATTCACTTGAAACGGATAAAAATCTTCTGATAATTGAATTTAATTATACAGGACGCGCCAGAGTCCGCTTTGAAATCTCGACCGCATTCAAGGACAAAACTCCAAACCTCGTCTTACGTTTCCTAGAACTCCTGACTCCAATTGAGCGGGTGGAAACGGGTAACAACTTCATGAAGTGTCCTGAAGCAGGAGACCTGCTGACTAGGCATGGAAGACTTTGGCGACATCCACTTAATCGCGGAGCCTTGGGTCCCCATTTCAAGGAGTTCATTCGGCATTCCCAGGTGAGTGTGACAAGAAAGATGGTCTACTACTCAGTGGACTAATGTTGTAATCTTTCTGTCAGCCTTCTCTCTACTCGAAACACTGGCCTGGGGACTAAACATTCCGATTAGCTGTCACTGTACTAAACGGATTCGTGTATTCGGCTCAGTTGGGTATTTTACCACCACTTTCCAGGAGGCCCTGTTTGTGCGCTGTCCGGAAGGCTCAAGGCATAGATGTACAAGAGCCAAAGGCATTCTGAACAAGGCCTGGGTTGACATTTATTATTACAATGACTGATACAATAAACGCTTACAGTCGTGCGGGGACTCCCTACTCTTCGAATAACAACACCTTCTGCGAATCCGGCCATTTATATATCGGCAGATGTTTGGTGGTCGCAATGAGACATTCGTCATGGGTGACCCAAGCCAAAACGACTGGCAGAATTTTTTGGAGAAGGTCGTTCAACGGAGGGGTCGGCACTTTCTAGAATCAAACGAAAAGGATCTAACACCGGAGACTCGCCAGCAATTTCTATCCTCGGCAGGTGTATAAGAATCTTTCCCTGATCCGCCAGCAGCTAAACAAGACCACAGATTCTACCGAGAGTCGTCCAAATGCTTCATTGGAGGGGGCCGTTCCTGTATTCCGGAAGCGGAAGCGAGATGATCCCCATAGTCATCGGCGACGAGAAGACAGGCAATCGCGGTTGCAGTGCGGCTTCCATACCCAAGCGACCCTAAGGATGGGTCCACCCGGCAACCTAGTAGACCCGGGAACATTACCCCGATCTCAGTGCGCGGAAAAGGAACCGTCTGTTAGACGACAGACGCCCGAAGACCGCGACGAATCATCACTTCCGTCTCCTGCTGCCCTGCCAATTCCTGATTCCCACAAGCATAAAAATGAATTTAATGTGGATACGGATGATGTTGAACTTGAAGCACATCAAAATCGAACCAAAATACAAAAAAATGACCGAAACCGATGTGCAGAGTTGACGGCACAATCAACTGACTCGGATTCAGAGTATTTGCCCGACAAATCGTCCGAGAAGCGAATCAAGCGGCATCTGGGAAAGAATAATAAGAGAGCCGAAAGGAACGGTGGATTAACACTTTCCAATTACGCACCTACAGTCATGAAGGTGCGGCGTGCGGCGTGCCTAAATAAGTGTGGCAGGACATTCAGTCGTGCTCATGACGCTAGACGGCATGCTAAGACGTCATGCGAGAAAAGAAAAGAGGAGATCAGTACATATTTCTGTGAACCGTGTCAACGCCCATTCAACCGGTACGTCAATCCTTGATATTTATTTATGTGACTGAATCACGCGACAGCATGGATACTCTACAAAGGCATCGAAGTACAGCTCACAAGCTCCCGTGAAGGAACATAAAGGTTCACAAGGGTCTTGCTACCCCGCCTACCTTAATTTCAAATGTGTGTCGTTCTTCTTGTAGTTGGATTGAACAAGACACGCTGATGCATGTCCCATATTTGGCTCCAGTGGACCCACAATCGCCCACGTGGTTCACCGCAATTTCACCCATTCAGGGATCGAAATAAGAGGAAAACAGCACAACAATACAAACAGCGTCCATATGACTCCTCTAACAATGCAGGGTATATATATCTCCCTTGTCTGGCAGAACTACCATACTCCACATCCTCTTCACGCTTCACTCACCTTGCCGATGACTCTCCTCCTTCCACCACCCACCCTACATGCATTACCTCACCAACGACCCTGTCCATTTACGGCACCCCCGCATGATTTAAACCTGACCGAAAACGCCACGGCATTGCAATCCCGACCCTTTCTACTCTCACCAGCAAGATTCTCCGAAGACGACTGCCACGATGATGACGACGAGTCGGAGGTAGAAGATATCTGCCATCCGTCTCCAGGCTCTGACACCTACGACGGTCATGTGTCCGAAGCCACCTCCACTGCAAACCATTCCATCAATAATATGGAATTTCCAGGCGCTCGGAAGAATGATGGCGAAGCGTCTGCTGTAGGTGCGCCGCTCCCTGAATCGACAATTCTAATCCATGAGCGACGGGACCCACAATTACTTCTCCTTCCAGAAGCAGATGAGGGGCCTAATTCGGGAGAAATATCGGGGTTATCGTTGATGGAGAATAGGGATGACGACTCAGATATCTACTGCACGCCGAGCCCTCCACCGATGCCCATGCAATCCAGAATTAACGTGCATTCGCTGGCAGTGAAGCAAGAGGATGCCAGCGAGGAGGACGTCTCCGACATCTTGGGCCCTCCAGAAGCAGGAAGCTCCCGCCACGGGTCAGCGGGAACGCCTGACGCGGTATCGACCCCAATTACGTGGAAGCTGGACACAGCAGAGGAAGTTCGTAGGTTTGGCCGCTTTCCTCGTACGCCACTTCCTCTCTCGTCTATGATTAGTTTCGCTCACGGTTATTTCACAGCGCTGCCTAAGGATCCCGACGACGCCAATAGTCGGCAGCCTACGGCGCCGCTGGTGGGAGCTAACTTGACCGAAAGTACATCTGAATTTTCCCTCGAAACCCCAAAGGATGCAATTGGCGAGCAATATTCCTTACCGCACGCTGAATATTTGCCCCGAAAGCGCTCAAATCTCAGGGTGTGTGTCGAGATCGTCCGCCCGAGAAAGAAAACAAAAGTCGAGCCGAGTGAGGTGATAGTCATAGACTCGGATTCGGAGACCGGTGAGTGCTCTATCCAAGATCATGGTTCAGCCGAAGTAATAAATAGACTAGATCCCATGGTCGAGGAACGTTCGAATAGCATTGCCATTGGGCATTCCTCTCCGAGGCGCCGGAAATCTATTAAGCGCCTAAAGCGAATGCCATCAAAACTGCCAAGAAAGAAAAACACCGCAGTCGAAGAGAAATCGCGAAAAAGAAGTCTCCCTGCGAGAACTTCTTCAACTTTTCCTGCCGTTAGTAAATCACTTGTGGACTCCCTCGACGATTTGCCTCTCTCTGCCGTCGAGCCTGAGGCCGGCAATTCAAGGCCGCGGAAACGTACCCGGCGACAAGCTCCCAGGCAACTCTCTATGTCGAAGGTTATTGATTTGACATCTGATCGAGAACAGTCCCCAGAGGATATTTCCGACTCAGAATATATTCCCAACGACGAGGAGTCCGAATCGGAGGACTCGGAAGTTGAGGTCCTGGTGGAACCTCGGCCCTTTCCAATGTCCCTTACACCCCCTCCTCTGTCTGCTGCTTCCGAGTCACCCGAACAGGTTAATCGATCTCTCCCTGTCCAGAGGAACGAGGCTAGTCCCCGGCGATTTATCTCGACCCACAAAACATCATTTTGGAACGTTATCGATTATCAAGTCTGACAGAAGACAGAACATACTCATGAAACATTCGACGGTTTGGACAGTGATAAATAACATGTCGGACCTTACGTAGGCTAGAGTAGACAATTAGTACAAGACAAGAGTGCTATACCGTCAACCTACTTCTCAATGTAAATGGGAAAGCGGAAAGCGGAATTGTGGCCTTCCAAGTACTCAGTCAGCTGCCCGATGAAATCCGCTAGAAGGAATCGTAAAATTAGACAAAATATGCTCTATGCCGCGGGTGGTATTCCTGGTGAGATACTCGTTTCATACGGTCGCTTTGGACTCTATTCGGAGTGGTCTTTCGAGCGTCAATGATGAATAACCGGTGTTGTAACATGTAAGAGAAGGCTAACCTTCGGCTTCACTGCGAATCTATTTTTAGCTCACTGCCGATAGCGTCCAACTTAACTAAAAGGAACTTGCACAAGGCAGTTTGGGTATGCTGGTATAATCCTGGTTCCAGCTTGAGTGAAATGGATTATTGAGAGGCTGAAGCCTCTAGGCGGGCTTGGAATTCAGCAACACCTCGCCCTACGCCTCGCGGAGGCTTGCTGTCGACTTGCTATAAGTAGCTCTGCTAACTTCTAAGAATATGAACGCTATAAGTAACGACGAACCATCTCAGGATCACCTGTCAGGCAGCCGAAGGACGGAGGACACTGATGGCGTATCATACCCGCGCCTAGGTCGAATATCGTCATAACCAATTTAGATTCTACATCTCCCATGCACGACATCGTCCGACAAATCCCGCTCATGCGGCGTAAGGCGGTTAAAGCCCGCCGAAATACCAAGTTCTGTGACACGTTCGCGAGATGGCGCCGAAGCTCGAGGGTAATGCAAACGCGTGTGGTACATACCAGATTCCAGTGGCCTTGAAGTCACCCCCAAGGAAAATAAAAGGTAATAAAAGCTTCGTTAACTCGTAGCCATGAAAGTAGACGTTATACAGTAGAAATCGATAGAGTACAATCATCGATAGCAGTGTCGTGACTTCAATCGTAATAAAAGGCCCTTCATCCAAGGACGATTTCACGTCAACGTAGGCAAAAAACCATCTAAGAAGCCTTCCGCTTTTCCACCAGCGCAGGAGGGGAGAAGGAGACCAACCTGTTAATACAAAGTCCAAAAGTACACTGAACCCTCCTATTCTCCTGGATAGAGGCCTCTGAGGGCACCTCAACCTGAGTCCTCTGATCCCCGGCTCCCTTTTCGATTGATATCGAGCCCACTAGTCGAGCTATGCTCCGGAACCACCACAACTTCAGCAACGCCTACCTCAAGGTGCGGTAGTGGCTTTTCTTCATCCTTGTCCCGTGAAGCTGACTGGATTTGCGGCGTCGCCTCTAAGGGATGTGATGATTCAAGTGTCGGATGCGATCCAGTTGCAGAAGAAGGTCGTGATGACGAGGCTTGCGATGTAGATCGTGAAGGCATAGCGATCAGCACCGCAACGCGCATCGTCGAAGGCGTATCACTACCTTCCGGCAGTTCCGTCATCGGTATGTCCGCTGTTGACCTATTTCCTTGCCCAATGCTAGACGGCGTTCTTGAGTTCAGCCCCATTCGCTGACCAGCAACGACGGGTGCAGGTAACGGTGAGGTCTGCACGGGAGTCGGGTTGAACGCCTGAGCTACACGGGAGAAGATCCTGCGTGTCCGTTCTCTTGCAGTCAGCCGGGGTGAGAGTTCGTTGGCAAGGGACGTTGTCGTTGGAACTGGGATCGGGGTCGCTGGAGGCGGGGAATCACTCTCTGGACCAACATATGCGGCGGAGAACGGTCTGATGGTGTCCCATTCGACGGCGCTAGAATCTGCCCTCCAAGCATTGCTAATCTTCTCGCCACCTACTCCTCCTGCGCTGTACAACGCCCCATCCTTGCCGTACCCCACAACCCCACCGTCTTTCCCGATGTACGCTTCCCACAGAATGGGCTTCTTGCTGAGGTCGACTCGAGGCGATCGGGAGGTGTTGGCGGGCGCTGGCGGGACCCAGGTACCATTCCGGATCGCCTCTTCAACCATCTGCCGATGTCGCCGTCTGAGGACATAGGAACGGGCGACGATGGCAGCAGAGACAGATAACAGAAGCACTAGCGTGGCTAGGAAGGTGTATACTGAGGGAGTGCGTTAGAGGTGCGGTGCGCCAAGTCGGGAGACAAGCACGCACGGTAAAGTGATGCACTCGTCGCTAGCGAGCCGTTGTTGAAGCCTCCTCCTCCGCCTCCACCTCCGCCTCCGCCGCCGCCGCCAAATCCACCACCACCGCCACCAGGAGTGAAGCTGGTAGTCGTAGGTGCGGTGGTCGTTGTCACAGAAGGGAGCGAGCTGTCACTTGAGAGTGAAGCAGACGGTATGGACGACCCTGACGATGATAACGATGACGTGAACGATGCCGAAGAACTCCCTGACGTCGTTGCCGAAGACATGATGATTAGGGGCGACTATGGAGCCAGTGGTGTACGCTGGGGAGATGGTAGTGGTTGAGAGTAGAGATCGGGGAGTGGACGGAAAGTGCACACCTATATTCGGGAAAAGAAAATCACAGTTCCGAGAGTACGCCTTTCCTGAAGCCCTTTCGGGTCGTGGGTTCCCGCTGCGCAGCGTAGGAAGGGAATAGCCTTGGAAGTTGGTACGTGGTATTATCAATGCACTTGAATATCACCAAGCTAACGCCGTTTGGAGGCCTATTTAAAGACTCGCTGGTGCCGCTTATTGTCCAGCCTCGGTGCGTGGGGAAGATGGGCGTGCCAAAGTTACACCGCGAGTGGGTGCAGGAGCAGCTGAGCTACTCAGAAGGATGCGGAAGACGACGACGGTGAGGAAGGAGACGACGGTGATGCCGGGGATGAGCGTTTATAACAGACAGGGGAGCAATCCCCGTCGTCGCCCAAGAGACCAAGACAAAAAGAAGAAGGTACAAGTCTGTTCTCTAAATTCCGATGACGCTTTTATTGTGCTCCGCAGGCAGGCCCTCGAGGCGTATTTATCGCTGATTCTATCGAGCTTCTTGCTACGGTCACCACCGGCCTGCAATCTCCTTCCTGCCAACCATCCTCGGGCTTCGCTATATTCACCCATCCTCGCGGAATCCCTGGACTCCTCGTCTTTAGGATCCTCCGACTACGACGTGCGTCTCTTGAACGGCATCTGGCTGGCGCGTGCGATGCCGTCATGGGATATGTCATCTTTCTGTTATAAATGAGGTACATGCCTGCCGATGTGTAATCTCCCTCGCAAGCCCTCGCACAGCCTTTTGCGATCGTCAGAAACGGGTGCTCCTTTTCTCTCTCTCATCATGGACTAGATATTTTCGTTATCCCGCCTACGAGTTCACCTTGACCTCCTCTTCGATCCAAGCATGTTTCTTGTGCGTTTTCGCGGGAACAAGTCTCTTTTTTCGCCTTGATAAGGATTCTGCTTCTTTCCTTGAATCCTTGGCACAAACTCTCCTTGACTGACGCCGTCAGGTAGCGCACTGTAACGCACCGCCTCCCTCAATCCCGTGCCTCCTTATGCAGCCTTACGCCCCTCTCGCGGCTTGCTTGGCCATGTCAATGTCAAAGAACTCACCTCAGACCAGAGTCAGCGGTCAGCAGAATATATAACATCTGGATCCTTGGCCGCCGTACGATGGTAAGTCTGCACCATGATTGATATCAACCCGCTGCGCATTGATGAACGGGGTAGGACGAGCCTCAGAGAGGCGGCACGCATTCGTCATATCGCTCCAGCGCGTCCACAGGCGTCCACAATGCTGATCAAGGCTTCTTCTCATTCCCGATTGCTCGCCGGTGCTCCTCTCCTTGGGCATATTTTCTCTCTTCTCGTCGTCAAACTGTCTTCTGGAGAAGGGCTTTCATCTCTTGCATCTCGTCTTCTGCGATCCAGGGAGAATGAGCTACTCTAGAGACCTCACGACCTCAAGCCTCATGTTTGACATCCTTTCCTTTGGCATGGTGGTCACTCCTAAACGATTCCGCCGCTCGTGCAGACCAGAGTTCTCTATCTTCCCCGTAGCACCTTCTAACACAGTAAATGACGTCTCGAGACATGATAAATGTCTTGAAGCCTCGAGGATATGTTGCTGCCGGCGGCATCGGCCGCCCTTAAATTTCCAATTGGTTTTGGTCTTTCGAGGAGCCTCGGACCGGGGTATGCGCCCAAGGACATGAACTTTGAAGCCTCTCAACTATTCATTCACCTGCGGTACAACCTCACAAAATCTCTGGACGATCGGTGATCGAGGATGTCGTTCGGATACTGGGAGAGTTTGGGATGCTGTCGCGTGGACGAGGCGAGGCTTTTGGGTTCAATGGAAGACCGTCGGACCTCGAGAGATCGTTTTAACTGTGCATACTGGCACGAAACAATTCTGCATGTCTATGAAGTTGTGATCGTTTCTTTGGGTAAAGCTTCATTCTCTCTCGACGTTTGAAATACTTCTTGCCGCGAGATGTCCCTGTGTTTCCAACGTGTCCGTCTTCTTCAATTCTTCCTCTCATCCGACGTCTACCCTGCACTCAAAACGTCCGAAACACTTAATTCAAAACCAATCGGGCATCGCACGAGGGCGTCTCATCTTCTGCTGGTCGTTGAAGGTCAAGCGTTTCGAGGAGATAAGATGAATAATTATAATGCGAATTATTCTAAGTAATGCGCCAAGAGTAGAGTATGTAAGTATAGTGCAAGTGAACATTTCTTCTGAATCATACAACGCCCCGTGTTCACGCTCTGCCCATCCTCGTCGGGCCAGAAAGCAGCTACTCGAGTTCATCAAACGCTCCCAATAAGCCAATTTCGTGTCTGCAAGATAACTAGGTGGCTTGCACATCTTAAATGCCTTCGTATCCATCCTGACGTGCTTCGACTTTGGGACGCGGCGGAGGATACCTTCAAGGGTTCTGCAAAGAACTCCAGTTCGTCGTGTTGCATGCAGAACTCGAATGATTGGGGATTATTGGCGCCTGCTTCCGGCAGCCGTTCCTGCGAGAGGAATGCTTGTTTCGGTATCCTACCGCAGGGGTGACTTTCTGGCCGATCTTCAGGTGTTCTTCTCCCAGTCATACGTTCGAGCCCGCGCAGGTGCAGGTATGTTGTCCGCGGCGAGCGTATGAGTCTACAGAGCTCGCTCCTGAACTCCGCTCATAGAGAAGACCAATTACCGTCGTGAGCGAACGTTATATCAGTAATACCCTGTCCCGAGGTGCTGCCCGGGGCCGTCGAAAGCCAGAGAATCCAGAAAGGAAGGGCCAGCAAACAACGCCAGGCTGCGTAGTCGCCCCTAGGCGCGCGTCACCGGTCTCCAGTTGTATCTGATCACCCTCCACCGCGGTGGTACGCGATTAGCCGGGATCTCAGTCTCTGCAACGAACGACGTCGAATGCTGGGGCGAAGGCTCTGGGGGTTGGATCGTGGCTAGGGATTTTCGCGACCTGAGCCCGTATCCGTGTCCCGTAGGTGGAGGAGAGGGTCCTTTCGTCGATCTCGAGGCCAGGGATGAGAGGACTTGAACAACGGCATTCTCCTTGTCGTCGTCAAACGCCCGGGGTTGTCGATCACGCTGGAAGCCATCCGTTAGAAGGGGTTTCTCTGAGGCAACAAAATAATGAAACTTACCTGAACCTGCTCACTCGTGGTGGCCAATAGGAGGAGGGGGTTCTGAATGCCTGACATGTCCATTCTGCGGCGTCTGGGAGTTTCTTGAAACAGGACGATGGTGTGGTAATCGGTAAGGTGGTCAGGTGTCCGAGAGCGGTGCAAGTAGCTGGGGAGACGAGGGCCGAACTGGGATCCAGCAGGAATCCAAAGCACTTTATATCCCTCCAAGTGCTTGTGCACTAAGTGGCCCGCGTCGTCGAGACCAAGGGCGTATTCCCATATCCGGAAGGCGGATGCCTTTGTGTGGCCACCATCAAAGCGAGTGGCGCGCCGGACAAAGGAAGGGAAAGTAAAAGCATCCGTAACTTGGGACAACACGCTGAGACCTGGACGCGCATTGTTCGATGTTCTAGTTGTAAGCGTCGCCGTTCTTCACCACCAGATTTGTGGCTCCGGGAACCTCTGACCTCCCTCGGTGGCTCCGGGATTCCTGGCAGCGTGGGATAGGTGCATCCCACTGTCGCCCGTGCTATACCTGAGCCTGTGTATCCTTAATATGAGCTTCTGAACAATTAGAACCAAAATCAAGGACATACCTTGGCCGATACGGCGACATCGAGAGACGTCTACGAGAACGGGAGGGAAAGGAGACGCCACAATATGTAAACGTTCGAAGATTGAATATATGAGCTATTATACTCACGACGCGTGGAGAGTAGAGAAGCTGGACTGCATCTACGCTTGAGATTGTGAGGGTAATTCCGAGTACAATGTCAACATTGCCACTCACATGCAACAGATAAGATTGAGAGTGGAATATACATAGACGCAGCCGGAAGGGTTAGATAGATATGAGAGGGAGACGCAGTTGAAGACGAATGTCAAATCGTCAATTCACGACCACTTACATACCTTTTGAGATGACAAAGGTTGTTTGTAATCTGTAGTCACAAACCTTCTTTCTCTCTTTTCCCTTGCTTTTGTCTTTACAATAGCTTCAAAGATGGTTTTCCGAAGAATTAAAAGAAGTCTTAAAGGTGGGCAAACAACCGAGGAGGACCAGGGAGGACCAGTCATGATGTGGCTGTGCTGCATCGGGTACCCTAAATGGGTAAATGCGCCGCACCCCCGAGACCGACATTGCTGAAAATCCCGGATTCGGGGGAGCTATTGAAAATGTAGTTAACGATCCAAGTCTCCGACATTATATTTCCCTGGTCTCTCCAAGGGCCGAGATTAGCTTGGGACACTCACTATACCGCGCCTGCTCGTATTCCTCCTGTATGCTATCGCGCATAACATCAGTGATCTCTGCAGGGAAGACACAGTCTCACAGGGCCTCAGATTGGGCCAGCATGGAGAGCGTAACCTAGGCATGCTTTCGAAGACGTCACGCGGGGAATGGTTGGCATTTCTTCAGAGAGAGATGCAGATGAAGCATACGCAAGCACGAAGGAGGACGCCGAGCAGTCGATAGTCTGGAAGGACACGCTGCTCCCCCACGGATCGTGGCGAGCAGAGTGACAACCAGAAATATTGTTAAAATAGAATGGGATTGGATGGACTCACGAAGCATCGTCTTGACGAACTGACTTGGGTATATTGAATACCTCTGCCGCAACATTGCTCGATATCGCCTTGAACACCGGAGAGCTCTCATGGAAGGTGTTCATGACGTCCCAGGTCGCGTCCCCCGGATAGAGTGTACACTGTGCGATATAACCGTTGCGGTGTCACTTGTGGCCACAGGGAGACGCTCAGAGTCCCATGCCCCCTTTGTCGTTTCAGCTTTTATGATGTAATAAAGTAAAGGTCCCTTTGAAGGAAGATTCAAACCTTTTCTCCAATGGTAAGCAGGCAATCGACGCAGTGGCTGTGTCTGCTAGTCCGGATTTGGCAAATGCGCCGCATTCCTCGCGATTCTGCAGACCCGAAACCAGAGTTACGTAGTAATAGCTCTGACTCACACGACTTGTAGTCTCCGGAGCCCTGTGCAATAGTTTTTATATCATGGCTCTACCATTGTTGGTCCATGACGACGTTATGAGTGTCAACAGACTGCTTGTGCTCAAAACAAATGCCACAAACGGAAAAGTCAGAAATCGTTCTGCGATTACTATAAATACACACTATGGCAACATACCATGCAGAGAAAATAGCTGCGGAACGTCGATGAAGAATAGTCCGAGTAAGTGGTTTGTAAGTGTTGCCCCAGTCGTCCGAATTTTAATCATGTCCGTGCCGATGCCTCGTATGTCAAGGTATAGTAGATAATACGGGCGTGCAGTGTCCATCCATTTCCCCGAGGCAATGAGACGGCTTTGAAGTTGGACGACGCGCAACCTGGTCTAAGGGAGACCTCGATATCGGAAGGTGATAAGGGCCGTCATCGAGTAGACATCGTGCAGCTGTAATGCGATCGCTGAGGAAACATGGTGCGAGCCGATCATCCTATAGGAGGGATATGGATCTCCAATGGACACTGAGAGTCCCGAAGGAGGGGCCTCCCACTTTCAATCTTCCTCCGGCACAACCTTCAATTCCGTGACCTTGAACCATCTCGTCAGCACCTCCAACGTCTCCCTCTGCGGCCCTTCCCTTGTGATCCCCGCGGTCGTCTTAGTTCAGTTGTATACCAACTCCACCTTCCTGGGGGAGAAGGATACCGAGAGTGAGGCGAATGGGAAGGGGGCGATATGCTGGCGCTGGGTGCGGGTGCTGGTGCTGGAGAAAGAGAAAACGGAGGGCGTCGAGGAGGATTTCTTGATGGAGACGAAGGCATCAATACGGGTGAATTTTTTGGGTTATGCTTGACCCGTTGGATTTTCGGGTGAGGTGCACTGACTGGCGTGCCTGTCGTTGCGGGGAAGGGTAGGCCGTCTGTTGGGAACCGTTGTTGGTGAAGAGAGCCACGGATCGGATCGCGTTCAATGTCGAAGGTGTTGATGCGAGTTCTCGAGGAGTTGGGTCGGGATAAAGTGTCGCCAGATTCTGTCATGTTTCTTTGGAGTCTTCAAAGGCCACAGAAGAATCGAAACCTGAAAAAAGGTGACTGGAACTGTCGTGGCTTGAATCGAGTTTAGCACACCTCTTCACATCGTCTTCGTGCACTACCGTTCTTAGCACGCCACTTGGCCGACACACCAGGTACGAAGGCCCTTTAGCCGCACTTCTCCTGATGGTCGTGCCATTTCTAGCCCTTCAAACTTACATGACCAAACGCCCGAAAGTGACAAATGCCGAAAGGTCGGGATATCAGTACGATTTGATTGATTGTAGGAGGAAAAATGTGAGGGTGAGTATATACAAGTGCGAATTGGATTGACCTTCGACCGATGAAAAGAGGGGGATTGTGAGATCGTGCTTGAGAATTGAAGGAGAAATGCGACAATGCAGTGATACGTGTGCGAGCGAGACGAAAGCAGTGAGGACAAGCGCAAAGAGAAGGACAAAATTGCGAAGAAGAAGCGAAACATAAAATTAATTCATGGTCATGACGGGATTGCACAAATAAATAATTGGAACTATGGGAGAGGATCCATGCCCTCCAATAGAATAAACAAATGTTGAGTGCGGAGTGTTGAAGGAGGAATGTGAAATGAAAATGCAAATGTGTAAGTCGAATGTACAGCAGAATGAGATTCCGAGGTCAGAAAGAAAGAAAATAAGATACGAGGGGAGCAAGGTGACCGGAATGTAAAGGAGAGAAGGATGAATAGGATGGAAGGATGTCCGCGAGAGTATCAAGTACGACGCACTGTTCACTCTCCATTTCCACCACCCATTTTCCATCTATGAAGGTATGGTGGGTTCCTCCTCCTGCGCAGATCGTGGTGCCAGTCAGCCATTCTGTGCTCTGCCAACATCCCGGCTGAAGGGATGGTCAATGGTGGCGATGAGCGTAGACAGACAGTCCGATCTCGCCGCCCTCTGCGACCTCAGTCAGATGAGGTGATGACCACTGGACGGTGGGCGCCATCAGCGGCGCTTCTAGTGCCAGACAGAAATAGGATACTCGTCTGTCTCGTGGACGTCTGGTGGCTTGAATGGCAGGCCTGGAACGAGACGGAATCCTTGGCTCCTTGGAGCTCGGAGGGAAGGCTCGGCTTGTGAAAGGTGGGCGCCATGAGGGGTCATAAAGGGCGAATTATACACAGCACACCGAGGACAAGGGACCTCGGGTGTAGGTGGTCGTTTGGATGGATAGACGACGACGGCGATGACGCTGTAATCTTCGGGTCATTGAGTGTAAGACGAGCGCGATGTCTCGCGACTGTATCTCCAGAGGTTACCGACCGCCGCTCCTCTCCCATCGAACAGGAACCAACCACCAAGCATTAGAATTTCTGCTTGACGACCCAAAGCTAGATCTTGAGTTCCCTAAAGCCTCTAACGTCCAGCCGACCCGCGCCATTCCTCCTCCACTCGCCATCTGCGTCCGCCTCGCCTTCCACAACACCAACCGCACTGTCGCCGCCGATCCGCCCCTTCCATCTCCCGCCAGGGATGACAATCTTCCCCGCAGAGACTACCGAGCCTACAGGAGCGTTGGCAGACCGGACTTTGGGCAGACCAAGGGCCTTGCGCTGCCGCTTAGTGAGATGCTTCTCCCCACCTGCGGTATGCCCATGGATGTACTTCTGCTTTGCGCGCTTGCTTAGCCCGGTCGGTTCGACAAGCGGAGAAGGGTTCAGAGTCGGCTGCTCGACAGGTTCAGGCGACGGCGAGGTCGAAGAAGAGGACGAGAGGTCCGAGCCTGCGTCAGAGCTCGCTGAGCTGCTCGAGCTGGATGATGTTCCTGGTGCTGAGAGCCCGGGCGTGTCAGCATCGGGATCGACGTGCTCGACGTCGATGAGCATCTCCTCAGCCTCTGGAGGCCCTTGTGTGTCGGGCAACACATCTACATCCCTGCCCGAACGTGAGCCCACCCGACGGCGGCTCCTCTTCTCCTGGCCCTCGTCCTCCCCTCCGGAAGCACTTGACTCGTCAAAGCTCCTTTTGGGGGAGCGGTACTGCGAGCGCGGGGTCTGCAGGAGGTTGTGGTTGTGATGCGGGTTGACGGGGGTAACAGAGGTAGATGCGAGAGACGACGTGGAGTCTGATGGACCATTGAGAAAGACATACGGCGAAGCAGAGCGCGAAGAGGGCAGGGGGATGAGTGTGGGATCGTTCTCTTTCTTTTGTTCTTGTACTTGCGAAGGTGAAGGAAGTTTGAGCTTGACAGTCAACAAGCCAGCCTCCTTGTCCGCTCTTTCCTTCGCCTTGCGTGTTCTTTCCCTTTCCTTCTTTTCCTTCTCCTGCCTTTCCCGTTCCTTCTTCCTTTCCCGCTCTCTGTCCTTCAGGTCTGGCGGTACAGGCGCGTCGGGCGGGGGCATTTCACAGATCTCCGGCAGGCCAGTGTGCGGACCCCGCGAGTTGCGGATGGACGAGAAGTGTTCCCAATCGTGATAACTATATCATCTCGGATGGGCATCGCGTGGAACGAAAGGAGGGGAGAGGGATACGTACGCGACATACACTGTCGGCCCGCCGCTCTCCTGCTTCGGGGGCGGCTGGGAGACCAGGGCCTCCACTACCACCTCATCATCCTCGTCGTCATCCTCGTCACTACTGCTGACCTCTTCAAGCACGTAGTAACCTCTGCCCGTCTTCACACGTACCTCCTCGCCGTTCTCCGACTGCGCCTTCATCTTTGCCCTCTCCTTCTTCGAGGGACTTGCCGTCGACACCGACACCGACGTCGATCTTGTTGATCTCCTGGGTGTACTCCCACTCCCACTTGAGCTCGCCGAACTCGAGCTCTCCCCCGTCTCGCCCGTCGCCCACTCAATCACATACACCAACCCCGGCTGGATGACCTTCACGTTCCTTCTCGTCATATGGGCAAAAGCCGACAACTCCATATGCCCGCCAAACGTCGCGTTCGCGCGCATGCACCGTATATGTGCGTCGATCCCTCGCTCGTCCTCCACAAATGGCTCGTAGCGGGCCTTGTGTTCCTCGATCCAGTTGCAGATCTCTCGCCGGAGAGTTGCGTGGAGCGAGTCGGAGCCATGGAGCTGGTCCGAGAGCGCGCGGAAGAGGCAGTTGCCATCTCCGAGGGTGTTGACAGCGTAGAGCCCGAGCATGGAGAGTTGGTCGTTGAGTTGGATCGTGGAGAAGGCGGGGTCGGTTAAGAGCTAAGGAAGACGTAAGGGGTGAGGCGGAGATGGACGGATTAGGCAGACACGGTGCACTCACCCGTCCCTTGGATGATCGAGTATTGCGGGAACGCACTGTCCACAAAGAGGAGTCAGTAAACAGATATGAACGGAAGATAAGATGTGTATGGATTGAGGATAGTGAATGGAAGTGTAATGGACGAATGTGGGGTAAAATCAAATTTTTGATATGGAGGCCTGCCGCTGTGACAGTCAGCCGCTTTGGGCCGAGGAGGCAATGTCTGATAGACCAAAGAAAGGCAAGGCAAAGAGATGCGGGGTTGGACATACTCTGCGGTGAGGGACCCTTGGCGCCCTTTGAATTATGTTTCTTTCCCATCGTCGAATTTCAAGGTCCGGTGTGGCCGTCTCTTTCTGTCTGTGTAGTCAGTCTAGCTCGTTCGTCTAAGTCGTAAAGGCGTCCTTGGGTCGTAAGAAAACGAAAGAAGGAGGGAAGTGACAAAGGGAGGGGCGGAGGGATTATGTATAAAAAGAACAAGGTCGGTGGGACCTTGCGGGTCGTAGGGAGGAAACGAGGGGCGTGTGATGGGAATGTGGGTGGTGGTGGTTGCAGTTTGAGACTGCGTTGATCAACCGGGGTCTGTGCCACGCCAAGACCCCGGACAGTCCCGTGTTCACGGGTTTGACAAATTGCTGTTTGCTGATGGGCGGGGACGTTGAGTAAGAGAGATGGCGCTGGAGAGCGGAAAGAGGGAGGGAAAGCTGAGGCGCCGTAAGGTGCGATATATAGCAGACTAGAAGTGATTATCGTGTTGTCATCGCAGAATTCCATGTCGAGAACGAGCGTCTTCAGAATCATTTTTCGTCACTCGCCATCGATCCACGTTGTGGGCACGCGGCTTCTGAATCGGTCCGGCTCCGGTCACCGACGCCAAGCGGCCGCGTTCTGGGCCACATCCACCCAATTGTGTGCGCCACATCTGGCCATAACGACATAGGTCAGGGCTCGAAAGGGGCCTATGAAAAGTGAGAGCTATGAAATTAAATAGGCCATAGTTGAAGCATGCATTGAAATGAGGACAAATGAAATAGATTTCACCTTCCGCACGCACGCCTCCAGGAAGAAAGCTTGATAGACCTTAATGTCGGGGCAGTGTGGCGCTCCGGAGGCCAGGGTTTTGATTAACCGCCCGTCCTGCTGTCAGAGACGTAAATTGAGGATCCAGCGCGTTCTGAAAGACACGTGCATGGCATATTTTTGGTCACTATTGAGGATTCTCGGTTTGAGGCAGCGCAACCTCAGCGACGCTGACGCTACATAATATTCTTCAAAGTCTTGATGGACGGGTTCATGATCTGATGGGGTGACGACGTCCTGTTGACGAGGACGCTCATTCAATTTTCTACATCCTCGATGGGCCTACACCATGAATGTTCGATTAGTTAGAAGGCTCCATTGACTTAAAGGCGGAACAATGAGCACCGTCAGCCCAGATCAAGGAAAAAGTGCTTCCTAGTGAGTGGGCAGGAGCTCCAAAACCGCGCGTTTCCGGAGCAAGTTAAGCTGAGGTAAAGAAGTTAGTCGAGAGTCTATCATGCAAGGAGATGTTACTAGGATTCAAGAGAAGCGCAATAAAGGATGCTGGTGAGCAAGCTTCGTTCTCCTCGGATGTTTGTTCAGAGCAGAAATTCGAGTCTCTTGAGCAGCGAACGTCGTTTGGGCGCGGTATTCGCCTTGACAGCCAGAATTACAAAATATATGCGCAACGCGAAAACCTTTTCGCGACGTGGAACAAACATGAGGATGAAGTAGATGAGGTCTTGTGCATTTTGTAATGTCTCCAAGTCATCGAGACTGACACAAGTCGAAGAGGTGAGTATATGCGTTCTAAAATTGCATATTTTCAGTCCGCATTTAATATGTAGTCAACGCGCCGGCAAAGCGAGCAGTATGTGCCAGACTGAATCGCAGGTGGGACTGGGAAATATGTTGGCAGCCTTCATGATCAAGAGTTCGAAGGCGGCAAAAGTTGGCCAGTAGATAGATGTAACCGGGCCATCTGCGAGAGCATAAGATCGAAACTGCGAGAGAAGCGACGCCCAGCACCTCAGCGACTTAAAAAATTCCATCCGTGATCTGCTTTGAGGACACCAATGGTAGACTATATGCGTAGCACGAGCGAGAGGATGATCGAGTTCTTGGAGCAGGTGTGACGATAACCCGCCGAAATTGGAGCCCCACGTCGATTGCTCTCGGGGACTCGACTATAAGTCAAATTCTCCGATTGCGGGACTCGACATCGATAAGAGAAAGAGGTGAAGAGGTGACGAGTGGGTCGGCGACGCTGTAGCAGTCGGGATTCGCCGGTCGAGGATCCGAAGAGAAGTAGGCGGCGTCCCGGTCCAATAGATTTCCAGTATTCCACTGTCAACTGTCAACTCCTTCCTTTTCGATTTTTTTTTCTTTATACCCAGTACTTTAAACGGTAAACCAACACCCGCAATATCTCTCCAAAAGTGCGCCTCGACAGAGCAAAAGAGTCGGAGTGAGGGTCATTAAAAACATATCAATCGGGAATCTCTAGGTATGCAATGCAGGCGATACGGGAAAATCAACAAAAATAATCCTATTGAATGAGGTGACAGATGATGTTCCCGAACCGCATAGAGGAGGATAAAATGGCGCTTTGGATGAAGACCCGCATATCCAGGAAAAGGTCATATTTTTCTTTCTCTGAAGATACAGAGTCCAGATAGGACGATCTGTTCCTAATTTGGGGATCCGTTTACCAGAAACGATCGCCCCAACGAGTATGCTCATGCGGTCTTTCCCCAAGGAAAGGCAACACAGGTCTTTAATAGATATATAAGACCTCAGATCTCAGACTCCATCCCTCTGCGAATGCATCTTTCCTCTGAACCCCCACCATCTCGTGCGAAATTGCTCTCGACATTGTCCCTGAGCGGCCGCTCTAGCGTCTTCGAGACCTTTGGCAGAGTGCCCATCTTCCCGGCGCCTATTCATTGTATTATGATTTGGCATCTGCCCTCGTTGAGAGGCCAGATCTTCCGCTCGCGAGTTTCTCTTTCCTTAACACTTTGATCCTCTCGAGCATTTCCCCCAAACGATAAGGTGAAGAGATCTGGCGAGTCCCGACTACCCGGGCAGAGGACGAAATCAGCGGAGGGCCGGCCCGCGGGAACTCCATATGTATGGTGCAACAGGCCTAAACACCGCTACTTTTGTACAACGCAAATAGCGTGACCAAAAAAGGTCCTTTTTCTTATCCCTTTGGTAGAAACGCTCCTTTCGAGGAAGGGAACAAAATGTCCAAACCGATTTTGATTTGGACCAAAACTGACGGAGTTATATTTTTTGCATGTTCGGAATTGGCCAGCTGACATAATCTTTACCAAATATGGTAACCTTACAATCTAATCTAATCTACCTGTGCTCCCATTCGCTCGGAAACATGCCGGTGAGAAGCAAACTTGGTCGAACTGAATGCTTTGAGGGCCTGAGCCCCTTTGACGTCGAGGCCATTCCGACTCAAATATGTCTCGATCCATCTCATCATGTCATTTTGCCACTTGCGTATGAGGATTACATCAACAGACGCAAGGGCAAGGGCCCGGAATCGGATGTGTCTTCCCACTATTATTGGTGTCGAGATCGTGATTGACACCTCCATTTTCGTGGGCAGCCCATGGTGTAAGAAATGCCTTTACCCATGATTTTTGCGCTCCACATCCAGTGTAATTAATGAATATTTTGGCATACAGAGTGCATACAGATAACATGTCTAAAAAAAAAATCGGCCACCAAATTGGCCACTGTCCAAAAGTAGCGGTGTTTACGCCTATTGCACCATACACTGCGGGGCCGCGACTCGGGCGTAATTGTACACCTTCTCACCCTACGCTCATCCTCTTTCGTTTGCCCTCGCATCGTTCGATATTCCAACACTAACGCTCTTGAATATCAGAGATCACTGACAGTCGCAGCACTTTCGCCGGACATCAACTGTCCCGCAGCCTCCCACCATCACTCTCAACTTTGACAATTTATTGTTCCGCAGCACCAACCTTCAACCATAAATATACCCCTTCCTTCCGCAACTCAGGCCACCCGCTATAACAACCCGCAGGATCGATGATACTTGACGAGAAGACGCTCATGTACCCCCCACCGCCCCCATACTCGACTCCGACGTCCGCCCAACGCAAGTCTTTCAGCTCCCTCCCTGCGCACATCCTGCTCGAGATCATCGCAGACGTCTTCCCGACCGAGTCGGACACCGCACACCTGCTGCGCCCGGGCGCAAGTCCGTACGATCCCCGCTTGTATGAGCCCACGAACCCAGAGGAACAACGCAAGGTCCTCTTTTGGCTGTCAACGTCGCTTCGGCTGGTAAATCGGCAGCTGTACGCTGCATGCATGTACATCCTGCGCTCGACGTACCTGCAGGCGTACCAGTCGCTCATCCGGCCGCCGTACACGAGCGATCCATTCCCGCTCAGCGACCCATCGTCTTTGGCTTCCTCAAACACCAACTCCCATGATCCCTCCTCGTCTCCCACCCCGCCCGCGTACGCCTCAACCACCTCGTTCGCCTCGGTCTCTTCCTCCGCGACAGCACATCCCAACGTCAACCAGTCCCCCTTCCACAACCTCCCGCGGGAGACGCCGATACTCGACCGTTTCATCGCGCTCAAGGTCCGGCACGACGTGCTCGCGGATGAGTCCGAGTTGCACGGAGACAGAGAAGACGCTTTCCGGGACGTGTTTGACGTCGCACAGCCCCGGGCGAGGTTGGAGGACTTGGTGCGGGTGTATGGAGTGCGGGAGGGGGTGGTGAGCGTACCGCGGGAGACGCCGGGTATAGGGAAAGGGCAAGGGAGTGCAGATTCGTCGAGTGCGAGTTTGCCGAACTCGCCGACGAGCCAACACTCACATCATCGACACCATTCACACCAACAGCAACAGCCACAGGCCAAAAAACGCACTCCTATCAGCGCTTTCTTTTCCTTCAAGAAATCCTCCCCGACGCCCCCCGTCTCCTCTTCCTCCAGCAGCAGTACCCGAACCCAGCGCAAGCAGATCGATCCCCTTCCATTCGCATCACTCTCAGTATCCTTCTCCCCCAGGAAGGTCGGGTTGGTGTATAACCGAACGAAGACGATCGCGGAGATCACCAGGGAAGGACCCAGGAGGGAGACATTGGAGGTGCTGGCGAGGAGGTTGGTGGCGGAGCTGCGGGTTGTGCTGGAGGAAGACTAGAGCAAGGGTAGTATTATCATTTCCAACGTCGACTTTCCGTTGAAGTTGGGTACTTCTACGTGACCTTCCACCGTCGATTGTTGCCTATCGACGTCAAGACCCACAGAGCGTGGACCTGGTCATCTTTGATCTCCCTATTAGACGACACCACATTTTCGGAGCTCTCCTGCGTCGTCGTCCGTTCAGCAGCCCAGGTGTGACACATGTACACCTCGGCGTACTAATAGTACACAACTCAAATACGAGGCATTAGACTACCTTTCTATCGACAATCCAACTGCCACTTCTCTCTGTACGGTATGTTGTTATAGTGTGTTTTCATATTAATTCTCTTGTGAGCAAGACCTGCTCTTTTGCTTCCTTTTTATGTTTAAATACCACGAAGCCTCAGGTCTCAGCCAACATATACTCATTTGCAATGAAATCCCAAGTCGACTGGCGACCAATGGAAGGCAGTCCACATATTTCTTTTATGCTCGGCAAAGGCCCGTACTGCCTCGGGTTTCCGCGGGGTCCACCTGGTCCTGCGGCGCATTTTCCAAATCCGTCTTTCGCCGTTGCACAGCCACGCTCCCGATTGTCCGCTTTTCTTTGAGAATGCAGAAAAGAAGGTTTGTATTCTTTTCCAAAGGTTCGTTTGGATTTGTCACTTTAAGAGCAGTAAAGGGGACTATGGACCATGAGCGTCTCCTTAGGGCCACAACCGGCCTTTGTCTTTCGTAAAGGTATATAGAGCGTAGGTAGGCGAGAAATCTGACCCCTCAACTTCCTATCTCCGAAACTAAATGCTCATCCCACTACCATCCATAACGAGCCCAACTTTATCATCTGCGAGTAAGTTTTTTTTGTTCACCATCCCGATCCGCTCTCATATCACCCATACGCAGATGCAGTCCAGCTTCTCTACCCAAACTGCTTGGCTTGTTCCGGGGAAGAGTGGCTCCCGAGATGATCAATAGCCGGAACAGCATCCCAGAGATGGACTATTTTGCTCAGTCGTCTCGGGTGCATATTCTTCGAGCTTCTGGTGCGTACTTCCCATCCCTTCTTGTGCTAGCATCATTTGTTTACTGTAATTTGGTACTATAGGTCCTTTTCGACGCGGCGCACGTGGAAACCAACATCTGGGCCAGGGCGTGGCAGAAGGGGTATCGGTGTAGCCTGACTACCTCTGCGGCAAATTCCAGAGTCTCCACGAGGGTCACGCAGCCTTGATTCTATCATGCGGAGTAAGTCCAACAATCCGTCGTTGCGACCTGTGCTACAGCAGAGTCACCTTGACCTAATGATCACTATCCTTTCACAGTTTCACAGATCATCTATATTATATTGGCGGGAGTACCGATCACCTTCGAGTTGGTAAAACCGTGGAAGTCGTTTGGCCAGTTCTACCACCGCCAAGTCAATGAACCTGGGCGCGATTCTCCCTCCTCAGTGGGGCTTCTCCGTACATCACTTCCCAAATGCCGATCACTGGGGGACTTTCTTGGAGGAGCCATCTCGTTCTGTATCACTGTTGTCCATCTTGTCCTTATTGATTCAAGTATTAATACACGTACTCACAGGTGTTGTTTATAACTATATATTATGAAGCGAAATAGATATACTGGGCAATTATCTCTCGTTGAAAAGGCCTAAACGGTCTTCCAATGTCGTTGCAAGCACTCGTTTCGTATTTATGATCTCGAAATGGAAAGCCCCTATTGACGCCAAGGAATCGGTTCCCACGAGGCGCACGGCATCTCTGACCTTGCTCTCACCCTCGACCTCCCTCGACCGTCAATCGACCATAAGCCACCGGCCAAAATGCGACAATCTGAGAGGACCAGCTATACTCTTCGATAAGTATAATTTACACGCGCAAGGACTCTCGGACATATTAGCCTCACCCAACAAACGTGGCATTCACTATCTCATCGATTATCGGCCGTGGAGGAAATTTGCCGTGTATCTTGTCGAAAACCTTCATCGTGGCAACGATTGAATGAATGGCGTTCCGTTTCTGGTGCTAAACTCCCGCTTGGCGCTGCAACGCGGGACGCTCAAGGTCATGTCGGCGAAGTTCCTCGAACCTGCACATCGTGGTCAGAGCTTCGGCATTGTTAGGTGGATATCTTTGTCAATTTCTTGAGACAGGGTCCCGCTCAAAACTGTCTAGAACGGCGGGCGCTAATCTGTTACCCATTAATTTGGGCGCTTCTCATCAGGTTTGGCCCACATGTACCCTTTCCTGGTATCGCCCTTCCATTTTTCAGCCTCAGCTGACATCTGACGATCCTGAGATCCAGAAAACGAACCGCCTTTGTCACCCCAGCTAGATGGGATACGAGTACGGGCATACTTTGCACACGAGGCGCATCAGTCCTCTGAGCCTCTTGACCCACTTATCAATTGACAATACTCAGAACGCTTCCGAAAGGCCCTGCATCATATAAATTTCGACGCGAGCGGACCTCGCATTCAATCTCTATCTTTTCCCTACCTGCTTCCATCGCCGAATCATCAGCGGAAAACACTGCTGCCTCAAACCAGGCTTCGACAATGCAAGCACCACCGCCGTTCGGCTTGTCGAAACTGAGTAGTCCCTCGTTTCTCGGTTCGAACATCTTCAACCGCGTCATGAGCTTCTCACTCTTCGCTGGGCTTTTTCAGGCCGGTATGAATGGGGGTATTGGCGGCCCTCAGGGCCAGTCAGCGTCGGTGAATTACCTATGGAGCAGCGTGGCGTTGTTTGTGCTGGGTCTGCTTATAGAGACAGGGAGGAGATTTTGCCAGTGGTTGGTGGAGAGGGTTCAATTTCGTGAGTTTCGTTGGACTTGCCAGGCAGGCAAGGGTCCGTCGTCGGGCGAGCCGCTTCACACATCTCCCTTCACTGACACCTCTTTTTCCATCTCTGCTTGGTCGGTGCTGACGTAACACTATCCTAGAATATTATATCACAGCTCAATTCACGATGGGTGATCCAACATACGAGTGGTTGATTCTTTTCCTAGTGCGTTCTTTATGCTTGTGTCTATCTATTGCCCTGCTTATTGGGCCCTCAGACGGAGAAGCAAATCTGGAAGTCCTCATACGAATTCCGTGTCTCTGCTACCACTTCGTTCCGCAAATGGGGCGTCAAGCCAGACAATTCTACTGTTTCTGCCTCGGTTTCCGGCAAGAAGCTTGCCTTTCACCTCCCCTTGCTCGCCGACCTAATTAAAGACACGGCTGAGCTCGCTACGGAAGACGCAGACGGAAATCCAAGAAACACAGCTGGCGGCGCGCACGCCGAGTATGTGCCCACCTTCGATCAAGCGCAGCTGTTCAAATGGCGTGGCTATTGGGCGGAAATTCGAAGGGCGAACCCTATGATCAGACCTGGAATGATTGGGCAGCCCAGTACGACTATGATGTATTTGACGTGAGTATCTCACTATCGTCATTTCCATAATGTGAAGCTGATTGCTTGTCCAAGAATATATACCCGGGACATGAGCGTCTTGTCGTCCTTCGTTGAAGAAGCCCGACTCGGATACCTCAGAACAACACGACCGCATGTCACGGTGCATACTGTCGATGGCGTTCGTTCCTCTACTCTCATCACAAAATAATTGCCTCTCACTATTGGAGTACAGGGACAAATTCCTCACCCATCCATGTCCGTCTGGAATAAGGCAAAGACGAAATATCGCCGCCCATTGAGCTCGATCGTCCTCCAGGAAGGTGTCGTTAACTCTCTCGTTGAGGATGCTCGTGAGTTCCTTGACTCCGAAGACTGGTACCTTAAAGCTGGCATTCCGCACCGACGTGGATACTTGCTGTACGGCCCTCCAGGGACAGGAAAGACTTCGACGATATACGCATTGGCAGGCGAATTGGGGTTGGGAATATTTTCTTTGTCATTGGCTGCGAAATTGTAAGCACTTTTATGCCATTTCTTGCGTTCTGAATCTCTGACAATTCTTTTCTACAGTGTAGACGACGCATTTTTGGCTCGGGCGGTAGCTTCTATGCCGAAACACAGCATCTTCCTCATCGAAGACATTGACTGCGCCTTCCCTTCTGCCCGCGACGAAGATGACGAGAACCGTCCTGGCGCTCCAGGGCCGTTTGGGAATGGCATGGTGATGGGCCCCATGGGACCAGTGATGAGCGGCGTACGCAGGCCACTGACCATGGTCACTCTAAGTGGACTTTTGAACGTCCTAGACGGCGTCGGAAGCGAGGAAGGGAAGATATTCTTCGCTACGGTGAGCGTTTATCAATTTATTCTAGTTCACGGGTTACTTATCGAGGATGTCACAGACCAACTACATTGAACATTTGGATCATGCCCTCATCAGACCCGGGCGCATTGACAAGAAGGTTCGATATCAGCTCGCAACTCAAGCCCAAGCCGAGGCGCTCTACAAACGTTTCTACCCCGAAGAGCTTCTGTACAAATACTCCTCATCTCTTCCTTATGAAAAGCCAGCCATCGATCTCCGAGTTCTCGCCTCCAAATTCGGGTCTTCCATCCCCGAACACGAGTTCTCGACCGCCGAACTTCAAGGATTCCTCCTAACGCATAAGAAAGATCCCATCGGCGCTGCAGACAGCGCAGCGGGGTGGGTCGTGCAAGAGAGGCTCGACAGAGAAGAACGGAAGCGCAAGGCTGCTGAGAAGAGGGCGAAGGCGAAGGCGAAACGGGAGGAGATGGAGGCTACCATGCTGAAAGCTCGCTTGGCGCGGTTGGCTTCGCAGGCAGGCCCAGGCGGTGCTGTTAGTGCTGTTATTCCAGCTGCATCCGATACGACAGCAGCTCCTACGGCTCCTGCTGTGGATGCAACCCCGAAAGTCAATGGTAGTGCTGCTACTGACGTGCCGCTTGTCAGCGAGGTTCAGGCGCCTACTCCACCCTCGTTGAATGGTGTCACTGGATCAGACAAACCCGGAGACATGCCTAACAACATTGAAGGTGAAGCAGGTACAGGTGATTCTGCTATGAAAGCGCCTTTAGTCAACGGAGTCAACGGAACAGGGAAAGAGTAGGTCGACACCCTTATAGAGGAGAAAGTGTCGTCAAGGCCTTGCCAATTTTCTGATTTCTTGGATAGATTCCAATCTTGTATATCTAGCATTGTCGAACAAATTGTATCCCATTATGATATACCGATTCACGCTTTTCAATGCATTTAAGGGGTGGCAAGAGCATAGCGATACACCAACTGAAGACTAACTCACAGTATTATCGCGCGTGGCGCAGAGCCAGATTCATGTCCCGGATTGATGAAATGGGAGTGACCTTAGCGGAAGCCGCCAGAGAGCCACCCATTAACAGCATAAAACCCAAGCACCTTGTTCGGCTCGATCTTTGCGAGCAGGCTGCCCCAAGGATTAGCCTTGGGGGTCAGCTCTTGGTGTAAACTCGCCTCAGCAGCCTGGAAGATTCTAGCCTGACCCCTTGCCTCCTCCTCGTTGAATGCCTGTCAAATCATCAAGCAACTGAGTAGGCAGACCAGAAAGATTATTGACAGACAGGAATTACCGTGAATATAGTAGGGATCTTTTCTTTGATGAGAAGATCTATAGTCTTTCTCCAAGAGTCCTCCTCTTCTTGCGACGCACCAGAGTCGAAGGCAACGGCGAGATCAGGCTTCTCGAATTGAGATCCTTGTGACTGGACGAAGTCATGGTACGTCCTACACATTCAGGAAAGCAATCATTATAAGTGAAACGCTGTGATACCTGACCGTCAAAGTGACGTACTTGGGATGGTGAATCTGAGTGCGCTTGCGGCGTTGCCTCGAGCATTGACTACGGGAGGAAGGTTAGAAGTTGATTCATGGACAGTAAGGGAGAAGACGAAAACACACGGGCAAGTATCCATTTCCATGGTCCTTGGCTGGGGTCCACCAAAATCTACGAGCTCGGGCCCAACGAACGTGAGCTAAGAGCGAGAAAATCACATTTAGAATCCGTATTTCGAGAAAGATGAAACCTAAGAAAGGATACCTTGATCGCATTTACTTGGGGAAGGCGATGCAAAATCTCTTCGAACACTTGCGCGTTGAAAACCTCTTTCTCTGCGGCTCCAAGGACCTGTCAGACCGCAGGAGGCTATTAGCACAGAGGAACGTCCTGAAAAGGGCCAAAAACCTACATGTATGCTCAACATGTCCTTCCTCGTCCACTCATCACCCTCGTTCAAACACTCCAACCCTAGAAGGATCGTCATAGGCATCGACAGACCCTCACTCGCGGCCCTCAGCATCGGCTCCAGGACGTCCTCCGGCGTCCCAGGCATCTTCTCCTTCAAATCCGCTGCAAAGTCGTCCCATCCCAAGCCTTTCACCGAGTGCCACTCAGTCTTCGTCCTCTCTGGGGCCCAAGTGAACGGGCCCTGCCCCGCGCCCGCCATAAAGTCGCCGAAGATGGCATCTTGGAAGCAGAGCTTGTTCATGGCGCATTGCGGGAGGCCGCGCGCGTCTTGGGCCGCAGTGTTTTGGTGCTTGTCCTTGACAGTGTTCCAGTGCGCTTCGGAGCAGGAGAAGGCGAGCTTGCAGTCTGGGCATGGCCTCAAGGTGCCTGGCTGTTGATTGGTGCGTGAAGCTTCTAGCCGGAGGAGCACCTCAGAACGACCACTAATATGTAAAAAAACAACATTAGAGATCCATTGGAGGAGAGTGCGTTTGGAGAGATCATAGCGCACCATTCAAGACATCGAGGCTCCCAGCCCACAAGATTACGCTCATCGACTCTGAGCGGCCTGCGAAGTTCCGCCGCCAAGGAACGCATCATGACTTGGGCGTACCCCTCCACTGACAAGTTGACCGTCGCACTATCGCCCACTTTCCCCGAATCGTAAAAGCTAGTCATGATGCTGAAACTGCCGAGAAGATTCAACGCTTGTTTCGTCTCTACCGCCTTAAGAGCTTTGCACATTCCTTTGTGCGTGGACCAGTTCGCCTGAATGACGACGCGTCAATAGGGGCTAGTGATTCAAAAGCGCGAAGACGTACCTTCTGGCATGCTAACAGAAGGAAGGATAGCATGAATTCAGGGATCCGTGAGCATAAGATGACGCGTACCTGCACCACAATACGACACACGACGGCAACCTGAGCACTTTTGCAACACACCCTCCTTGAAGCACTGGTAGCAAGCTTGACGAGCGTTGGCGGTGACGGGCGGGATTCTGGGGGCGTCCATCGTTGCGATCGTTGCAGAAAGCTGTAGTAGGTGTGAAGAATGGCCCTCAATGAACGAGAATCCTGTTCCGTGCAACGTGGGGGTTAAAGACAAAGATGCTTCGGTGCGAGCCGTCCCGTAATGTTTGGAACACCGCTACATGGCAATGCACGGACCAGGATCGATGTCCAGTACCTTCGAGGAAAGTTGAGCCAGAAGACATACCGAAGACTTTTCACCAGCGGTCTGGAAAAGAATCGGCGAGTACAGCAATATAATATATCCCGAAGAGCAGGAGAAAGCATAACGACAGAGTACAAGTACAGAACAGCGACCAAACGTTCCCAAGTAAAACTACATGTAAACTACAGAGAAAAACTTAATGTGTATGTGTACACCCTTCGCATGGCAGCCTCGTAACGTCTGCGTTCTTATTCAAGAAAGGGCACCCATCAGACCATTTGTCTACGATCTTCTGAAGCCGTCGCTGGAGATCGTATTCGTCCTCAACGAATGTCAACCCGTAGACTTTCCGAAGGGCAGGAAGAACTCCGGGAAGCTGGCCCGCGTTCAGCACATCACTTTAAAAAAGGGAGGAGACAAACCTGATATATTCGAGGCTCATCTCTAACCGCTTTCTTGGAAAGCACCGAGCTATATGCTTCGTGAACTGCCTCCACGCGACACAGCGACCCATGTATCAGGGAGCGGACGGCCGTGACAGGGCCACTTCCGTCCTCCTCCTCCGTCGGCTGGAGAACGAGCATAGAAGTAGCATAGTCATGCAGATTATTGAAAGCCTGGACTATCACAAGACCTACGCACAATTAACTCCGCGATCGCTGAGAGTAGCTTGGGAACACTCACCATGCCGTGCCAGGTCATATTCCTCCTGTATGCTATCACGCAGAACATCAGTGACCTCTGCAGGGAAGACACGATCGCACAGGGCCTCAGACTGAGTAAGGGCGGAGAGGATGACCTTGTGCGTGCTCTCGAAGACGTCACGCGGGGAACGACTGGCGTTTCTTCGGAGAGAGATGCAGCTGAGATATAAAGCATACGCAAACACGAAGGAGGATGCTGAGCAGTCGATCGTCTGGAAGGACACGCTGCCCCATTCCGAAGGATGTCGGAGGCGCATCCCGAGCCTATTGAGATAGAGGAAGATGTCCCGCATCGTGGCAAGTAGGCTGGCAATTAGAGATATCGTTAAAGCGAATTTATGACAGAATGAGATTGGATGGACTCACGAATCATCATCTTGACGAACCGACTTGGGTATATCGAACGCCTTGATCGCAACCTCGTTTGCTATCGCCTTGAACACCGGCGAGATCGCATGGAAGGTGTTCATGACGTTCTTCTCCCAGGTCGTGTCCTCCGGCGACACGCAGATAGCGTGCACACTGTCCGATATAACCCAGAGGATGATCTTGTGCAGCAGCTCAGTCGGCAGCTGCAACTCTCGTCGCGGTGTCCATGAGTCCGAGCTCGAAGCCGATCCCGACATCTCGAGACAAGAAAAGTAATCTAGGGAGGTGGTCATGTTTAAGGGAGGTCTCGACATTCACCAGGGATGTGGCAGCATGGGCTGTGCGACGCAAGCACAGGTGTCCAAGGCGGCAGTGGTCAAGACCCTTGAACGACTATTATATGACAGGGGCGATGACTAAGGCTTTCTCACAGTACTTTCGGTCCGAATTCCGCATCCTTGCAGCGAACGGAATGGATTAGAGGCAAGGAAACTAGCAAGAATAACGTAGACAGAGCAGGGGATGGGTATATAAATTATAATCGAAGATGAGATGGCAGGTAAATTAGTCATGACAATAAATACTACTGTCGTCCAGGAAAGAAAATACGAAGGAAGAGCAGGCTCTACTTCCGGATTTTCTGGCGTTTTCTCGGCGGCTCCGAGGGATTGTTCTCCTGCTTGTCGCAGTGACCATGAGTATTCATAACTACAGGTGAAACAGTGATCACATACCTGTTCCTCAGGAGCGCGTCGAGCTTTCCTTTTCCTTTTCTTTCGTGTCCAGTTATTGCCCTTCGATCGGGCAACTTTCTTCTTTTTCGCCGGGATACTTGCCGGCGTGGGCAAGGTTGCCAGCTCTTCGACCTGCTGATCGTTTGTGGACAGGTGTCCCGACTTTTTGCTGGGCTTTGCCATCCACTCCGGTGTGGGTGGCCATGGTGGACAGTACTCATAGCCTGGGGGAGGCGGAGTCCTCGGTCGCTGGCAGCGGTGTTGCTGCTCCCCGACAGCGCGGCCAGGGGAACATGGCTCGACCGATGTCAGCCGTGTGGCCGGGGCCATGAAAGTGAATTTCGTCGACGGAGAAGTCATGGTGCTTATGGTGATATCTGTGTGGTTGGTGTGGCGGAGCGACTGAGGATGTTGCGTTCTGGAAGTCACAATCCAGGAGGACGCCCTCAATATATACGCTCTCCCGGTACGCGTCTGTCTGTGCATGTTTGCGTCCCCATTGTTCACGTTCAAGTCAACGAACGCGCAGAAGAAATAAGGTTCAGGTGGCTCAGGCCAACTGGAAATGCCTTATGAGGAAGGAGGCGCATCGGTTACTCGGCGCATCCCGTGGCTTTGGACAAAGGAGAAGCTATCACTTTTTTCCTGTTTGATGAAGCACCGACTGGTCAGACAATGTTCGTTGTGGTAGGTAGGGTCGTTGTTGAGCATTTATGCGTTAAAGCCCGTCTCCCGGTGTGTTGTGGCTCAGTGTGCCCTAAGCCCTTGCCGAATGTCCACTTAGGAGTCAGGACGCTCCCTGGAAGTCCCCCCGTCTGTTGGTAATAGCGTCGAATAATGTCTACCTGGTCCAAATTCAGTGGCTGCCTGTAGTTGCTTACGTGATGGCTGTTGGCGATGGGATTGGCATTGAGGAGGGATGTCCTGCAGCTGCTGGGCGAACGGGGCTGTCCGATTCGCGCGTCCGAATTGAGCCACATTTTGCGCTGAATACCGCCTAGCATATGGTGGACTCCCGGCGTCTTTACTAGAGAAAAAAATCGAACACTACAGAAAACCTAGGGTACCGTCAAGAAACCCTTTTGGCTGAACAATGAGGGCCAGAGGGCCACTGCATCGTGCCACCCACTCCGGCTCTTCATGGCACATCCGCCGAGGCCCCCGGGAGATTCTCTAGGTACCCTGGGATACAGCTGCAAGATCTCCAGAAGAGTGATGCGTCAACGCGCAGGGGGTTCGTTTATTGCCACAAAGCAGGGAAGGACTAAGCGCTTCCTGAGGGCATAAATGCAGGCCACTTTTACGCTTTGGCACCATATTGCAGCCTGCACCACCACCGCCACCACCATCGCACACTACTGCCCAGCCACCACTATCTGCGCTCCCAATGCCCCGAGTCCCGACCGCGAAGACCTTCAAGCCTACAACTGCCACGCCTCAGGCGGCTGCCAGTAGATACTCTGTAAGCCTCATCTTACCTTTCTTAAATTCGAATCGCGCATTTACCACTTACACTTGTAGACCGTCCCAAGAAATTCCTCATCAGCCCACGTCAACAACTCTAAGTCGTCGACTAAGGAGAACAAACAACCATCGGCGCTTATCTCATCTCACCCTACTACGGTTACCACCGCCACTTCCTCGACTTGCTCTTGCAATGGAAGTAAAGCGGTACTATTCGGACCAAAGACAGAAATCGAATTTATCATCGAAAAATACCGGTTTCACCCAAGCCGTTTTACCATCCGAGAGCCTAGAGGAGTACCAAAACGAGCCACGAAACGCGAGCGAAGACACCACGAAGACGAGATTTCGATGCATCTTGAACTGAACAAGAACAATTTAGAAAGCGGAACCAAGGATCTCGGTGCAAACTACGTTTGCCGACCCTACTAGTAGAGCATCTTCTGTCGCAGTCCTTGTATTACGCTTTGTCAGGACTATTTTAATTTATTACAAGCTCGGGTTCCCATGAGTCAGTTTCAATACTGTTTTATTCCCCTTTCCATGTTGTAAAAAAAAAACCGTCGTAAGACGGTGAAGTCAATTTTACCAAACTCACAACGAAAACCGGAAGCGGAAGACGATGGCGCGACGCGATGCGCACGTACTGTCTCAGTCACGTGCGATCCTACAATTTTTGGAACTCAAATTTCTTGGCACACCAGCTCGCTCCTTCTGTCTTACCACGACACCACCCAAAATGTTCTTCAACACCCTCCGCACCTCCGCACGAACTGGCCTGCGCGCCGCTGCACGCACTGCAGCTGTGCCTGCCACGAGGTCAATTGCTTCGCTCGTCTCGCGGAGGCTTGCGCTGCCAGCAGGGCTGAGCAACACGACCGCGTCACGGGCTTTCTCGCAGACTGCCGTCTGGGCCAACTTTGGCGGCCACGACCGCCCACGCAACCCACCCAGCGACTCTATCTTCATCGGGAATCTGCCCTGGAGCGCTACGAAGGAGGAGTTGGTCGAGTTGTTCTCTGAGTTCGGCACTGTTGCCAATGTTCGCATTCGTACGTTCTTTTTTTTTCGGTGTTCAGTTTTCGTGAGGTATTCACACTTTTTTTTCCTCTTCTCTTTCACAGAAACACATGGCGATGGCAGGCCGAAGGGCTTTGCTCACCTTAACTTTCAGACGAAGGACTCGGCTATCGCCACCGTAACCTCAGCGCACGAGGAGCCCATTCACTTCGGCGGACGCGACCTCGTCATCGACTACGCAAAACCCCTGGGCCCCGCTCAGTCTGAGAACACTCCCAATAATAGGTTGTACTTTGGCCGTTTCGCTGACGGTGAGGGTGCCCTTCGGGAACTGCTGAGCAAGTACAGAGACAGCCTCGTCAGCATTTACTTCAGTGCGTCTCCCTCTCCCTCGCCCCTTTGACTGCGTCCTAACCTTGCTTCTTTTTCTCACAGTGAGGGAAGGGACCACCGGCGAGCAGCTGCACTCGGGCTTCATCGAGTTCACCGACGTCGACGTCGCCACGGATGTCTTGAACGAGTTTAACGGCACTGCTATCCCTAACGGTGATACCTTTTTCCTGTCGTACGCCCGCCCCAAGCGCGACCGCAATACGACTGGTGGCGAGCGCCGCTACGGCTCGGGCAGCCAGCGATTCCAGAATAATCGTGATCGTGGTTCTAGGGAGTCGTACACTGCGAGGTCGTGGGAGCAACGAGGCGGCCAACAGGGAGGACAACGGGGAGGACAACGGGGAGGCCAATGGGGTCGTGATTCGAGAGATTATTAGGTGGTTCGTGTTCTGCTTTCCCCCACTACTTCTCCCTTCGTCGTCGAGTCGGGTAGTCCATGCCCGCCCATCCACCTAGATATCTATTGTCCTATCGCGTCCTATTGCATGCTCGTCCTCCTTAATCGCGTTCATCTCTGCTCTTATGACTCCACCTGCTCCGCTCATTCACATTTACACACGTTTACTCATCACGGTTTTGAGGGGGTTATCTACCAAAAGCAGAGATCACACTTGTATATTTACATGCATTGTACTGCGAAGTATAATACGTATCTAATGGCAATCCCCTCATCGACTCTGAAGAATGTCTGAGACGTAAATACCAAGGAAAGATGCTGAGAACTGCAGCTGAAGTACCGATGTCAGCCTCCTTGGACCAACAGCCCCCCCTACATAAATGACTTGGACGCCAGCTATAAAAGATTCAGCTCAACTAATGAGACGGAAGAACGTTAGTAGATTCCATTCCGACTGCAATTTCAGAAATGACCAGTATTTTACGGAGCGTACGACGCGTCCCCGAAAGAACGTAAAATTCTCCCCGGGATATGGCAAGGCGCTTTTAAAATGGCCTCTTCCTCGTTCCTTTAGCTAATGGACTGACAATACAAAAAGCCACAGGACCGGGAAATGAAAAGGCTTTCCATATTTTTCTTCCGTCCCTGGCAGCGGTGCTGCAGGCAAGAAAGGAAGTAGATAGGCGCCGGATACATGCCGAAGTTGTCAGAGCGCAGCTCGCCATCGAGACTCAAAATTCAGTCAGCAAACCAAACCCTCCTGCGGAAGAGCATCCCCGTGTTCACATGTGGTGGTGATGCGCGCCCAAGTTTGCGCGATTCCAGCTCTTCGTGTATTTGTTTACAACCTCAATTTGTCTATTCTTTGACCATTTTTGGCGTGTTAAAGATGCAGTAAATCCATACTTCAAGGATAAGTTAATCCCTGTGCCTTCGGCACCATATGCAGATCCCAGTGATGCTCCAACTTGAACAGTCTTCGGAAATGCCTCATCGCCCCAGAAGGAGCCGCGGACCGTTGTGGGGAAAGGAGATGGCATGGGAAGAGCAAGAAGCTACCCCCTGTTTGATTAAATCGTTACTCAGGAGAGCTGGGCTCCTTCCTCCTTTCTTTCTTTCTATTCATTTTTAAAAACGACTCAGAGGGAGAAATTTCTTGATAGTACGTGATTCATAATATTCTTCCTCGGAATTCCTTTGATCATTCAACCTCAGATGCACCCCTGCCTGCGAGTCCCGGAACTCCTCTCCAACATTTTCATTCGTCTCTATGATGACGAGGGAGAAAAGGAACAACATTACGACGTCCACAGGAAAAAGAACGCGACTCTTTTTTCACTTGCTCGAACATGCCGTCGGTTCAAGGAACCAGCATTGGACGGGTTGTGGCATACGATGCGGTCTCTTCGACCGCTCCTCTGGCTACTTCCAGACGAGGTCGTTGAATTTCGGCAGGTCGAAGCGCCTCTTGTTCCTGAGCGATTTTCCAACCTCGAGTCCGTGATGGTACGTCGCCTGTTCCCTTTAAGTATTTCCAACTCTGAATTCAGGGTTGATTTTCTATAGTCTATTACTGCTGCTCTGCAAGTATCGCACTTCGCCCGCTGGAAGTACTACGCCTCCAGAATACGGGTCCTAAAATTTTCCAACCATATGTTCGAGAAGTTGCGTTTCCGAGTCGGCCGCAGCGTCTACGAAGCCCTCTTATCGGACAACCCCACCGGCGCGCCGCTCCTTCCCAAGCTGCGCGAATTGAGGGCGCTTAATCCCGACGACCACACTCTTCTCCGTCTTTCCCTTAATCCCAACATCAAGCACATCGATATTGACGGCGGTTTCATGCTCACGCCAGACCTTCAAGACGCGAGGACGTGGGACCATCTGATGGACATCCTGAATGAGAATAAAATACCTGCGACTGTGCGCGAGCTATCCATTGCGTTACGGTGGTCCTGGCAAGACTTGACAATGCCTCTGCCAACCTCAGTTTTCGCGCACATCCTCAAATACTCACGTCTTTCCAAGCTGCATCTTCCCTCGTTCCAACTCAGCGACATTTCAACACTTTCTCAACTCGGCCAGCTTCCTCTCGAAGCAGCGACGTTGAACCTTACGATTTTGGCCGACATGCAGCTCCCTCCTGGTTGCTTCACAGCTCTCAAAAAAGCCACCATCATCGTCAATGATTCAGACGTACTAATAGGACTCGTGCGTCAATGGGACACAGAAAATTTGGAGAGCCTCATCATACGACGTTTTCTCCGGACGTTCTTTTGGGACGTGAACACCATACTCAAGTGCCTCCAACAGCATCTCCCCTCTGTTTCTTTACGTCGACTCTACATTTACAGCAGCGCCCCGGAAAGCAGCGCCCCGTTCGACGAAAACACTTCTGGCGCTTCCATCACCGATCTCGAGCACCTCTTCACGTTCAGAAATCTCACCTCATTAACCATGAGTGCAGGAGGGCCGTTCTCCCTGACCGACGCTGACCTGATGAAGATCGCCGCAGCTTGGCCTCTCCTGGAGCAATTTATCGCATACGAACGCGAGGTCAGCGCCTGGCCTAGCGTAACGCCTACTGGCTTGGCGTCGTTCGTCGGCGCCCTTCCCCACCTCACAGATGTTATCCTTCGTTTCGATGCCACAGCCGATTTTCTTGCGCTCGAGAGCGTGGTCCCGCACAAGAGAGTCACCACATTTGACGTATGCACCAGCGTCGCTGTTACCCCCGAGCGACTTACAGAGTTCATGCACAAGCTGTTCCCGGCCCTGGACTGCATTGGGTATGGCTGGAGCTACCTCGATCGCTGGGCAAGTGCCTCAGCGCCTCCGATCTACGAAAGTGAAGAGGAATTCGAGGTAGGGACGGCGTCTCTGGCGTGCTGGAAGAAGGTGCATGAGTCCTTTGGCAACATACCTTCACTGATGTGGTAGAGCAACGTTGGGCCTTGTATGTTTCCCTGCGAATGCAAAAAAATGAAACTTCGGCCTGGTTAGAGCGTACGGATCGTCCAACAAAGCTGCTCACCATGACTTGCTATGAGAGTATGTCGGCACTGTTTTTCAGGATCGAGGTCGACTTTCTGTCGAGGAAGATCAAGGAAGGTCGCAAGAAGTCTGACGCTAAAGAATAGTTCATGGATTATGGCGTTGAAGCCAACGGACTCTATCGATGCATTGGAGTACAGCGTCTAAAGTCTACAGTGGGTGAGTAACTGGTGAAGTTGCGGGTATGGTGGTGATAATGCAGGTATGGTGGTAGTCATAAATTCGTAACGAGGACACAAGTCGAGAGTGATTAGTTCGGTCGTGTTTTCAGTCGGTAGTCTGTTGGTCGGTGCTACTGCTCCCAACGTTGGTTTGAGGAGAGAAGTTAGCCAGCCTAATTGGCTTTGGCCTTTTCGGCGCGTCTGCTGTAGATCATGTCTGTGAATGGACTTTGACGCCAGTCAGATTGTAGGAGAGAAAGAGATGACGAATGAAGCATACCCTTCGAAGCGCAGGGCGATAATGTAGACCACGTAGACGTAGGCCGTGATAATGAGGCCCGCGGGTCTCTCATACCTGACAACTTGGCAGTCAAAGAGCGAACCTTTAAATTTGCGAAGCTTGCAGCTCACCATAGCGCAGTAGCGGCGAAGCACATCGTGCTGCCGACATACATAGGGTCACGGAGGACGTTGAAGGGGAAACTTGTGATCGAAATGATCAATGAGCTAAGAACCGAGCACTCAGGATACGGCTGACGTACCCTTCAACACGATGGTCCATGAGGATTCCGAAGTAATCTCCGAGAAAAGTGCCCGTAATTCCTAACGCATACGTCGAAGTCATGACGAAAATTTGGCCTAAGACGAAGAGAGCGACGGGGACGATGGTCGCGTATTGTTCCGGCAAGATGGATATCTTTGGCTGTTCCAGCAGCGCCTGTTGATACCTGCGGGAAGTCAGTCATCTTCGGACGAGCTAAGAAAAGATGACGAAGACGTACAAGTGATCTCGCAGCACGCCGAACAAGAAAATCAGCACAGCAAGAAAATAGCACCCGTATTTCGCGTTCCCTCCGAACAGACGTGTAATCGTCTTATTCGAGTACTCTAGAGCCCAAAAAAGTCAGAAGCAGGCTCAAGGAAGAAGAAAAGACGGCAAACTGGATCCTCCAGCTGTTCCTGCTCGTCAATACCAGTGCCACGTACCATTCCGCGCGACGATGTTCCAGGCCGTGGGGTTGAACACAATTGATGCCAGCGAAAGCAGTAGCGATGTCTTACTCAAGTCGATAGAAGACTCGAGTTGAGAGAGAAGTTTCGAAGACATCTTTGCCGTGGTGGAGGAAATCGACATTTAAATGGATTCGTGTTGGCCGTACTGTCGGTACAGTCGAGTTACGTAATCCATTCCTCCCAATCACCGGGCCGTCTTCTCCGACGATAATTTGTTTCTACTCGTAGTCTAGTGTGTTTACTTGGAGCCACAGGGAAGGAGCAAGTCCTCTCATCTACCGCTGGTATTTAAGAAAATCCAGTCAAGGAGGTATTTGAACTTTGTGGACCTGAATCAAATAAATTCTCGGCCAGTCAAGTATTTTCGTTATCAATTGCAAGAATACACCAGAAACGAAGCTGCGAGCACCCCAACGAATCCGAGTCGAGCACAGATATACGGTGATATAATCAATGAAGAGTCGAATACAGCCCAAAATTTCCTGGACTATCAGCAGACGGTGCCTCGGGCTCTTCGTACGTTCTGTCAGTCCTATTTCTCATACCAAGAGACGATGGAAACTCACTTAGGCGCCCTTTGCCATGACCTCTACGGTGATAGTGCCAAGGCCACCGCCGTTCAAGTTCTGGCCGCTATACTCGACCATCCACTTGCTGTTCGAGCCGCTGACTGTCCAGGTGTTGGTCTTGCTGATCCAAGGGCAGTCCCAGTAGAAGTGGCGGATGACCTTGTCGTTCTCGTTGGGGTCGACAAGGTCGAAGTCGCCGGTGGTGCCCTCGGCAGCATCCGACCTGCCGCACGCGTTGATCTGGAGCTTGTCGTCGGGACCGAGTACCTTGCCCTCGTATTCGCTGGGGTAGACTTCCTTGTCTTTGTCACCTGTCGTGGCGAAGAGGACAACGATGAGTAAGGGCGTGCAACAAGGCAGAGACGAGGCTTACCATCGGCATGGAGTTTGCCGTAGGATGGCTTCAAGTTCTTCAACTTCAACGGCTTCGCGCCGGTGTTGTGGAGGATGATGATAACCCATTGAGCGTAGGCCATTGTGTTTGAGCGACTGGTTACTGCGTTTGAGGAGTGAGGAATTCGTTCTCCTTGTATGAATATTTATACCTGGGCAGGTCCACGGTTTCCTTTACCCTCCATAGCCCGAATAGCGTGCGTTTTTGCTTAAATCGGTCCATTCGAAATACCTCAGACTATTTTCTAGGATAATTCGGGAAACCAGAAACCCCAAAAGTTTTAATAGACAATGCATAGTGGATGCTCAAATACGTACTCATGTCTCATTTTCTACGAGAATAGGAAATTCCCTTGGACGTCTATTCCGACTGTCAAGGAAACTATCAACGTGTCTTCCAACCGACCTTCTCCAACGCTCTTGTTCGGAAAGCCTCCTTCGCCCTGAATACCTCTTGAGAATTCCAACCCTAATTGTGTCAAGCAACTATTCCTGCTGCCAGTGGCACGTCCGGACGACCGATATCCCGAGGGCATTGAATCAAATATCTGTTCTTGCTCGGCTGGTAAAATCTTGGTTAAGCTTCATTTCTTCGTGTTCCCTGCAAATTATTTCCATTGTCCCAGAAGGACCGGCAAATGAGCTCGACACTCCGCCGATATTTAATCATCTTACCAAGTCTTTGGTGCTTCCTCTACCACTTTTCGAGGAACTTCCGAGAAACTAGATGCCTTATGGAGTTGTTTTGGTTGCCGAGAGAAGCTATAAAAGTGATCTACCGAAATGTGGCGTGGTGCTGAGGTGGTTGGAACGAGCCAACAATATATCGTCTAAAACTCTCTGATTTCGCATGATGAGATAAGAGAACAATAATTTGATATCGAACGTTACCAGTAATTCATGGATAGACCCTGATCAACAAGGGGGAAAATGCTAGCCAACATTCGCTTGATTCGAGTGCGTAGAGATTCGGAGCAGGTCACGCCTACAGTCATTCATAATTGATATCTCTAACCCTCCCGCACGTACCTCCAGAAGCCGCATTATTACATGGTCAGGTATCGATCGGAAGCGCCAGGTAGAGTCATCATCCGAATCCGTTTCATCCTCTTGAACAATCTGAAGGCGGAGTGATTGTAGGGCACGACGCGGGTTTTCAGATGTGAGTTCGAATAGCCCAGGATGTGAGGGCAAGATGTCGGCCAAACACTCCCACTGAAAGCGGAGCGTACAACACATATGGAACGAGCAGAGATCCGGGAGGAATTCGACCATTTTTCCTGCTTCGACACCTGCGCTTGGGGCGGTGGAAGAACTGAGTCGTTCGAAGAATGCATTGGATATAGCGGGGTAGTCGAGTGTCAAATGGGTTACCGAAGGGAGCCTCTCTAAAAGATCAAGGAGCTGAATCTCGAAGTCGGTTGGCTGACTGAACGACTTGCGGAGGTCTAGTCGTGTGATCTTGCATCCTGAACGTGTGATAAGGGATGCTTTCGTAATCTGGCCAGAACAACAGAGGTCTTGGAGTGAAGGAAGTGTGAGACTGTCGAGTAGCCCGTTTTGGGCATCGTACTTCGTCCGGATGTTGAGAACTTGAAGGCGTTGATGGACGATCGCTTCAGGAAACAGCTCTGACGATGGGTCCGCATTGCGAAAGGAGTGGACCGTGAAATGGGTCATTTGCTTAGCTTGGCGGAAGGTTTCCAAACAGTCTGCAACCTGGAACTTGGCGGCCTCGACATGGGTGACGTGGTCCCATGCGATCCCAATATCCTGGAACTTCACCCCGCGAATGGCGATTTTTGAAGGGCTAGGTTTCATATGCCCGCCAAAGACCAGAGCCTTCTTGGATCTCGAAAAGCGTTTGAAGTGTAGATCCAGCAGCGAAGGAAGGCAGCTGGGAAACTTGGAGAGGTACTTGAGCTGTTGGTCGGAAACGCAGACATTCAAACGGCTCCACCGCGGAGAGGATTCGTTGAGGATCGCGTAAAGCGCCGTCTCTACGGCTGATTCTTCTGGAATGTAGCGCTGGCGGGGATAATCGCCTTCCCCAAGTGTGAGGAAGAGAGGAAGCCCTCCCGAACGGAAGAGCCATCGTTGAACAAACTCTGTGTATCCCTGCTCCGACACACGGGATGTGTTGATAGTAACCGATGTCCAGAGTTGTGGAGTTGACCAAAAAATGTCCCTCCATGACTTGCAGACGATGCCCAACTTCCACGGCGTCGTGTTCATGGTGGCCTTCTCTGCCGAAAGGCACTCGAACGCTGTGGCAGCTCTAGAACGCGGAATGTAGAAATGACAGAAAGTGAATATGCGAGATACAACCTCGAGCGGAAGTCGATTCATGAGATGGTCATGATGGAGATTTCTCTCGAATTTGAGCTGGTGTCGCTGTTCGAGTAGTTTTTGCAGGAGAGAGGTTGTTTCTCGTATTTTGTCGTCGACGCGCTTCAATTCGGCGCATGCGATACATTGAAGGTTTCCAGGGATGCGACAGAATTCTCCAGAGGTGTCTATACTTCGTAACTCGTTGATGGATTGTATGCGAGTCGCGAGACTCGCATCACTGATGTAACCATGGTAATTTTTCCCCATCCATCCAGAGCGTCACCAAGTTGATGTACGCGTCGAGCACCCAGAAACGCTCGACAGTTAGCAGGAAGGAAAATAAATACAAAAGCTTCGAAGCTTGTGACTTCGTTCTCTTCGCTAATAAGATAGCCTGCAAGGCTGATGCACCAATTAGGCTCCGTCTGCATCACTCGAAATTCGACGAGTTCTTTCAAGCAATAACCCTTGCAGCGATCTGTACGAGAACCAGAGGGTCTACCGTACTATGACGCTGGCACTGGCATGAAGCTGCAAAACGCAGTTATTCATGCATTCGGAGAGAAAGTGTTACACAACCATCGCCTTAACCGGCTCTGTCGAGACGGCAAGCAGGTCGCGTCGATATTCATCCATGATTGACATGTTCACCCCTCCCGCACGTACCGCCACAAGACGCATTACCACATCCTCAGGTATCCTTCGGCAGTGCCAGGAGGTCCCAGCATCTGAATCTGAATCTGAATCCGAATCCACCTCTTCCACATCCAGCTGGAATGATCGCAAGGCCCGACGTGGGGCTCCAGGTTCAATTTCGGATAACCCAGGACGTGTCACGGTAGGGAATATATCTGCCAAGGATTCCCAGTCGAAGCGGAACTCACAGCACATCTTGAGCGAGCAGAGATCTGGGAGGAATTCACCTCCATTTCCCGCCCCAATACCTGAGCTCGCGGAACCGAGCCGTTTGAAGAACACATTGGAGATGGGTGTGTGGGTAAGTGTCAAGTCGGTGAGCGAAGGGAGGTGTTCTAGAAGATCGACGAGGAGTAGCTCCAAGTCAGTTGACGCAAAGATCGACTCGCGTACGTCCAATCGAGTTAAGTTGCACCCTGAACGCTTGACAAGGGATGCCGCTTTCGCCAGGTGGTGATCAATTAGCAGCTCCTGGAGTGAGGGAAGGGCAAGGTTGTCGAACACTACGCTGCGGGATTCAGATGCGGATGAGAAGATGGCGAGTACTCGAAGATGTCCATGGACGATCGGCTCTGCAAGTGGAGGCCGGTCGTAGGAGGACAGGAGTGTGAAATGAGTCATCTGGTGTGCGTGGCGGAAGATTTCTAGACAGCAATGTATCGAGAATGCGGAGAGATCGATGTGAGTGACGCAGTCCCATGAAATCCCGATGTCTTGGAAGTGGGCGTTGTGAACGAAGACCTTTCTTAGGGTAGGTCTGGTAGTGAGCTTGCCAAAAATCGACGACTTCAAGTTTGGGAACCTAGCAAATCGTTCAAGGTGTATATCTCGCAGAGACAAAGCCACGCTGGTATTATCTGAGAGATATCCGAGCTGCCCGTCAGACAGGGAGGCGTTCAAACGGCTCCACCGGTGCGACGACTGGTTGATGATGGAGAACAACTCCTTCTCCGCTGCAGATTCTTCCGGGATGTAGGAGGGGTCTTTGTAGCTGCCTTCGCCAAGGGTTAGGGAAAAGGGGAGTCCGCCCGAATGCAGAAGCAGGTTGCGAACGAACTCCGTATAGCCCTTTTCCGACGCGCGTGAGGTGTTGATCGAAACTGATGTCCAAAGTTGCGGGGTCGATAACACAACGGGCCTCCATGATTGACAGACGATAGCCAATTGCCACGGCGTGGTATTCGCGTCATCCTTCTTCTCTTGAGAGAACTTCTGGAAGACGGAGACAGCCTTAGAAATCCGATTCGGGAGGTGTGGGCGGTAGAAAGTGAATATGCGAGATACTAGCTCGAGTGGAAGTCGATGAATGAGCGGGTCATGATGAAGATTTCTCTCGAATTTGAGCTGGTGTCGCTGTCCGAGTAGTTTTTGCAGGAGAGAAGTTGTTTCTCGTATTTTGTCGTCGACGCGCTTCAATTCGGCACATGCGGTACACTGCAGCTTTCCAGAGATGCGACAGAGTTCTCCAGAGGTGTCTATGCCTTGAAAAGCCCCTGTGTGGCCGCAGAGGTGACATGGAAAGGAAGAGGGAGGCATTTGTACGAACGAGTCAGACTTGGACGTGGAAGTTGAGAGGAGAGTGACTGCATCCGTTGACGAATCGCTTCCGACTTTGTGTACTGCTTTCGGTACGATCTTCGGAGACTGCCGACTGAGTCCAAAGGTGGGTGATGGCTACGCACAGTCTAGGTCACGATAAGTCCGTAAAGCGGCAGTACGTCGGCAGACTGGCGATCAGCGCGACCAGCTGTCCCTGTCACGGCGTGGGAAGGAAGCAAGCCCCTCCCCGTTGTGAGACGATAACCCCCCTCAACACCAGTTGGATCAGGGTCCAAATGACGCTAGCTATTATATATGTCATGGAATCCTCGGTTGTCGAATTGGGAGTGACAAAAGACAAAGAGCGAAAAACTAGGTGTACACCTTTTGGCCTAGTGGTTCAATCGCGCTGATAGCTGCTTTATCGTGTGAAATCCCACAAAGTCGACGCTCTAAGTCATCGGTTCGATTCCTGAGACCTACAAATTTGTGTTATGTAACCTTCAAATTGTTGATTTGGGGATTCATTGTGATGGGGGTTGGTGATCAGGGTAAGATGAAAAGAAGTAGGGCTCGGACGGCAGAAGAGGACGGTTCAATCGACTGACATAAGCAGCCAAGCAAGCCCAGGAGGCCGAGTCACACTGTGACGAGCCTTGCCCTCCCCGCCCTTTCGAGCAGCGCTCCACCCAGCCGAGCTGCCAGGCTCCGAGCGTTTCGAACGGCGCTCGACCGCTCCAACTGCCCAACCCATTGTCCCGCTCCGTCTCCAAGGCCCCCTTGCTCTGTGCCCCCGCCTGTCCCACCACTCATCTGTCTTCATCCGTCGCCGGAGACCACTACGGGATTGACGCGACAACGATGATGAATGACAGCCCACCAAGACACGATGAAGACAAGAATGGACCGCCAGAGACGATGACAACCCCCACCGAGATTGGACACTGGCAGAACACGACATTGCCAGCCCTGCTTCAGACGATGGACTGCGATCGTGAGCAGCCTGTCTGCTCCTGTCATCCACTCCGTCAACAAGGATTCTCCTCGTCCAACTCGCGCGGGACCAACCAGACCACCCAACACGAACGAAACTGCCCAACATGAACGAAATCCGAACAAACTGACAAACAAACCAATACACCAGGTGGAAGAGGGTGCAATCTGATGCGAGATGCGTAGGCAATTTACAGAATGGCAGGGTTGGAGGAGCAACAGGTGCGTATTCACCACCAATCGAGAAGGAAAATGAAGCTAACTCACCTGCCATCTGCCTTCTCCAGTGCGTCGCACAGCGTGGCCAGCGTCGATCCGACGAGCCCTTGACCTGCAGAAGTGACTGCACCGGGCGTCGGTAGCCCAAAGGTGAGTTTCAGTAGTTTCGGTTTGGGGACATGATGAAAGAGTTACTGAAAGGCCGCTGATTTTCTTTAACAGTACCCCTCATAATTATTCAACGCGAGGTGGACAAGTTTTTTTACGTGCCCCTCCCCTCTTTGCTGAACACGCGGTACAGTACCCTGTTTTACCTGATCGCGTGTTACTTTATGCTAACCTCCTTGACCAGACTTGACCAGATGAACCCAAATTTACCTCGCCTCGTCGTTGTTGGGTTGGGATTTCTAGAGGATAATATATAAATTTCCTATCTTTCTCATCAATTCTATTTCATTCTCCTTGCTCTGAAATCACGAAAGCAATGCTGCGGCTACAGTGTGACATCCCTAAAGATCAGTGCTAAACCTGGCTGGCTCGCACTCGCCAGGGTCAAGAACCTCGGCTCAGCCATCCCCAGCCCTTTGCCATCAAAACCCGAAGCCATCATGGAGGTAAAAGAGGATGGTTCACAGGTGAGCCTTTCCCAAAACATGGATTTTGATGATGTTTCCCTAACGTTCCATCACTAGAACAGACGTTCCGTCAAGCAGACGGTTCGCCCATCATCAGTTCCTTTCTCTCGGCTCCCTTGCCCCCTCATGAGATCCACCCACAGTGTTTGTTCTTCCTTTCTCCATCCGGGTCCTTTCTACCCTCCCCATCCGTTTCAACAGCACGCTCGTCGTTGCTGCCTCCTCTTCCTCATGCCCCATAATCCCGAAAGGCATCATCCACACCGACGACCAACTTGAAGATGCTTTGTTGGCCCCGCCATCAGCTCCAGCTCCAGTCCCAACCCCGCTAGGCAGCGCCAGCAACAAGAGGCGTGGACACCTTTGCTTTTGCTGCATCTTGTCAGGCTCCGATGACTTCGGCTGTGGCTCCAGCACTCGACAGCGGCGTCTACTATAATGCCAGCACCCCTCTGCTACAAGCCTCTCTGCATATCAGATTGGGTCTAGTGATATGGATATCGTCGACAATGTTGATGTCTTCGACGCCCGCAAGCAAGATCTCCAGGCAAGCCCCTTCTTTAGGTTTCCTCCGTTTTGCACAACCAGGCAGATTCTGACTGCCCTTCTGCTGCCCCGTCCAGTACTCTCATCGCAGAAGATCAGCATGTCCAGCCCAGACACCCCATCACTCACATGCTCGCCCTCGTCCACCAACTCTGCGGGCGATTGTACAATCCAGATGACCCCGTTAGAGGACAGCGGCTTCCCCGCATGCCCATCATCGCACTCATGGCTCAATGTCACCCTCGCCGCCTCCACCGCCTCTTCATCCTGTTCATCGTTGACATTGGCACCTGAACAGCATTACGGACTCCTCGAAGCTCCAAGTGTTCGAACAGCGTCGCCTACACTGATGATGACACCACTGCCTTTTGTTGTCACCCACCAGAACACCACAAGGCCAAGTGGAAGGCGTACCTCTCTCGCGCTGCGAGCAGGGTCGCCTTCGATCTGGCCATGGCAGCGCAGAGGGCTGCAGAAGGTGTGGATGACCCAATGATGCCTCCGTTTGCCTCGTCGCAGATGGGCCGGTGTCTTTGCTTTTTCGTATTGCCATTGCTTACTCAGTTGTGTTTGTGGTCCTGTTTACAGATATTCGTGTCTTCTCTCAGCTATGTTTTCCTCCTCTTTTCATTGCCCTTCTCTATATTATAGTTGCAACCCCCAAGGACTCCCCTTGTTTTTTTTTCCTTCCTTTTCTCTCTTGAAACACTCTTTCATATAAAAATAACATTAATTGACTAATTATATTCCTCGCAATTGGGACTGGTGTGGGAAAGTTACAGAAGATGCTGGCTTGATCAACAACGCCCATCTTTTGTCCCCCAATCCTCTGCCATCCCCATGAAAAAGCCTACTAGGTCTGCATTGGCATGCACAATAGCTCTCGGAACAAAGTACTTACAAAATATGACGGTAAGTTCTCCCAAATATATCATACAAGACATTTAGCTAATTTGCTCCATCGTTGCCAGATGTCTCGTCTCGGTAGTCTACCCTCTCTCAAAGCAACCACCAACACCCATCAAGCACAATGGGAATAGACGGACTGTGGCCGGTAAGTGTCTACTGCTATCCTTATCTATGGACTTTGTCAAACTTACAATAATCATTAGCTCCTTGAACCAGCCGGGGAAAAAATGTCATTGCAGCATTTGGCCGTCGAGAGCGGATTCTTGACCCATCCAGGACCTGGTGGAACATGCAGTCTTCGGGTTGGAGTTGATGCCCTGTAAGTATGTGTTCTATTCTCTTTGTGCTCTCCTCATCTTTCTGTAGTGCATGGATCTATTGCACCATCTACTGTCACAGCAAAACCAAGAACCCCGAGCTTGCAACTCTATTTGCTCGATGTGCCTGCCTCTTCAAGCTACCAATTTGTCCTCTCTTCGTGTTTGATGGGCCTGGGAGGCCAAAAAACAAACGAGGGAAGAAAGTTCGGGGAACCCGGTTGTGGTTGGAGCAGGACTTCAAGACCATGTTGGATGGCTTTGGGTTTACATGGATTGAGGTATGTTTAATACTTTTTTCTCCATCATGCACTGATGTCTCATTGTACCAGGCCCCACTAGGAGAAGCTGAGGCTGAGCTTGCTTCACTCGCAACTGCTGATTGTGTGGATGTTGTGCTCTTGGAAGACTCAGATTGTTTCATTTTTGGGGGGCCAGCTATCATGCGATTGTATGTTACCTATCTGTTGTTTCAGAGTGAGCACTCGCTGACAATGTCAGTGATCTGAACACTTCTAACGACGAGGAGGTCATCCTCTATCATGCGGCCAAAGTAGAAGCTCATCCTGACCTCCACCTTGAGCATGCAGATTTTGTCTTCATTGCTCTGACTGCAGGTGGTGATTATGGTGTGAGTTTTTTTGTGCCTTGGTGTGAGATGCAGCACTTACATTTTACCTTAGAGAGGGATCCCGAACTGTGGCATAGATACGGCCTTCCAACTTGCAAAGACTGGTCTTGGCCAGACACTTCTTGAAGGTGTAAAGCATTACCAAGGACGCAACTTGCGGGCATTTCTTTCTTCGTGGCACAAGTTGTTGATCCTCGAGGCTGCCACTAACAAATCCAGCCACCTCCCACATAAATATCCACACCTTGCCAGGAGCATTCTGGCCAACTTCCCGACTGTCACATCGCTCAATCTTTACACAAAACCCCTCGTGTCTGGTGAAATTCCACCCTCCCTCTTCATGAAACAGCCGGACCCTCCAATGCTTGCAAGCTTTGCTGAACATCACTTCGTTTGGGGAGATCCTGTCAGAATCCTCAAGCATTTCTCTGACACTGTTTTCCCTGGCTGGCCACCCGATCCCTCATGTCAGCTGCCCAGGTCCATGATCTTGGGTTTGGTGCTCAGAGCCAGACCCCAATTTCGCATGTCATTGCTTTGCGGGCACCCGGTTCCCCAGACAAGTGCCCCTGTCACCAGGAAGTCTGCCTGGCTCTCTGCCTTGGCTCCGAATACATCAACCGCATTGTACGTAACCTTGATGGCTGTAACAGTGCCTCTCAGGTCAAGGCCGTGGAGAAATGGATGAAGGATGAACGTAGCAAGGTCAAAGCATGGGTGCCACTTGAGATGGTCAGGGTTACATGGCCCGCCCTACTCTCTCCTCATAAGTCCCCCGAGTTTGTACATGATAGCCCATTCATGAATTAATAATTGTCCATCTAGTTGGTCTTTAGAGCTTGTTGCAGCTGTGTGCCCTTAACCGCCTCTCGATCATCTTAGACTTTGTCAAAAAAAACCAGTACCAAATTTCTTATTTAACTGTCTTGTCTTACTCTACCCCTTGTACAATACAATTGCGCTCTGTCCTCTTTCCAGACCCTCGGATGTCACCTCTCGCCTACGCTGGGATCAACAAAGTATTGGAGGAGCAAGCTCGCAAGCATCAGCAGGAGGACATTGAGGATGACCTCGAAGGCGAGCAGGAGACCCTCCCTGATCTCACTCCTGAAGACCTGTCCAGGCCAGATGACAATGACGACAATGACATGGTTTCACAGTGGCGAACAACCGTGACAGGTGCATCGAAGGGTATCACAGACAAGACAGAATCCGAGTATCAGAGGTGGGATGATAATTTCCCGTCGAATACAACCCTCAAGTCTTAATGGTGCTGGGTGCATGCCCACCTTTATAGGCTGATGAAGCAATGTGTCAAGTTCCTGGTTTCCAAAGAGCTCATTCAAAATGCTGAAGAATTTTTCTGTTCTAATCCACCTGAAAACGCGCCGCTGTACATTGTTGCGTGGATCATGAATCAGTGTGTATTCCACTATCTTATGCACAAGGCTGCGGTAACAAGATGTCTGGACAGGTGTGATGAGATTGATCTCGATGGAAACAAAAAGAGCAGAGATGCCCCACGAGATACCTATTCATATGCTCAAAAGATGTGAGCGGCGATGACCTACATATTTGGTAGGGTCCACGGGCTCGGATCACGACCATGGCAGAGGAGTGAGGTTACAGGGCTCATGACTGGCAACCCCTCAATATCTGAGACGGTTGCAACATACATGACGAGCCTCAGGACACGAAAGGTATTTGGTTATTTTCTCTGAAGCCTTGGTGATTAGTTACAGTAGCGGCAGGTCCATGCCAGAGAAACACCCACAAGCGCCTGTGCAATCACTTCAGTGAGTTTGGATATTTCAAGGCATTGTCTTTCCATTTATATCTGTAGGACATTCTTGAACGACTATTCGACTTCAATCATCTCCCTGAGAACTGGAACATCAAGGATTACAATCCCCGATCTCACTTGCAGAAGGAGAACTTGCACCAGTGGGGTGGACCACTTGCTCGACATGCGTTGAGTGCAATCTATGCCATCGCCTTTCTGTGCTTGCTCCGGTCAGACAAAGTCTTGAAAATACGACGTGAACACATCGAGTTCAATGAGAATGGGGTGACACTCACCTTACCGTTTCGCAAGACTCATAAGGATGGAGGTGAGGATTATTCCCGCTTTACAATTTGACTCCATTTTAAATTGTTGGCAGGGATTCAACTGTTCCCTATTCAAGCCCTACCGGAGGAGGAAGCACATCTCTGCCCTGTCCGTGCACTTGGCGAGTGGATGAATGCCAGTGAGATAATGACAGGGTACATGTTTCGAAAAATAGTTTCCGGTGACCGGCCATTCTCCCAGGATATACCAATGGTAAGTACTAAGTCCTGATATCCCCCCTCCAACTAGTCAATTTACTACCTGTCTGACATACAAACTGAATGATTCATTAGACCTCTGAACAATTCCTTGAGATGTTCCGAAACAATCTGCTGGATCTTGATATTGACCCTTATCCTTATGGCACTCACTCATTCCGGCGTGGTGGGTGTCAATATCTAGCATCTCAGCGCCGGTGGACAATACGCCAGATCTGCAGCTGGGGTGGCTGGAGCCTCGAATTCTCGAACCTCACTATTGTCTGTTATCTCATTTCATGGACGACAATCCTACCGAACGCCGCGAGGATTTGTTCAATCCAACATGACCACCTGCTCTCAAATGCTACCACTGTGGGAGAAGCTGTCATTGTGCATAATATTGTCAAGAATTAAATGAACTGGATTAGTTGTATCTTATGTAACAAGTTGTGTATGAAAAATATGGAGGCCATGTAACGTAGGAGTCTCTCATACCAGCTACCTGATGTACCAATCTAACTACTCATCGTCATCGTCATTGTCCTGGATTCCTTGTAGCTCGCGATACTGCTTCGCAACATCGGAAGCCTTGGTCTTTACACATTTCCTGCCATTTTTAGTGTAAGAGAAGATGGAAGAAAACTGCTCGCCGTATTCCAGCTTTGCCCTCTCGCATAGCATGTTATTCTCCACTCCTCGCCACTCCGCCAACTTGTCCAGAATTGCCTTATACCCGAGTGGTTTCCCATCGACCACAAAGTGTGCCCAGAATTCGTCTGGGCTGCCTCGCCGCCACTCCTTGATGAGCACCTGGATCGTGTCAATAACGACTTCATGTGCAGAACTTGTGAAAAGATGTACCTTCCATTCAAACCACCGACCCTTGAGCCCCTTCCACTGATTCTGCTTCCACAGACGACCCTTGGGTGACCCTTTCGATGTGTAGATGTCCTTCCAGTAACATATTGGGATCGGGGTTCCTTTGATTACGAGAACCGACTGGCGATCCCAATGTTCAGAGTGGTCATCCCACATCCGATTGAGGGAGGGCAGGTTCTTCGCAAAGGAGATGGCTGGCGGTGGAGGAACCTCAGCTTCTGTGAATGTCAGGGTAAGCCCGCTATGAAGAACAATTGTTCTTGTTGTGGCCGACGTTGATAGACCTTCGGTCGGAGGCAGCGAGAGGGCAACAGGTAGGCTGAATGTGGATACAGGGTTTGCAAGTTGTTGATCGTTGGTGGCGGGGTTGTGAAAGTGAGACGTCCCTGTGTTGTCGATGGTGTTCGCTGTGCAATCAGCCAGTGGGCCAGTCGTAATGTAGTCGAGCAGCTTCGTAATATTGGCATTGGCGTCATCGAGTCCCTTCTTGATTGACTGGTCGGTGGCACATTCAATGCTGCCCTGGATCAGAAAATACAGGTGTTGAGAGACAGAGACAGCATGAATCAAGGATGGCACTCACATCTGAGCCCCGAAGGTATGTCCTTGCTGCAAGCCTTCCCTCAGCAATCTTGAGGTGCATCTCTTTCGTACGGTAGGGATATCTCTGAACGATACTCGAAGCCTGAAGGATTGATCAGTTTCCGTGTAGATAGCAACACATCAGCACCTACCCATGCAAGATCATGCTCCCTCTGCTTCAGGGACACCGCAGTCGACAAGAGAACAGGCAAACCAAGTGTGGTGCTGGGTGGAGGGACATTCTCGAAGAGGGCTTCACGCCGTTGGGCGGACTTCTTCTTCTGAGATGATGTGTTCCCAGTCTTTGGTCCGAGATGAGAATTGCGGGTGTAGGGCTTCCTGCTGTCAAAGGAATGTGAAGCTGATATATATATCAGAACGAGATCCCATACTTACCTGTCTGCTGCCTGTGGGTCTCGACTAAACTTCCGCAGACGTTCCTTCAGCTTTGGGATGGTTCCAGAGTGGGGGAGCTTGTAGATTCGACATAAGTCACTCAATTGAACATGCCGCATCGAGTTGCTGCATTTTCGTTGACTGAGTCAGTAATCGCAGCAGAAAGGACATGGTCACTACTCACATATCGTAGAACTGAACCGTCAGCTGGCCATCAGGGAGCTGGGCAGGCAAGGATAGCCTTCCATTGTTGCAGTTGCTGGGCGGTGATTCAGCCGTCTCCTGCAAGTCGACAACCATCTCCTTGCTGGCGGTTTCATTGTCAAACATGTCAACATCCATGATGGGCCTTCCGAGACGACAGCAAAACAGCAGCAGGAGGAGGAGGGCGGCGGTGGCAGCGGTGGCAATGCTGATATGAACGAGGTGTCGAGCGACGAGGTTGTGGTCACTGCTGCTGGAGCTGAGACAGGCGCCCCCGAGAGCTGAGCATGGCAGATGAGCCCCGATCACCGCCAGCAGCCTCGGAGCGCCATCCGTGGGCCAGGACAGAAGGGGATCAACGACGGAGCTGAAATATACGTCGATTAGCGTCGTGGTTCGGCGAGCGGGGAGATAGAACCAAAACAGCTAGGCGCTGCCCCGAGAGCGACGGCGGCTGAACGAAACAGAGGCAAAGCCAAGTGACAGGCCCTGGGCCGAGAGCCCTCACGCCTTCCTATCCGGGAAGGCGACCGTTCCGTGACAGGTCGAACCGTGCATCAGAGTGACACGTCGGCTCTCGCGCTAAGCCACGTGATGGCACCGTCCTTCTGCCGAGAGAAGTATATTTATGTACTTAGACGCTCTTTTCCTTACCACTGAGCCGGTCGTTTCTGATAGGGACCTAGTACCGGTCAATACACTTCCTTCCTTCCTTCCTTCCTTCCTGTCCAAAGTGGAGCTTCAAAGCTTCAAGCTTCAAGCTTTAAGCTTCATTCCTCTTCGCCACTGGCAGTCAAAAGCAAAAAGTCACAATTATAAACGCGTTTGAATTATTTAGATAGAGTGGTGGATTATATTGACAGACTCCAGCTCAAGGCGGAAACAAAACCACAGGCTAAATGGTGTCACTGCGATGAGCCAAACTCGTACTTGTCGACCACCTTGTCCCATATCGCCTTCGTGTCAATAGTCGCCCCAAGCCGGGACGCAAGAAGGAACGCTCCGCTCAGTTTCCTAGAAACAATTACCGTAAATAATGATCTGGCTTTCACTTCCAAAATGGATCAATATAGAGGAACGTACCGATTCAAGCTATACGTCTCCTTAGGCGGCGGTGTGAGACGGTGCTCCAGCATCACAGGGATTTGAGCACGGATTTGAGCAGTAATTTCTGACCATTGTGTGCCTTGCCCGAACGAGAAGGGTTGAGGTGTGTCGGCTTTGAACGGCGCGGCGAGGAGTGTCATCGAGTTGACATGCGCGTCAAGCATGACCTAGAAGAAAGAGGGGAGATGTCAGTCAGAGGAAGGAAAAAGATGTGCGGAGGCTTACTTCGTTCTCTTCGCCAGTTAGATAGCCAAGTTTGATGCTCCATTCGATGCATGCATCCTTCTCGCCCGAGGCAGCGGTTTGGAGTAGATGGAGCCAGTTGTCCATAAACTCCTTCGTATATGTGCGCGTCGCACCAAAATCGACGAGTTCAACCTACAAGGAGCTTCGGGATGAGTCTTATCCGCAGAGGAGCGCTCACTCCATACCTGGCGGGATTCTGGATTCCAAAGGAAGTTGGTCCAGTTAGGGTCGGTCTGCATAGCTCGGAATTCAAATAGCTCTTTCAAGCAGAGCTCGATAATCCTCGCGGCGATCTGTCGATAAATTTCGGTAAGAAACTTCCCTGAGTAAAGTCTTCAGAAGACGTACGTCGTCTCGATCCCTCTTACTGAGATTATTAACATTCGCTTCACCCACACTAAACCCATTCACCTTCTCCATAACCAGCACAGTCGCAGTGCTGCCCTCCCATACCCACGGTACCTTATACCTCTCGTCACCCCCCAAATACTCCGGCGTCCCAAACGCCCTCAAGAACCCCGCCTCGCGCACATAGTCGCACTCGTCCGCCAGCTCGCCCTTCATCACCTGGATCGTCTTATCCAGGAACAACCCTTTTGGCAGCAGTTTGGCAGCGGTAAGGAGGAGCTTAATGTACCCAAGGTCACTCTCTATCGAGTTGACGATGTTGGGGAATTGGATTTTGACGGCGACGGGCTCTGGCCTGCCGGTGGCAGAGACGGAAGGCGAGAGGATGGCGGTGTGAACTTGGCCGATGGAGGCGGCGGCAAAGGGGAGTCGGTCGAAGTGCGCGAAATTGGTTTGCCAGGAGGGCCCGAGGGCTGAGGTCATGACTTGCTAGGAAATTACTGAGAAACTGGGAAAGAAAAGTGGGAGTTGATTCACCTCCATTTGCCAGTCGGGCATGTAATGCGCGCTGTCTTGCACTCTCCGGAATATCTTGTCAATCTCCGGAGGGAGGACGTGCGTGTCTGGATAGATGCGTCGTTGAGTTCTGAATTGTTCCAAGACTAACTAACGACGAACCTTGTATGCTCATGAATTGCCCAAGCTTCAGAGCCGCTCCTCTCATCTGAGATAACTTCGACACCAGGCGCTTGATATTTGCCTCAGTCATCATAACCGACGACTGGCCCTCAGAACTCGACCCAGTCCGTCGTATTATCTCTGACGCAGCGCCATATCCAAGGGACGCTGCTAAGCCTGGTCAAGTAAGGCGGCGTGTCAGGTCTGCAACTCGTACGCTGCGTGATAACTAGCACGTCGTACCTCCGTAGTGAAATAATCTTCCTATCCGCGACGACGGTACTTTGGAAGATTTCAAGTTACGAGAGACAGATGGAGGTATCGGGTGTGGTAGAGATGCCGAAACAATCTCCTGGGTTCGCAAGGTATGAATCCAGCCTCTATAGTAGGCTTTGGAAACTCACCTCGGCCAGTACATCGACAGTCCTATCCATTTCTAACACAGCGAGAGGCTTTCGGGCTGTCTTCAAGATGAGCTCAGTGGCTGAACGCAACTCTGAGTGCACTTGCGGAGGCATCCTTGGCAGCGCCGGTGGTTTTTCGTCTGCTGGTGTCGGCGCCTCGTCGAGTTTGGGCAGGATCGGGTCGACAGTTCCATGTTCTGCCAGGGCTTCTGGGGCTAAAGTCGCGTCTTTTGCAATAGATCCTTCGCCATGGACCTTTACTGGACGCGTAGCTTCCACTGGTTCCTCAGTTCGTCTCCGTTTTCGAGGACTTGCATTCGCAGCTACCGCCGCCGTCGGTGCAAACTGGTCCGCTCTATGTCGCGCAGCATGAGAGAGTATTTCAGCGGCAGAGTTTAGCACGCAGAACCAGCTGTACGCCGGTCCTGGCGGCATGGACAGGCGGTGGACACGGTCAGAGACGATGAGCGCGACTTCCCGACGTCGAGGCCGCCGATGACCCGAGTTGTTTGGCAAGATTCCGCCGCGTAAATACAGTCCCATCTCTGCAACCACGGTTACCTCGTTCCCAACGACACTTGTGCGCTGTTCAGCTATAGGGCTTACCAACCAGCAGATACCTGGCGCACAGCTAACTTTCCAGATGCATCTTCATCACCACCATGACAGCCAGGCTGGTCCATCCAACTCAGGAACGACGAGATTTCGAGTCCAAACGTGAGGAAACTTTCTTATTCTTCTTTCAGAGCCAAACCTACTTTCAAAAGCACCGATGTTCTTCAAGATATGAAAGTAAACGTGTATGAAGAAGGATCGGAGAAGGTTATATGGTATAAGGTGAAAACGACTACTGAGAGGTTTCTATCTTGTTGCTAATGTCCCTTCGACATGGAAGGAAAGGTTTCTAGATGACCAGGAAATCATTGAGAACGTTGTGGTGCGTTCTCCCAAGTTGACAGCACTACTGCGAGTTAATACGGCCTCAAGCACGCAGCCAGCAATAGGATATGCTGGTCGATCCACCGACCGCTCCGAGGATGGTCTATTCGCATTAGATCCCCTGTGTTTCCTCCTGGAGTTTTCATTCCATTGACACCAGTGCCATCATCAGCGCAATTTTATACCGACGCAGCTCTGTCTTTCAATTCGCGGACGAATATCCCAGTAACATCGAACCTAGCGGAGGATGTCCAATTCACGCTCCAAGACGAGCAAGTCGCGTCCAGTTCGTCAAGCGTTCACTCCTATCCACCTACACCAACCGCCATCGTCAACGTTATACCTCCTACCCCAAACGATGTCCCCGGTTCCTCGAAATCTCCGCCAAGGAAGCCACTACGGACCCCTCCTATGGTCTCCTCCCAAGTCACCCAATTTGTGTTGACACCATCTTCTATACAACCTGCACAGCAACTAGTAAACGCTTCCTTCCTCGCGCGTGCTTTCTCCGCCCTGAAGAGCCAGCGGCCCTCTCACTCCAACTCGTTCACGCTCTCCCGCGTCCTGCCACCTAATCCACAATCCCCACCCCCTCCATACGCCTCGCGAATATCCGTCGTGACCGAGGCGGCGCAGTCGACCACTGCCATCATCCCAGAGCAGCCTCCACAACCTCTTCTTCACACTCCTTTTCTTGTGTTCCACGACCAGACACCAGTGTTGACTGTTCGCTCATTGATCGGGTTGATAGAACTGGATCAAGCAGAAGAGAGGTTATTGGGCGTTGATACGGCATTTTGGATTGCAGTTGCTCTGACGTATCTCGAATTCTTGGAAGAAAGGGAGGTACGTGCTCGTCTTCACCCTTGGGAGTGCCGTTAACAATTGGTCTTCCTCAGAGTTACCTGGCCGCGCTCGCTGATTAGCTTGAATGCCTTCTACAGGTAGAAAACGACGAATTGATTTCATTACTTGCACCCTGGTACCGTAAGCTCTGTCACAAGAAGGGGCTAGTTGGGATTGCGGAGCATATGTCCCGTCCGTGTTCGTACAGGCACGGTTGACAAAGATTCGGGTTGAGGAGCGCTCGATCCTGCTGGCTGGGAAGCGTGGATGGGACCGCCAACTTGATTGGCATATTTCAAGTGATAAAGATGCCGATAATGCCCTTGGGCCAAATGGGCGCTGTTGGTTCGGAGGATGGCTTCGATGGCCTTAAAACAGGAGTGGGATGAGACTTCAGACTCTCGTGTTCGTTTTCATGGCGCCAAAAGGTTAGGCTCCCTTTTGATCTTGCTCTTGATTCATTGGGATACGTCCCGATGTCTTCAGATTCCTTTCTTTCCCTAGAGAGAAGTAGTTTGCCCTAGAACTGGAGTTCACGCGTGAACCGTTGGAAGAGTTCTAATTTCTTTTCAACAGCGCAATACTTTGATTGTAAATCTCAACAACCACTGGCGAATTTTTCTACTTTACCCGCTACCATTCTTTCGGGACATCCTTTCGGGAAACATCTGGCCAGCTGTCAACTCGCGTTCGTACTAGGATCTGATCGATATCGCCGCGTGGCTGCCGCACATCTCTTTCTCTCCCAACCACCACAGCACGAAATGGGGCACCCTTCTTTTTCGTGCAGCCTCTGCGGCATGACAGGAATCCTCGACACCATAGATGTTTCCGGAGCACACTGTGGCCTCTCCGCTCGCGAACCATGCCTCGCATGCGCACAACTGAAACAAATCGATGAGAAAATACAGGAAACAGCCACCATGCTTCAAACCCTTCTGAAAGAGCGTCAAGAGCTCAAATTTCAACGGAACAAGCACCACGACCAAATAGTCAACCGTCTTCCTCCAGAACTCGTCTCCCGCATCTTCACCGAGGCCTGCTATCCAGATACGCGCGTTGCAAGCTCCAGAGCCCTACAGCTCTTCCCGCATATTAGTGAAGGCGTAGATCAAGGAAATCAAAACCCTTTGCAGCTACAGATGGTCTGTCGAACATGGCGCGAAATTGCGCTCTCGAATCCACGGATCTGGTCGACGATATGGGTCAATATGGGATGGGGAGGCCATGAGCCGTACCGGCAGTTCATACAGGAATGGATCTCGCGCTCCAGGGACTTACCGCTCTCTCTCATCCTTTATGAGATTGTCTATCAGTATCCGATTTATGACAGAGAGCACCTTGCGCGAATGCGGCACCTCTTCGACGTGATCAACAATACGTCGTCCCGGTGGAGAGAGCTCAACTTCTTCCTGAGTGAGGACCTGGTCAAGATGCTCGGTGGCGACACCATCGAGGCACCTGTTTTGGAGAGCGTATTTCGAGGACGCTTCCTGAATGAATATGGCGGCGGCTACACTGCACCCTTCATTTTGCGCGTCAGACCGAGTCCGACACACGTCTCCCTTGATATGTGCAAGCACACGGGAATGGCCATCGATTGGGGTCAGGTCACCCACGTGGAAATGAAGGTAACTTCAGTAGACAATGTTTTAGGACTCCTTCCCGATGCGCCCAGCATAACGCACCTCACCCTTCACTCCGTTCATGTATTTTCACTTCCTCCTAATCTGCCCGACGAAATCATCCACAACCATCTTCGTGTCCTAAAGGTACCCACCGACTCGTGGAGACGTGAAGCAATGGACCCCCTTCTCGACCGTCTAACTCTCCCTTCCTTGGAAGAACTTCACATCGGAGGATCCCTTCTCCAAACCACCAACCTCATTCTTCGTTCCCACTGCAGGATCACAAAATTAAACATTGACCAGAATCTTCGTCATCTTTCTTACAGAGATGGGGAGCCAGAATCCGACTTCATTGCTCTTCTACGGGAAGTGCCTTTCCTGACTGATTTGACCTTCATTGGCCGAATTTCGAGCACCTTTTTGGAGCGTCTCCGACTAGCTCCCACAGGTGATACAGGTGACTCGGAAGTATTTTTGCCAGCACTTCGCTCCTCCGACATAAAATGCTTCCTCGAGTTTGAATGGGAGTGCGTAGCCAATATCTTCCCGGCGCATCCGAGTCCTTTAAATGGACACCGTTCGGCACTGCAATCGTTCAAGCTTACTGTATCAAAGCCAGTCACCAGAAATCGACAAATGCCAGTGGAGGGCGATAGCGGTAATGAGTGCACTTTGGTGCCTATTCCAGATGGTGTGTTCGACCACCTTTTGGGTGTTCGAGAGTCTACAGGGATCCAGCTGTCGATTGTGAATGATTCCGAAGAGAATATGCTATACGGAGAGTAGATTCCTTTGAAATTTCTTCATTTTAGTTTATCCTATAGAATCCGTCGACAGCTCGTCTACGCGCAGGCAAGCAGAATTACCCCCTAATCCCTCTTAAACTGTACAAGAATATCCTACTTGTATGACGGTATCCAAAAGGGTGATAGCCGAATAGCAGACACCATTGGATTCAGAGGACCCGAGTTGCCTTAAACCACCACCAGACCGTGACTGCCGCCTTATCTGCCAAACTTGCGCAAGATTCTAGACATGCAGGACTCAGCACCTTCTTCTTCATCTCGCCTCTACAGCATACCTGGAACCTTGGACATCATCAGCATATCAGAAACGCAGTGTCGCATACCTGCGGGCGGACTTTGCACCGCATGTATTGAATTGAACCAGGTCGATAAAAAAATAAAGGAAGCAGCTGCTCTCCTGCAGCAGCTAATAAGACAGCGAGAAGAATTGAAGACCGAACGGAATTGTCACCACGATCAGCTCATCCAACGCCTCCCCACTGAGCTGGTGTCTCGCATCTTCGCCCTCTGCGCTTCATACCCTCCTGTTTCCGTGGACTCCATGAAAGTTCCTCCTCTTTATCGTCAACGAAAACCATTAGTCTCAGCACCATGGGAACTTGGAGTCGTCTCTCGATCATGGCGAGACGTCGTCTACTCCACTCCACAACTCTGGACCGTTATCTCTGTCAATATGTCTCGTCGAAGGGAAGCGGGGTATAGCGAGTTTGTGCAGGAGTGGCTGTTGCGTTCCGGTGACCTGCCTCTTACCCTTAGTCTTTATACATCAGCTCGTAGCGACACGGTCCCCTTCGAGGTATTGTCTACGTCGGAAGAGCCGAAGGCCATGCAGCTCTTAGCTGCTATCAACCAAACCTCCCAGCGGTGGAGATATTTGGATGTATCCCTTCCCGTCCCGTTCTCTGGGCACCTTCGCGGGGTTTCCAGCGGGACTTCGAAGTTGCAGAGCATCCACCTGGGGCGACCCCTCGGTCCCAGGAATACTCGAAGTATCACCTTCCAGATGCACGTTACGCCATCTCCTTCAAGAGTCGCACTTGAATATATAGGTTTCAAGGCCTTTGACATCAACTGGGATAATGTCACCCATGCCACAATCCAGTCCTTCTCGGTTGCGGAATGCTTAGAAATGCTGCGCAGTGCACACCAACTCACCCACTTCGCTGTCAGTTATGTCTACAACGACCAAGATCCACACGAATCGCCGTCAGAGAACTTGAAGATCGTACACAATCACCTTCAAGTTTGCGAGGTTTCCTCTATTTCTCGCCTTGATCTCCTCTTCAGTCATCTAGTTCTTCCCTCCCTCATCAATCTCCACCTTTTCGACAACCTCTCCGCCGCCGCATCTCTCGTCTCACGTTCCGACTGCAAGATAACTGAGCTTTCCGTCAACCAATCGGAGACGCGACTTTCTTCGGAGGAGGATCTAATCACACTTTTGAAACTATGCCCAAGCTTAACCCACCTTACCCTTCTCGAGTGCCCCATTTCAGACATTTTTTTCCAGGAATTGGGGCACGACAAAACCCCTGACCAACAGCAATCAACTCTGAGCCAGTTTCTACCGGTCCTCAGTTCACTCAGCATTGAGGCCCTCCTCAGGTTTCGATGGGATTCCCTCACCAATATGTTTAACCGACACCCAGACCCGCTCTACGCCCCCCGACGGAAACTTCGATACTTGAAAGTTACTATACTGGAAGGCGAACGTAGTGAATCCGACGAGTTGTCAGACGAATCAGACGATGGGGTAACTGAGCCACTCTCAAGACTCATCCCTAAAAATGTCGCTTCAAGCCTGTTGTCGCTATTAGACTCGGAAGAAGTTGTGATCATAATCGAGGATGAATATAAGCATAGTCTCCTCCACACTGCTTTGGCATCAGAAGGTTAGTCGATGCTTTCTTGAAGTTGTTTTTTTATAGTTTATGTGGAAGTACTTCTCGCAATCATCCAATCCAAAGTACTAAAGTATATAAATATTCGTATATGTATATTTCGCGTTTCAAGGGAAGGGACAGTGTATACTCTACTGATACGAACAGAGCAGATAGCAACGATTCATTCAGGCAGACTGACGCAGCGACCACCGCGGAGGGGGTGAGTGACAACAAGCACTGTTCACGACGACGATCGTGTTGTTGTTCTGGGCTGCAACAGCGCCAATGAGTGCGTCTCCTCCATGCCATAAAGTCAAATTGTTTCTAGCAATTTTATCAGAATTCATGCATCATGGGCCGTTGGAGGGTAATGGGAAATACGCACCGATCTCCAGCATTTCCGTCGACCGTGATCTGCCCCTCGCCGCTGTCCGAAAGCACGAACACGAGTGCCGCTGACTGGTGCCTTGCCGCATTCTCCGCACTCGGCAGGTCAAAGTCGTCCAACATCCAGCTGACACTCGTCCGGAACTTCCTCGCCTCGCGCTGAATTGCATCGAGCCGGAGACGCTACTCGGGCCAGTAATTTGAAATATCCTTTATAGCGATTCGGGTGCGACGAGGTAGGTGAAATTTGCCGTGCCGGAGCCCTATCCCATCGCAAGAACGCCGTCCGAGCCACCCTGGTCCGCGAATTGATCAGGTCCTGCGCGTCCCAGGCCTGCGTCACTGCCGATGAGCGCGATGTTTTGGTCTTTCCTTCCCAGCGGAAGTGCCCCGCGCTCGTTCTTTAGAAGGACGGTGCTTGCGGCCCCTAGCTCGCATACGAGCTTGAAGTGGTCATCTTGAACGTCCAGGTGGGCATTCGTCGCGTCGTCGAACGGGTCGAAGGCGTTGAAATTTACGGATGGGAAGGACGGCCTGTCTTGATGGACGAAATACCATGCTGCGATGATACGAGTGGCTAAAGCAAGAGATATGATTAGGTGAGGGTCGCCAAGTACGACGGCAGCGTACCCATGTCGTCGACTCAGCTTTCAGAGATCGTGCCGTTGCTGACGAAGGCCGTGAGATTGGCACCCCAATACGAAGTTCCTGAGCCAAAAGTGATATCACCGGGCATCGTCATCTACCAGAAGGTTAATTAGGCATTCCGGTGTAAAGGATCAGATGTAAAACGTACGTCCAGTCCAGCGTTGGCGGCCATTGACGCATGCTGACTATGAAAGAATTGCATCAAAGACCACGTTCCTGACATAGGCAAAGATAACTCACGCCATCCAATCAGATGTAATAACTGAAACAGTTTTTCAGATGCTCGGGCAATTGGAAGAAAATTTGAAGCACCCACAGCTTTGGAACCCATACTCTCTTTTCAGGATGTCATTCAAGACTTTGTCGTTTTCGCAAGCGAAAGTTCCATTGAGACCATCTAATAGACATCGTTGAAGAACGAAAATATAAACAAAACTATCACTTACTATAGCTACACATGACACTTCCAACGCCGGCCATGACACTCTTCAAGAACGGGTGGGTATAAATCTCGTGCAGAGTTCGATCATCAATGTTGGAGCTAGACATCAGACGCTTGTTTTCTTGCTCACTAAATGAAATGCGTTCATTAGTTCAAGCATGAAAATCAAATACATCTCGACTTGCTTGCCAACATAGTGTTTCGCACACGCGATGACGCCGCCCTCTTGCATACCCAGAATTGTCTCGTACGCTGCTTCACCAGCAAGAAACGGATCGGCTCCAAAGCTTTCCCAGTTTCGACCAGCTTGAGGTACCCTGACCATGTTCATCATGGGCCCGAGCGCGATGTTCACACCTTTCCCTACGTGTTCGCGGCCAATATAAAGGCCACGACGGCGCATGAGGTGGCGGTTGAATCTGAAGAACGACAAGAAATTTGACTCGTCATCGACAGGACCATGGTAGCAAGACATACGATGCAGCAGCATTTATTCCTGCCGGGAAGGCAGTGACATAGTCCGCAAGGCGTACGCCAAGTGGGGAGTCCTAATGGCTCTCACTTCGTTTATATAGTGATAGAAGTTTGTAATGAGAACACACCTCAAGACAAAGGCCTGGCCATCCGCGGCCGTCAATGGGTTCTATTGGAGCAATGCTGCCCTAGTTAAGAGCCAAGCGGCACCCTTAGTCGAGAAAAAAAAGGTACGAATAAAGGGCACCTACGATACAGACTCCACCTTGCCATCCAACCCCGGTGACAACGCTGACCTTCTCCTAGAGAGTAAAGTTGACTACCTGTATGCAAGCGAAGTGCCATTTAGGATAAGTACGTAGGAGATAGAAAAGCGAATGCAGAGGCTGTGGGTTAAGGGAAGTGGCCAACCAGCGAGTGGGGTTGGCAAGATGTGATCTTTCTCACGCCCCTATCCCGAGCCCCTATTTCCTCGTTGCGCACACCACAGAAGAATTTGTGGGTTTGGGTACCAGGATAATTTCGAACTTGGTAGAGACAATTCCGACAGATACGTTCCAGTGGCAAGCAACTGGAGGTAAATGAGAAATATACCTTTGGTTTTGCTTTCGCCCATGCTGCCGACCATGCAGGGCCAAAATCGGGAATGGCAAGACTACCAACCTGCAGAGAGCACTGTTTATCACATAGTTGTAGAATTCACGTAGAGCACAACACACTGGTAGTGGGTCAAGAGGATCTGTTTCTGGGTATGATGGCAGAACTGGACTGTCCGAAGGGACCGGGATCAGTGTAAATATGGAGGGTGTATTGGGCGGGACAGTAACTGTTTGGGTTGCTGGTGGAGTTGTAGTGCTCGACGCAGAAAGCGATGTATGCTGAGTATCCGAAATTGCATACACAGATGTCAGAGGCACGGAATGCAATGGGCCTAACGGAAGGGCAGTAATAGGAACTTGTGCACCATCTTGGGCAAGAACAAAGGGAAGGAGGAAGACAGATAACGCCTCTTGCAGTTTCATTGCGATGGAACTCGGAAGTCAACCCATCCTCTTAGTGAGTGTTTAAATAAAAAAATGCGTTGCTCGGAATGTCATCTAATTTTAATCCCTATTCGACTATTACCGTTCAAGGAGTCACAGGCTCGCCAGAGCGCAATCGCCGGTCTTCACCGGTAAACCCAAAAAATCTACGGCAAGTCTTAAAATATGACAAACATCATATAAACTTCAATGATACGTGGCGGTAGTCAGGAGAAGAGCTGGTCTGGAGCTTCCGTAGAACATTTTGTCGCTTTCTGCAATAACGCGGCTGTTATTAACTGTGGTCTTAAAGCACGCAAAAGTAAAACATGTCACCAGCATTTTCTTCCTTTTCCAATGAGATGTCATGCCTATATCGTTGGTATAACCAAGGGAATCTTATTGATTACCCTCGAAGTTCTCTCGGATCTCATTCCATATAATTTTTAATTCAATATACTTATCCTGAGCGAATCCACTGCTTCCGAAGGGGATGCAAAGTATAAAGCATCGGAGGTAGCGAATAAAACGGATCGTTCACGCGATAATCACCTCGTAAAATAAACCGGTCCAGGATCTCATCCAGAAAAAAAAAACCCATTTCCACCTTGCGTAAAGTGCCGTCATTTGCGGTAGAAGCTCTTCGAGCCCTGCAAGTCCGCGTTGTCCTTGGGAGGGAAGCTAACGTCCGGGTGCCGAAATTCGAAATGAGTCCTGGCATAGTAAGAAAAAGAATCATAATCAAACCTCTGGGCGCTCTTGCTGTAGGGGCTTCGCGATTTGGTTTCCCGAAATAGAAAGGAATTACCCAAATTGGGTGTCATTTATGCATGACTATCTCACTTTATTAGACCAACTTGGTTGACTTCCGCTCAACGGTAGTCAGGAAAGTTAAGCGAAGACGATCGCAGACTGTATCTTCGATGGGTTCGTGGAAGGCTTATCCAAGTCAGACTTCAGTGGTAAGAAACCTCTCTCATTGAGGAACTAGGCGGTCTGAGTCTGACTATGGTCGGGATTGTTAGACAAGGCGCCGTTATATGTCTCGCAAAGGCTCCCTGACCATGCTTTGTTTCGACTGAGGTTTCGAGACTGGATAGGAGTCCCATATCAATTTGCATAGAAGGCCTAGGACCCTTCGACAAAGGCGGTGGAAGACCTAGCGAATTGCAGGACCCAAGTTAGTTGAGAAGCCCTCCTTCCAACGCAGACACGACAATAAGTATCCTTATACTTAGTGAAGGCTGGTAGTGAAGAATGTCAGAAAAAGTTCGAGAAGAGATACATAAAAACCACAAAACGACAGCGACATGCTACGTATGCATAGCTAGACGAGTGTTCGAGAGCCAAAATAAATGTCTCACGCAAGTCCAAAATGAATCAAAGTGTTTTTTTTTGTCCCGTCTTGGTCGCAACCTACACGGGAACAACGCCGTTCAACCGCGAGTCCCTGCTGCTCGCACCAATCGTTACCCCAATTCGTCCGGAGGGCTTCCTCCATCCCTGCTTCTCCGTGTCCCAGATGGACAAGTCGTAGCGAGATAAGGTGATAGTGACCGTCTTCCGCTCCCGTGGTGCCACTTCAACATTTGTGAATCCCTTGAGCACGGAAGGAGGCTCGCCGGAGGATGCAGGGAAGTTGAGGTAGAGTTGTGGAATCTAGAAAAAAAGAGGGAAATAAATGGTCTAGTATGAGGGAACGCAGACAGTGGGAGGACGCACCTCGCCACCAAAGACGGGTCCGGTGTTCTGGACGCTGAAGGTAGCCTGGTACGCGGGTGTGTGCAGCCAGACGGCTCTCGAAGACCCCACCTCGATGGGCGTCGCCTCTCCAGTTTCCCAAGCCTGGACGAACGGAAGGTCTGCCGGGCTCACGACACTTTGAATCTTCATCACGCTCAGGCCACTGTATGAGAACTTGGTGTAGCTCAAGCCGAAACCAAACTCGAAGCGAGGGGTTATTTCATGCTGGTAATCCACCACGAAGGTCAGGTTCATGAAGAAGACGAAGGAAAGATAAAAAGGCTCACGGCATCAAAATGACGATAATCAATCTCCAGCCCTTCGGTGTAAGGGATAGTCAGAATATCCTGAGGGCCGCCTCCAATGACAAGCTGTGCGCTGTAGTCTGATACCTGCTTCGCGATGGTATATGGAAGCCTTCCAGACGGGTTCCATGCGCCGTAAAGCACGTCAGCGAGTGAGTTCCCAGCTTCTTGTCCAGCGAGACCAGCCCAAACAACCTATCATCCATCAAGGTGAGTTAAGGGTAGAAGTAATAGAATACAACACGTACGGCAGTCACGTTAGGATGATCAATCCACGGCTCGACGATGAGCGGTCCGACGCTGTTAACAATCACAATGGTGTTATTGTTCTGGGCCGCTACGGCAGCGACGAGGGCATCTCCTCCATGCCAAGCCGTCAGGTTCTTCCTACAAACGTAATGCGAAGAATAACAAAAAAAATCAGAACCTCTTCCATCTACAACAAAGCAAAGAACGAACGCACCTGTCACCCTCGTTCCCATCGACTGTGATATAGCCTTCCCCGCTATCCGCACTCAAGAACACCAGGGCCGCAGAGCGTTTCCGGACCACGTTCCCGGCTCTAGGAAGGTTGAAATCGTCTAGCATCCAGCTGACGCTGGTTCTGAACTTCCTTGCCTCGCGTTGGATCGCGTCAAGAGGCGTAATGAGGTACGTGAAGTTGGAGGTACCGGAACCCCAGCCCATCGCAAGGACACCATCTGAGCCTCCTTGGTCAGCGAACTGGTTTGGTCCCGCGCGTCCAGGGCCTGCACCACTTCCAACGAGGACGATGCTGCGGTCTTTCTTGCCCAAGGGAAGAGCACCGCCCACGTTCTTGAGAAGGACAGTGCTGGCTGCACCGAGCTCACGCACGAGCTTGTAGTGGTTGTCTTGAACGTCGACGTGGAAGTTCGTAGCGTCATCGTCTGGAACAAAGGCGTTGAAGTTGACTGCAGGGAAAGAGGGCTTATCCTGGTGGAGGAGATACCATGCGGCGAGGATACGCGTCGCTACAGTCGAAAAGGTTAGTCTAGAAGCAGCAAATCGAGAACCTGACGTACCCATGTCGTCGACACGACTTTCAGAGATTGTCCCGTTATTGACGTACGCGGTGAGGTTGGCTCCAAAGTACGACGTTCCAGAATTGAAGGTGATATCCCCGGGCATCGTCATCTGTTGAACGTCAGACTTAGCCCAAATGCTGAACCCAAAACACTGACATCCAGTCCAGTATTTGCAGATATCGTGGAATGTTGACTACGGCAACAGGGTCAAAAGGGATATAGAGATTCACGAGGGATCTTAACGCTCACGCAGACCAATCCGACATAATGACTACGAGAAATCGTCAGCTGAGGTTGCACGTAACTGGAAGAAAGAGACTTGCATCCTTGGAAGCCATACTCCCTCTTCACGATATCGTTCATAATTTTGTCGTTCTCGCAGGCCCATGTGCCATTGAGAAGGTCTATGCGCAGAATTAAACTGTAAGACTAGAAGGTGCGGGCGAAAAAACGAACGCACTGTAACTGCACATGATACTGCCAGCACCAGCCATGATGCTCTTCAGGAACGGATGGGTATAGATTTCGTGCATAGTCCGGTCATCAATGTCCGAGCTCGATGTAGTACGTTTATGTTCTTGCTCACTAAACCCCACAACGTCAGTCCACCGTCGAAAAAGCGCATATATGCACTCACTTTCCAACCAAATGCTTCGCGCAGGCGATGACACCGCCCTCCTGCATGCCCAGGATCGTCTCATATGAAGCTTCGCCAGCAAGGAACGGGTCGGCGCCGAAGCCTTCCCAGTTCCTTCCACCTTGAGCGACGCGGCCCATGTTCATCATCGGCCCAAGAGCGATGTTAACACCTTTCCCTACTTGTTCGCGGCCCATGAATAGACCGCGTTGGCGGATGAGGCGTCGGTTGAAGCTGTCAGATTCATGAGATCTAATTCAAAGCCAATTCATGCAAAAAGGTGAAACGCACGAAGCGGCCGTGTTAATCCCCGTTGGAAAAGAAGTGACGAAGTCCGCGAATCGAACGCCCAGAGGAGAATCCTGAGAGAGGAACAAATGTCACTGAAATGCTTCCTGGATCAGAAATGCTGGAAAAGTGAAGCGAACCTCAAGGCAAAGTCCAGGCCATCCATGACCATCTACAGGTTCTATCGCGGCAATGTTTCCCTATTCGAATAAGAAGGCGGTTTAATAACCTAACCATTCACCGGCGCCCGAAAGAAAGAGTACGTACGACACAAAGACCACCTTCCCAGCCTACTCCAGTTGTAACATTGACCTTTTCATCAAGGGTGAAATTGGCAATCTGTAGACATCCAAGGTGAGTCCAAAGTGTGATGTCGCGAGCAGTATGAGGTCACAAAAGATGTGAGAGAATGTAGGCGGAAAAGACGGAAGAAGGCAAGGAAAGCAGACTGCGGGAAAAACGGGCCGTAATTATGTTATCCTTCCCCACGGTTGCGTTCCCCGCATCGTCGTCTGTCGTTGACGGCGTTGGCAATCACCACGATGATCAAACTCGCTTCGGAACGCGTCGAATATACATCGGGCGAGCCGTCCTCCACGCCCCAGCCAGCACCGGACGCGCCAAATCGATTTAGTCGCGATGCAGGCCGCGCCAAGACGACCGAGGGACAAGGGTGCATCTAAAACACGCGGCATCGGCGAACCACCGCCGCAGTAGCCTCGCGCCTTTCCAGACCAACTTCAGCAGTTTTCAACTCACCTTCGCTTTGGCTTTCTCCCAGGCAGCGACCCAGGCAGGCCCGAAGTTTGGAAGAGCACGAGCACCGACCTATATCACCACGGGTTAGAAGATGTGGAGCGGCCTAACGCAAGACTCACTGGGGGTGGGCTGAGGGGGTCTATTGCTGGGTATATGGATGGTATCGGGGTATCAGAAGGTACTGGGAAAGGAGTGAAGGTCGAAGGAACGATAGGTGGCGTAATGACGGGCTGGGTGGCTGGGGGAGCCGTCGTGGTAAGTGCAGAGGAAGGTGCACTGCTCGCCGAGACAGCTGAAGACAACGCGGACGTGGAAGATGTAACTGGCGCAGAGGACGTTACAGACGCCGAGGATGGTAGCTCAGACGTGCTGGAGACCGCAGATGCGCTCGAGGAGACCGTCGCGGAGCTCACGGACTCTGTCGAGCTCACCGTACTGGCGGTGATCGTGGACTGTGACGCATCTTGGGCAACGACGAAGGGGACGAAGGCGACCCAGTGCCATACGGTGAGCCGCATCGTTGTCGTAAGGAGGATGTGGTTCAAACTGGGGTCGAACTAGGATTATAAGAACCACAGCGCTTCTCGCCTCCCACCCGACCGGACTATTTTTGGCGTCTATTACCTAAGGAAGCACATCACCTGGATGAGGCCTTCACCTATTCTTACCCCATAAATCTCCAAATAATCGCACCCATGCTGTCGAGAAGACCTGCGATGTCGTAAAATATTTTGTGTGACTCAGCGGGTTTCGCAGTGGTGAATGAGATGGAGCATAGATTGGTGCAGTCACCTTGAGCTCCAAGCACATAGCAGGCGTCAAATATTCGCCCCAGCGCTGGAGGATTTCGACGAAAAAGACACCCTACTCTATTCACGAGCTGGGGAATCGCAGGTGACTCCACATCTATATTCTTCAACCACGACGAAGGCGCATCATTTCCCGTGCTTCTCAAACCCCACTAACACCAACTCTCCCTCGTCCTGTTCGTTTCCATCATTCACTTACATGCAAGAAGCCCAATTATTCATTGAAAAGTAAATACCCACTGACTTCGACGCTAAACATGCCTACTCTCTTTTGTCTCATCACCGAGTAAATCCGCTTCTCGACCAGCTTCCCAAAAACCCGATATTGAAGCGAAGACGAGATAGCATGCGACAAGGACGGAGCCTACCTGTCTACCTGTACGGCCATTGATGTTCCAATTCTGCTTTGCTCCGTCTCACGTCGTTATTTCAAGCATCGAGTGCGGGCTATCCACGCGATAACTCACCCTGCTGATCACCTCCAGTACCCCACAGCACAGCGTGCGTGAGCCATCACTTCCGGTGAGGTAAGGGGAGAGGTAGATGGAGTCTATCATGTATGGCCATCTTTCGTCTTCAATGTGTTGCGGGTAAATGTGATCCTCAGACAAGGAAGCCTGTTGGGTGTGTTTACTAACCCCTAATGGGATGGGCCGAGAGGGACGGGATGACAAAGACACGCGTGACGTCATTGGACCAATTACGACTACGGGGGCTGCTGGAGCGACGAGGAACGCGCTATGTGATAAATGCTGTAAGCTCAGGGAAGCATATTTGCAACGGGATGTGGCGCACATGGCGGCACACCCTCCTGCCATCCTCTCGCACATCTCCCCAGTGAGCAGGATCGCTGGAGAAAGATTGATGTTTGCTTTAGCACAGCTGCTCCGCCTCTATCCTGAGGAATATAACTGACATTTATTTCAATACTGGTAAGGAGGATACTGGGTTCAGTACCTTATGTGTTCCTTTTCCTGGTGCTCAAGCTGCATGCCCTCCGCCAGAGTCCAAAGATCTCGCCAGCCAAGGGCTCCGCATTTCCAGTTATCAATGCTCAACGAAGCAGAGGTAAAGACCACCACACGATGGTTTGCCAATAAAGACAATGAATGTGATTTTCGCGTTTTGGGGTCAGGAAGGAGATGGGGGGGGGATTCTGGATGCACTAGTAATGCTTTCTTGTCTTTCAGTCGAATCGATTGGCTCTGGAGGCCCAACATGGCACAATGACAGCAGAGATGAGTGAACTTTTTAACAAACACGAAGACAAAGGGACGATGCTTTAAATACGAGAAGGATCGAGCGTCCAACTACACTGGTACAGTGCCCCTCAAGCGCGCATCGCGACTGCTCGCGCCAATCACAACACCAAATTGTCCCGAGGGCTTCCTCCATCCCTGCTTCTCAACGTCCCAGATTGATAAGTCATACCTCGAGAGCGTAATCGTCAGCGTCCTGCTCTTGCCTGGACCGAGGAAGACGTCGGCGAAGCCTCTGAGGACCAAGGGCGGCTCGCCGGCGGATGCGGGGAAGTTCAGGTAGAGTTGGGGGATCTAAGGAGATGTGGATTAGCAAGGAATGAGAGGAAGGAGGAAGGGACGGACCTCGGCACCGGGGATGCGACCTGTGTTGCGAACGGTGAAAATTGCTTCATATGCCGGGGTGTGTAGCCTGGAGGAGGAATCAGAAGATACTTAGCATATTCGAACTTACGGAGGTACGCACCAGATAGCCCTAGAAGAGCCGACAGAAATGGGAGTTGCATCTCCCCTCTCCCATGCCTCAACCAACGGGGGATCAGGCGAGCTGACGGCACTCTCGATCTTGCTGAGCTGCAAGCCACTGTACGAGAACTCCGTGTAACTCAACCCGAACCCGAACTCAAACCGCGGGGTGATATTACGCTACAGAAAATATTGAGGAACATGCCAAAGCAAAAGATCGCAAATGAAGGAGACTTACTGCATCAAAATGACGGTAATCTATCTCCAGGCCTTCGGTATATGGAATGCTGATGATATCCTGAGGACCGCCGCCTGTGACGATCTGCGCGCCGTAATCCTCGGCCCTCTTCGCGATCGTGTATGGGAGTCGGCCAGAGGGGTTCCAAGCACCGTATAGAACATCGGCGATCGAGTTGCCAATTTCTTGTCCTGGCACACCGGCCCAAAGCACCTACATGATATTGCAAACTTGAATGAGATATTGCTGAGGGGAGACAACCATGCATGACACTTACAGCGGTGACATTTGGATGGTCGATCCACGATTCCATGATGATCGGCCCAACGCTGTTTACGATGACAATCGTGTTGTTATTCTGGGCTGCAACGGCGGCAATGAGCTCGTCTCCACCCCTCCACGCTGTCAAATTGTTGCTAGGAGTATCAAAACTCAGCCAGGGTTGTCACTATGATAAAGTTCGACCCACCGATCGCCGACGTTACCGTCGACAGTAAGGTACTGCTCGCCGCTATTGGCCATCACGAAAACAAGAGCCGCAGACTGTTTCCTCGACATTCTCCCAGCCGTCTCCAAATCGAAGTCATCGAATGCATAGCTAACACTTGTCCTGAACTTCCTCGCCTCGCGCTGGATAGCATCGATAGGCGGGACGAGATACGGGTACCTCGCCGTTCCAGAACCCCAGCCCATGCCGAGCGCACCGTCCAAGCCTGCATGATCACGGAACACGTTCGGGCCAGCGCGTCCGCGATCAGCACCGCTCCCGACGAGGACGATACTTCTGTCCTTCCTGCCGAGGGGAAGTACACCCTTCTCGTTCTTGAGCAGGACGGTGCTTGCTGCGCCGAGTTCGCGGACCAGTTTATGGTGATCTTCTTCGACATCGACATGCAGGTTGGTGGCGTCGTCCTCAAGGTCGAAGGCGTTGAAGTTGACGGCTGGGAAGGAGGGCCTGTCTTGATGGAGGAGGTACCAGGAGGCGATGATACGGGTGGCTAAAATTTGGGGTGAGGGAATGCGGCCGAGAGTTCACGCAGAGAACTAACCCATGTCGTCGACGAGTGCTTCGGCAATAGTACCATCGTTCACGTAGGCAGTGAGGTTGCCACCGAAGTACGAGATATTGGGATCATGGTTGAGACCGATGTCACCAGGCATTGCCATCTAATTCGGGTCTGAACCAGTGTACGCATAAGGCAGAAATTAAGAACATACATCCAAACCAGTGGTGGCAGAAGTCGTCCACATCTGACTATATTTATCGGAAAGATAGTATGTGAATAGAATGCAGGAAGATCGGCAAGGGGTGCTCACGCGTTCCAGTCAGACATGATGACTTGTATTGTCCATTAGTGAATTTGCAGAAAGATGTCTAATTAAAATGAACTCACACCCTCGGAACCCGAATTCCCTTTTTACAATATCGTTCATCATCTTGTCATTATCACAGGCATATGTGCCATTGACCTGGTCTTTATGTTTAAAGCGATCAGCCAGTGAACGCAAGGAAAGATAGAATCAAACGCACTGTAGCTGCACATCATGCTGCCAACACCCGCCATGACACTCTTCAGGAAAGGGTGCGCGTAAACCTCGTGCACAGTCCTATCATCGATTTCGGAGCTCGATAGCCGCCGCTTGATTTCTTGCTCACTGTACTTGGAGGTCAGCCTTCGAAGTTCGCAGTCACAATGCGTGATGTGGGCCACTCACTTGCCAACCAGGTGCTTTGCACACGCAATAACGCCAGCCTCCTGTAAACCCAGGATAGTTTCATAGGACGCTTCGCCGGCGAGGAACGGGTCACCGCCAAAGCCTTCCCAGTTTCGACCACCTTGAGCTACGCGTCCCATGTTCATTGTGGGTCCAAGCGCGACGTTGACGCCCTTCCCCACAAACTCGTGTCCCATGTAGAGGCCGCGAAGGCGCATAAATCGTCGGCTGAATCTGTATGGAATCTTAGTATTCCGATGTCTTCAAGATAGCGAAGGGAAACCCACGATGCAGCGGTGTTGACCCCAGTTGGAAAGGCGGTAACAAAGTCAGCGAAACGTACTCCAAGAGGAGAGTCCTAAGTATACAGCTCATTTTATTTTCAGACAGGACAAGAGATACAACGAACTTCAAGGCAAAGACCTGGCCATCCGCGCCCGTCTTGAGGTTCTATTCTGGGGATGTTTCCCTTGGGTCGAAAAGAATCAGGCGAGCTGGACACCAAGAGCAGCAAAGCACGTACAACACAGCGGTCATTTTGCCAACCAACTCCAGTTGTCACGCTGACCTTCTCTTCAAGTGTGAAGTTGGCGATCTAGGAGGTTCGATGGTCAGCAAGGAGGACAACAAATGGATGTCGTCATTCCCACGTGCGCCACGTGCGCGACATGCATTGTGTCGATCAACACTGACAACAGCGATCAACTTGAACCCTGCGACGTTCGCCGAGCCATTTTCGAGCCACCGTATTCACCTTTGCTTCTGCTTTGGACCACGCAGACGCCCAAGCTGGTCCAAAATTCGGGATTGCACGACTTCCAACCTGCGGAGAGTGAAAGGTCAACATTCCGAGGAGTATCCCACGAAATTAGGTCTCGAGGCTCACCTCAGTTGGGTTGAGAGGATCGGCCTCAGGGTATATTGACGGAACGGGGTTATCCAGAGGAGGGGGGAAGGGTGTGAACGTCGAGCGTGGTGGCTGACCGACAGTCGATGCTGAAGAGGTGGCCGAGACAGAGGGCAACGGGATAGCCGATTCGGACACAGAAACAGTGCTAGACACGCTCAATACCGATGATTGGGCTGCCGGAGAGCTGGATACTTGGGTAGAGGTCTGGTCAATCTGAGCAAAAACGAAGGGGGCGAGGGCAACCCAGTGCCAGAAAGTGGCGCTTGGATGCATTGGTGCTAGCTGGACGGGGAACAATGGTACGAACTGGTGAGAAACTTGCTTAGAGAGCCCGACTTATATTGTTGTTCAGAACAACGAGATCCTGAAAATCGGCTGGTGGGTCCCTCACATATTGTAGTGAGAAATGGTCATAGCTTAGGTCTCCTTCTGCTACCAGCGGTGACCCTGGCTAGGGACGGCGTGGCCGACGACGCGTGGGTCCGACACATTGCAGCCTGAAAAAGAGCGGCTGCAAAGGGTTGTTTCTTCAAATCGGCGAGTTCTCGCACGCTGCCAAGAGTGCACTCGACCTACGGAATGCCTCTCAGTCTGACTAGATCTGACCATCTCGACTCCACGTAAAATTGGGAAAGAAGAATGAGGCCCCTGCGTACCCCAATCTCGTGTCACCCAGGTTCGTCGATCACGAAAGAACTTCTTCATACCTCAAAGTCATCGCCCCGCCCCGGACTATCTCAGGCTTATAAACAATAGAAGATCATTGCTCTCCGATCTGTGCGCTCGGCGCCGCCCTCTACGCATGAATGGAATTCACGGTTCAATAAGTGACGTTGTTCTTTGATATTTGGGCTTCTGAATTTCTTTAGACTTTCGCAGGAAGATGTCCAGATTTTGCGAGCGGGTCATCGTGACTGAGCAGAATTACGCGCTTTGGCCGCATCGCGGAGACCGAAAACGCAATGGTCGACTATGTGGTGTGAGATCAGACTAGCGGAAAAATATCTGATTGCCTGGATTGGCGACCTTCCCACCGATGAAAGGGGTCGCTAATGACTCCAAGCGTAGGCTTGCTCATGCGTCCAAGCCGTACCCTCGCCCATCAACCAAACACGTGTAAGGACATGTTATAAAGCGTCGAGGCTGGTGCAGCCCTGACTTTCGTTTACTTAGCCGAATCGCGTCGTAGCTCGCCTCTTTTAATTTGGCGCTCGCATTTCCTAAAACAGAAACCAAGATCCCAAAGTGGGCGTTGTCGATCAGACATCCTGGTTGATGCGATACTTTTCAGTTCTCGCTGAGTGTACATAGGGAAATTTCACGCGTCCTTGGACCTGCCGAGGCATTCCGGGATGGACTGAATGACGACACAAATGCTATGGCCCGCACGGTGTGTTTCTCTGCCTCGTCTCGTGATTGATACTTACCTCTTCTTGCCATTTCAAGTTGTATAATTTTCGTTAGATCTCTCCCCCGCGAAGACCGATGATAGTGGCATTCCAGCCGTCGACTATCATACAGCTGGCACTCGGGGCAGGTGAATATCAGGACCTACAGCATCCTATGAATGCTTCTGAAAATCTACGGTTCAAGCATAGAATTCTGAGCGCCGTCTTTGACCTTCCTCCCGGGCCTTCACAGACTCGAAACGATAAACAAATACAACATATTAAAGACCGCTTCGCTGGACATCCAATACGGTCAAGGCTATCGTCGAGCCGTCCCTCATGAGCCCCGCATTGGGTCAGGACGGTGATAAGACTCTTGGTATTAACCCATCGCTTGAACGCATTACATATTGAAGAAGCGAGTCATGGTGTGATGGTGTTCTAATCACTATTACTCTACACTCTAAGCCTGTTCATAGCTTCATCAGTCTCCCGGGACTCTCGTTTGTTCCTTTTGGACACGGTCAGATTCTTTTGCCGATGAACGGGAGGTGGATCATCCTGCATTAGAGCGGCTCTGCGAAATCGAGGAATGCTACTCATAAGGTTGCAATTTAGGCTGTCCGTCGAGCTATTGAGAGGTCGCTGCTCAAACGAAGTCCTAAAACGTGTCAGAGTCACTTGGACGCCCTGAACATCAAGTCATTCATTTCGATAGTCTCAACTCAGGGAATCCGAGCGCATCCACGGCGCAGTCAACAACTCCGTAGTCTCTTCTGAAACGGCCATATATAGCCTCGTTCAAGCGTAAGCCGGTGAAATGAATGCCGTCATCTGGGCGCGGTCTTACATAAAAAATGCTCATTCCACCCCACAACTTACACCACTCCTCATCACACCTCACTGGGCACAAATTCGGGTTAACAGCCCACATAAAGGTAAACTGTCCTCTGCGGGAATTGCACGCTCCGTAGGCAGGTTTAATTCAGTTGCTAGCGACGCAGAGAGCAAACTGTGGACCGGTGAGTCTAAGAATAGAAAAAGCCACAAGTTGCATGCGGCGAGCGCTTGCCTCGCCCCCGCATACCATCATCAAAGAAGATATAAAAGCAAGGCAGATGTGCTGGGTCATCCATTTTCGCCCCTTTCTTCCTTAAGACACCTCATTGTATCGTACCACCATGAAGTTCTTCGTGGCATCTTTGATGACTCTGCTCCTTTCCCATGCCCTGCTTGTCTGGGCTCAAGATACGACCACGGACGACATGTCCTTCACGATAGACCCCATTACTACATCTGTCAGCGACGACTTTCCGCTCCCTTCATCGTGAGTTCACGGTCACCTCTGCTACCCTGATACTAATCACTAGAGGACCATTATAGGGCGGACACGACAACATCGGACACATTTACGGATGACACCACCACCACCTCCACGAACACTTCAAGCACCATTACAAGCACCACTGCCACATCCCCAAATTTTACAACCACGCCGTCTCCAACCACAACGACCTCGAGGCGCCCAGACGCTCCGGCTACGACCGTCGGCGTTTCGACCAACGCCGTGCTTCCTACTTTCATACCAAGAGCGAATGGGATTGTTGCAGGAATGCTTGGTGGAGTTCTGGCTGCTGCGGTTCTCTGACCTTAGGCGTAGAACAAGGGTTCGGAACGATTTAGATAAAGAGCGTCGGCGAAATGTCTGTGCATTGTTGGCTGCGACTCGATATGGTTACAAACATTTGGACAGAAGCATTACTTACCTGGAAACTGTCGATAACATACTCTACATAATGCTCTTCAATCTTTGTGCACAGTAGGTACCAATTAGGCTTGTCCGATTTGGAGCCCCTTGGGTGGGTGGGTTCCTTCGTCCCAAAATGGAACTCGAACCTTCGGCTTTACGATGGGCATCAGATACACGTGACGTGATCGCGTTGCGCGTCGTTGATTGCTCGGTAGCTTTACTTTAGTTAACTCTCTATGTCTATGTATTGGCGCTAGAGCACGTCTGAGAGAGCGGGGAAGCTACATTAGGATAATGTTGGTGTATGCTAGGGAATGACTGAAGTATTACAATGTCCAATGAGAAGTAATATGTGGGCAAAAGCCGAAGGGCTTTTCGACCCAGCAGGAGTTCCTGATCTATGAAAGGAAACGAGATGAGCTGCAATTCCCAAGCACTAGGAGTCCTGCGACGCGTCGAGCGAGTCTCGGATACCACCCTATTAGGAGCATGATGACGTGGACTCACTTGATTAGCCGCGGCGGATGGGTGGCATGGTCAGCCTGATGAATTCGTCGTGGCGGAGAGGATTGGCTTGCATGTATGGGGCAAGGATTTGTGTGTGCTTCCTCAGATAGGTGAGGAAAGCGTCACTGGCCCAGCAGCCCTTGACTTTCATTACCTCAAAAGGTATGCCTCGTAGGAGGTACTCGAGGGTTGAGCTGATGCGAATGCCATGACCTTGCAGCGGGTCCAGACCTGCAGCTTGAGCGGCCTTGGCTAGCGTCTGCAGGAATTTGGGTTTTGTAAGTGTGTTGTAGCCCTTGGCGGTGCGGTAAGTGAACAACGGGCCCTCCTTTGGTGGGTTGTTGACTGAGAGATGTTTGTCGAGGGCAGCTGCTGGGTCAGTATCCCCATTCTGTTTGGACCAGGACACATCCTCGCCTTCGATTGGCTCCGTTTTTGTAACTGGGATGTGAAAGGCTGTCGTCGTCAAACCGTTGGCATCCATGGTGGTTATTACGTCTGATGGTTTGACGTGGTGCGTAGCTTTGAAGTCTGTGAGGTTTTTAACTGTGAACTCTCCAAGTCTTGCGGCTGACCAGAAGGTTGTTGTGAGGCATGCATAGATGGCGGCATCCAGCAGCGTTTCAAGGTCCAGCTTGTCGCGAATAGCCAGCATGAACTCTTTTGTGTATGGTAGCCTCTTCTTCCGTTTTGTTGAGGCTGGGGCTGCCTTCGCAGCTGCCTTCAAGAGTGTCTCAAGCTCACTAGAATTCATCCGCCATGAGACCCCATGAAGAAGGTGCCAGGCTCTCACTCCAAAGACATAGTTGGAAATGGTGCCTCCCGCGTATGCGCCTGTGATAGTAGCAATGAACGAGGCAATGAGGATGGGAGACGCAGGTGCCCGTTGCTCTTCGCTGATCCCTTTCTGATCGCAGAATACGTGGTATACTAGCAGGCCTGACCCATAGCCCTCTCGCGTGCCTTCCGCCCATGCACCCTCCATTACCTCCAGGATTCTGCGGAGGTCGGCTTCGGTTAGGTTGGTGGGATGGCCATTACCGTCAAGGACATTTCGTGGGGTGGTTGGCTTCCAACACATCAACCGTTCTCGTGCGAGCACATGGGGACGTTGCGGTGAGAAATGTGGAGTAAGTGCTTCTTGGTATGGTGCTGGTGGGCAGGTGGGGTGCACTGTGTCCACCTCTTGGATGCTGCGATTTGCTGGCACAAAGCGGTTGCGCTTATCGCTCTGCTTCCGCTTGGGCAGTGAATTCTTCCTCACATTGTGCCTGGCCTTCGTCTGTGGTTCTACACTGCTGGTGCCTTGACACTGCATCAAGTCTTGGGGCTGCCATTGGTGCTCTTCCTTCCCGTATAAGACGGAGCTCAGTTGAGCAAAGAGGTGTGTCGTAGTCTGTGATGTATGGCCTGAGGTTGACTGGGATTTCGAAGGCGGCAAGAAGGTGGGTGGGTGGGCCGTATTCGCCGCGAGAGGGTCCATCAGCCGGATTCTCTTTGCTAGGTACATACTGGGTGTGGATGACAAACTTGTTCTCTTCCGCGATTGAGTGAATATCGCAGAAGATAAGGTTGCTTGGCCAGTTTCTGCTGCGTCCTTTCCACCATCCCTCGACGACTCCTTGGTTGTCGCCGTAGACCAGGCAATGGATGCCAGGGTGGCGGTAAGTGTTGCCGAGCGCAATGACGAGGAAGAGGAAGCCAACAGCCTCTGCCCATCCAATGTCTCTGCCCTCACCTTTCCAATTTGGAAGCAGACACCAGGCGCGCCACCTGTTTCCAATGGTAATCCCAATGCCGATCTTTGAGCTAGCGTCCGAATACGCTGCAAGGTCGATGATTGGGACTGGGCCTGGGATGGGCTGGATGATCTGGGGTTGTTGGAGTTTCTCTTTCCACCATTGTAGATCGCTTGTAGTATGTCTTGGTGGGGTACGTGGCATGAAAGGATGATCATGGAAGGTTGCCATGAGGGCCTCCAAGCTGGTGAGATATGCACGTCCTGCTGGAACCACAAGGCATGCATGGAGTAGCTTTCCATAAAGCTTTTGCGTCTCCTCAAGGTTGTGCTCCTTCCTCGTCTCCCATTCCCGAATAGCCTTGAGGTACTTCTCCTGCTTTGCGCTTGCAAGAGCGACCTCTCGCTGATCCAGGTCCCAGAGGAAACCGATGAATGGGATGACTGACTGGAATGGTACGTCTTTTTCGGTTTCCCAAGGAATCCCGAGCTCATTGCATATTGCGTCAATGTCTGACATGCAGTAAGTGAATCTCCGCTCCTCCTCCGATCTGCGCGAGCTGAGTGAGGGTTGTTTGGCTGATGCATTTGATGTTGCTTACCTTGGAGATGCCTGCAAGAGATCTCTGATTGGAAAGGAGACGTCCTCGTCGAACTCTTCTGGCTTTCCGTTGGGCATGAGCTGCCCACAGAACCAGAGTCTTCCTCTATCATGCAGTTCCCCTCTGTTCTCCCGGATGTCGGCTGCCCATTGGCTATGCTGGTCATTGTACGCTGAGAGGTGCTCTCGACGTATTCGAAAGAACAGGTGATCGTCAACCCATTTTGAGAGTGGGCCGATTCCATTGGCCCACATGAGTTGGGCCCCAGTGTCTCCAATTGCCCCATAGCAGCCTGCTCCTGATGCGAGTCCAAAGCAGTTTCGGGTGTCGATGGCGAAATTATCTTCTCCTCGAAGGCGGACGACAATGCCTGGCCATTGCGATGGCTTGAGTGGTATGGTTCTATAGGCCTCCTTGACGTCTTGCACTGCTGCTTGCGAACTGGGTGGTAGGCACGCAATGAGCAGGCAGACGACAGAGAAGGTTCCCCATGTGCATGGGAAGCGGTCTGAGTCGATGGCACTGTTAATAGATGTGATATTGCTGGTGGGCTTATGCGGATGCGAGAGGTTTTGTATGATACGATACTTTCCCAGCTGTGCGGGTTTAGGAATGAGAGAGAGAGGAGACGTCTGGAATGGACCCAGGAGGGCTTCTGTCTCTGCTTTTGTGACTGGTCCGATGTATCGGCCACGCTCGAACTGAGTTTTCATCGAATTTGTCACTGAAGTCTGCAACGGATTGTTTGTTTGGTGGGGTGAATGTGGTGCGGATGACAGGAATCCCTGCGTCAAATCCCCGCTGAAGGTCGCTTGGGATATTTGGGTACTTTCCGGTAAGCCCAGCCCGCTCCAGATGCTGCCTCCATGCTTCCGGCTTGTAGGGTGACCCCGAATTAAGCTTTTTGCCCTCGAGGGCACGTCTGAGCTCCGTGAGTCGGCTTTCCGCAACCGGAGCACTCGTGTTTGGAGTCGTGAGATGTGCTGCTGCATCCGGCCTTGCGTTGCCAGTCGGAGCAAAGGATTGTGTTCGCTGGGTTGAGGAGATGCCCCCTGTCGCTTTTGGTGCAATGGGCTGGGGTGACTCTGTCCCACAGTGTTTCTGAAGCGCAACTGTAGACGTTGTGGGGATTTCGACCGAGGCAGATGGTGCAGGCTGACAAGGTCGAGGTTGTGG